GTTATAGTAGTAGGGGAAAAGTTGTTAATAGGGATTTCTTTAATTATTTTCGGAAGATGTAGGCGTATAGACACTAGCGTTGCTTAGCGTAACCTAGCTTTACTTTATAGCGTTAATATAGTTATATAGTCGCTCTACCGTAAGATATTCACTTAGTCCTAACTAAATCTATTAGGGAGTCCTAATCATTTAGGGTAGTATAGGACTAGACCTACTTATGTTTAGGGTAGTATGGTATAGGACAAATGACGTCATTTTCCCTATACCGCCCTAAATCCTAATGGGATTTCCTATACCACTACTAGGTCTAAGCTTGACTCTTAGAACAAATATTACCATTACTTTCTACCCCTCTAATACTACTAAATAAAGTCCGATTTAGAAGAAAAAAGCATTAGATTGTAGAGCTATTTAAGAGCTTTGATTTGTGCTATTTAGATTCAAAAACTACTTATGCCTCGTAGTTAAATGCGCGAAGGTCCGCCGGTAGAATTTTACTAGTTAAAGCCTAGCGGTCCGTCGCCTTAGGGCATAAATATTAGTTAAGTCTTAGAGGCCGCATATTAAAACGAGTAGCAATAGTACTTCTATAGGGGTAGATATACGTGTATATATTAGACATAAGCACGGCGAACTCCTAATATAGAGCTACCGGTTAAAGACTAGACTTAAGTCTATGTTTAAATAAGTTAAGGGCCTAGAGACCCTTATGCTAACTAAGGTTATACTTAACACTAATACGTATGTTTAACATAGCAGTGTTAAACTCCTTCTTCTATAACTAGTCTACTCTAGAGCTAGACCTTATATAAGCACACATAACATAGATAAGAGCCTTATACGTAGGATTACCGTATAGATAGAGCTTCTAAGCTACGTTAGTTATAATCTAATGTAGTCGTTCCTCTATGCGAGACTACCGAGCTATCATTAAGTCATTTCTCTTACCCTCCTATAGGCCGTCGATAGATAGCATAAGGCTATTAGGGGTTATTATTCCTTAGTAGTAGAGGCTATAGAGCTTCTTATAGCTAGAATACTACTCCTTCTACTTATGTTTAGGCCTATAGAAGGGGTTAAATGTCCTATCGATAAATCCCTATATCCTATTAGCTTCGCTAAACTCTTCGATAGCCTCTTAGCATTAGTCTATAAAAGCATAAGTTAAGTAGGGGTACTATCGTAACATGCGGCGATAGCGGCTAGTAATCTAGTCGAGTGTGTTATTAATAACTAAGGAAACAGTAGAGGGGGCGATGCTATATAGGTCCGATAGAGTATTAAGGCGGGTCGGATACGCGAAGCGACTAAGGGTTAGGTAAAGGGCGAGGTTAGAATCGATCTTATAGCTATGTTTAAAGTAGAGGTAATTTAGCTCGAACTTCTTAACTAGTAGAGGGATGTTGTCTCGGCTAAACCTAAAGAGGCATTAGCTATAGTAAATTTAGTGTAGTAGAAGGGTCGAATACCGGCAATAGAAGCGAACTTTCTAATCCCCCTATACGTCTAACACCTATTAGTCTGTTTTATACTTAAAACGCGGTGTAAATCTATAGATAGGGTATTGTTTAATGCGCTAAGCCTTCTAGATTATATATATAGCAAGAGTATCTTCTAGCTCGGTATCGTCGTCGCTCGATGTTATAGAAGACATTATTGTTGTTAGGTGTTAATGGATCTTAGCTTTGGCTAAGAGATATCCGGAGCTCGGCATTAGCCGAGGTCACATGACTGAGAGAGGGGTGTAGATCAGAGTGTAAATTGAGTGCGAATAGCTAGTGTGAACGGTCTTAGAACCTCCCTAGTGCAAAGGTTATAGACGGAGCGGCCGCCGAGCTCAGTGCCATTGTTTAGTCGGCGGCCACCAGTGAAGCTGCCACATGCAACTTTTCGGAGGTGTAACATTATCTGACCCGCGACCTGATCCTGCCTAAGGATAGTTCCATATCGCGAACGCTAGTCAGTCGCCAAAAGACACTTGGGTAAAATGAGTGTTCCCCAATAGTGACACTATTAGCTAGGCGAATACTGGCGCACTTATAAGTGATGATCTTTAGATATGGCCAAGTGGGGGTACCTGATCTTCAAGTTTGTACGAAGTACGAAATTGATGAACCCATATACAATACCAGGCATCCGGCGAGCCGAGCAGAGGCTCCTCAGTCGGCGTTGGTATTCGCCAACAGCTGGATGAAAGGATAGACGCAGGTCGAAGGAGGGTGAGCAAGGAACCAAAACTCCGCCAGATACTGTACGGTAGTGAGTAGAGGCAGCGGCCTGTAAGCAGGGACTCGTCTTCGGTGTGTACGGAGTAAGGTTGGTAGCTTAGAAAGATAGACGGCTCCTACTTCCTGTTTAGAGTCATATCAGGCGTGATAATCAACAAGATAGGCAGGAGGTTGAACCTTGATGAATCACGAGTCAAAATAGTCTGATTACCGCACTCGTACAATCAAGTGAGGCAGGCGATCAAAGATTAATACTTTCATGCCGGGACCAGTACCGAGCACGAGCAAGACCAAGTTTGCAGAGACGTTCATGTTTAGCCCGTAGCTGTGGCTGTCAATTTGAGAGGCGGTCCTTGCACGCTGGTCGAGCGCAGCTAGCCTACTCGAGTACAGACCAAGGGCCTGATGGGAGACGGCAAACTGGATAGCCTGTGGATGATTGGGATCAACAGAAACGCATGGACCCGGTTCTTTGCGATATCGACATATGCAGGGTAGAAAGCAGTCGGATTTGGTGGAGTTGTCAAGCGAAGAGAGTCTCAAGAAGGACACGCGACGTCTTGAAGCAGAGTGGCTTCCTGGTCTGGAAGGATCGACGGTGTCAAGTAAAGTCAAAGAAGGTGCCTGCATCTAATGCCTTTGCTATCGGCAGTCGCCGTTCGCAGCAAGAGATATCCTGGAAGCGACTTGCAAGCGAAAGGACATCAAACCCAAGGCTTTGAGGATCACACATACTGTCGAATATCCAGTCCGCGTGCGAGAACCGTAGTCCCAAGCGAGGCAAGTGTTAGGCTGAAGTCGAAGCTCATCGATGAGACACGGCAGTTCATCAGAGATGACTAGATGACCTTCACATGGGCTTGGTCGTAGAGTGTTGAACTTTGTGTCTTTTGCTTGAGAAAACACCAAGAGGAAAGCATTTGATGCGTGAAGCTTGGACCCTGATTTGGCGGGGTCGATGGAAAGCTCGTTTTGATTCTGTCGAGAGGGGCAACCGCCTTCTCATCGAACACAGGTTGGTCAAAATTCAGTCAACGAGATGCACAAAATCACGGCGGCGAGAGCTGAGCTCACTGAGAGCGCTGGCTCGACAGTCGCTAGCCTCACCGACATGATTTTATGCAACACATTGACACAAACACGGTGGCTGTGTGCTTGGCTTGCTTGAAACGTCTTGGCCCTTGGCAGAAGCTCCCTCAGCCTTCAGCCCCTCAGCCATCCCTCTTGATGTTTGTTCAACAGTCAGGACTATCAATTGAAGCCATTCAGCCTCATCAGTCATGGCTATCTTCACATCCAACAGCTTTGCTGTTGCAGCTCTGCTGACCGTTGTGCTACTGGCACGACCAGCTCATGCTTTTGGCGCCGGCAACATCGCATCAGTCTCCAATGTCGAGGGCGTCAACTTCCGCCATGGAGACATCGAAGACACACTCCTCACTCTCGTCAGCTCTTACGCCTACGCCAAGGGTGCCAAGTTCAGCAAGATTGACGTCAAGCGAGTCTACTTTGGCAACTGGCTCCGTGACTACTCGCAGGCCGTCGATGTTGGTACTACGAAGCACGTATCCGCAGAGGCAATCCGCATTCTGCTATGGGTCTTGGGCTTCCTGACCTTTGGCTACGGTACTGGCGAGTTCGAGGTGACGACTGAGCGTTTGGGATGCTACCGCCCCGAGGAGCACATCGACAACCCCAAGGACTATGCCGACAACGAAGACGCCCGCCAGTACGACCGCAGACTACGCGCCCCCGTCGATGAAGAGAGGGAACTGAGCATTGATGAGAGAACCGGACTGAAGAACTACATTGCCTCGGAAGACTTGGGCATCACTACATCTGCCCAGCTGGTGCGCAACCTGTTCGGCCGCTGCATCGATCTTGGTAGATCCTTCAACAGAAGCAGGGACAAGAAGGAATTCTACGAGGCTCTGCGCCTTCTAGGGACCGCCTGCCATTGTCTTGAAGACTACTCGGCGCACTCCAATTACACCGAGCTTGCCCTGATCGAGCTGGGCGAGCGCGACGTCTTCCCTCATGTCGGCCGTAACACCCAGGTCCGCGTTCAAGGTGCCCGCCACCAGGTCTACCCTATCGTCACAGGTACTTTTGGTGGTGTCGACTTCCTTCATTCCGTCATGGGAGAGCTGGACGACAAGGCCACCCAGTCCGAGATTCAAGAGTTGGAGGGTGTTATCGACAACTCGCAGAACCAGAACACTAGTCTGCTCAAGAAGCTTCTCAAGTCGCTTCCATCCGGTCTTCTTGGAGGCAAGGATCAGGCCGGCAAGGTTGATGAGCTCCAGAGCAACGCTGCTGCTGCTCAGATGGGCAACATGAAGCTGTCTCCACGTCAGCCCGAAGAGTGGGCTCAGCAGCTTCAGGAGGTCCAGAACCAAATTTACCCTATTCTTCAGTTCCACGACGAGCTCATGATGGGTATCAACGAGACCATCGAGAAGATCCCCATCCTACCCGACTTGCTCGAGCAGATCACTGAGCAGCTGAACATTTTCGTCTTCTCTCTGCTTGCTCCTTTCGTCCTACCCATCATCAGCCAAGTCAAGGAAGAATTAGCGACTGGTTCAAGTGAGGTCATCGAATCCAGCAGGGCGAAACAATTGATTGTTTTCCATGATGACGACTCATCCGACCCCACTCACTCTATGCTCTCCAAGGACCACTTCTCCAACATCCTCAACGAGCCCGCCGGCAAGATCGGATGTGCTGTCCTCAAGTGGGTCGTTCCCCAGATCGTCCAGTGCTGGGACAACGAGAACGTCGACATTGCCAGAACTCTCGACCGTATCATCAACGGCATTTTCCATCACCCCGCACTGAGAGCAGTCGGAAGCGACGGCGCAGCTGATGGTAGACATATAATGTTCGGCGTTGTTGAGCAATGGTGGCAGGACAAGTCTGAGCGTGAGCGTGATGATCTACGCAGTAAGCTCAGCAGACGTGGTGTTGAGACTGGTCAAAACCACAAGGAGGGTGTCCAAGACTCCGGCCATGGTTGCTGCAAGCCCCTGTTCCAGCAGAAGCAGCACAACAATGCTCCTGCCGCTGCAGCCCACGCTGCCGTCATGGAAGGTATCAGTGACTTTGTCAGTGGTGGCCAGTCTTCGCAGCATAACAGCTACGGCAACCAAGGTCGTCCCAGCAGTCGTCCTACCAGTGGCTTCGAGCAGCAAGCCGGAAACTTTGTTGGAGAAGCTGTCGGCGGTGGCGCCTTTGGTTCTGTTCTTGGCGGCCTCGTTGGTAGCGTTGGAGGTAGTCTCTTGAGTGGCGCCTTCGAGTCTCAGGGCGAGACTCAGACTTACCAGCAGTCAAGCCACAACCAGGATGGATCTTACACCCAGAGTTACATGCAGACTGGCGAACGTCCCTCTTCTAGACCTTATGGTCAGGAGCATACCGCCCAAGCCGAGTATAAGACTACTCAGTACCCCAGTGGCGGCCACAGAACCGAATACAACAGCTACGAGCAGCAGGGTCAGTCAGGATATGGCTACCAGCAGAGTACCGAGGTCCGTCCCACCCAGGGCGGTGGCTACGAGCAGCGCAGTGAGCGTCGTCACGAGAAGCCTGGTGGCCGTTGGGAAAGCGAGGTACAGGAGCAAGGCGTCGGCGCTGCTGGAGAGTACTATCAGACTGAAGAGAAGCACCACGGCAGAAGAAACGATGACGATGATGACAACGACCGTCGCTCGCACAGAAAGCATGGCTCCAACCACCGCAATGATGACGAAAACGAGCAGCAGTCTTACTCCCGACCTGATAACAGCGGTGGGTTCCCCGGTGCATCGTACCACGCTCAGCACCAAGAACGTCAAGACGAACGTCCCAGCTATGGTAACGATAACTTCGGAGGCCGTAACGATTACGAGAGACCTCAGCGCCAGGGCCGCGACGAAGGCTACGGCAGACAAGAGTTCGGTGGTGGCAGACAAGAGTTTGATGGTGGCAGACAAGAGTTTGGCGGCGGAAGACAAGAGTACGGACGTGAGGATAACAACAACTACGGTCGTCAGGGCCATGGCCGTCGCGACGAGGACGAGATGCCAGGTGGCTTCCCTGATGACGATGGTCAGGAGCGTAGACATCATGGCGGTCGTCGTGGAAGCGGCGGTAACGATGGCGGTTACGAGGGCCGTAGATGGTAAACTCAGCCAGCTCTGCCGACACATCTTGGTAGCCCCTGTGCTATCACAGCTACTCATCATTGGACCAAAAGAATATCATGAAGAGATGAAATCAAACATGCTTGAAAATTGCTTGTGTATATTGCTTTCGTGCATTGAGCGTGAAGACCATGACAGCAGGAATGCTTGTAATTTATGCTGCTCGAGCCTTTGAGCTTCGACAACTGATCTGCTATCGGGTATTCCGGTGGTTCTGGACGGCCTCATAAGCCCGTATGTGATTCCGGTATTATTCTTACTAGCTTAGCTTTGTACGAAGTACTCCCCTCCTCACGACTGGTGGGAAGAAAGATGTACAAAGAGTTGAGGTGGGAATCAGAGCAATGATCACCTAGCTATCCACATCTAGTAATCGTTGCATTGTTGGTCATCCTCTAGATTGGAATTGGTATATATACTTTGTGGTAATCGGATTTATAATATAACTGGTTGCGTGGCCCAATGGCAAGGCGCTTGACTACGAATCAAGAGATTCCAGGTTCGACCCCTGGCGTGATCATTCTTTTTGCCGGCCTGAGGCACATCGACAAAGCGCGGTCGGTGTGACTCTTGTCGATTTCGACTTTTGCTGTGCAACAAGTCTTGACTGTTTGTTTTGCCAGGATCCTGCGGTCATGTCTAGAGACTGAAGTCGTAGGGATGCACAGTGCATTTCGCTTGCTCAAGTCTTCCTGAGAGATCATACTAGTATTCATCTACAAGCCATATCCTGTACCCAATGCTGCATTAGCCTAAATGTCAAGTGGGACATCAGATGCCGTCCATCCTCTGCAGATGGCCGAAGGACTGAACTTGTTACCTTCTTCACGTTGCATTCGTTGTCAATCTTATCCCATAATCCCGCGACGCGACCATGCCCTGGCATCGGGCTACCCCGCAACATGCCGATGAACACCGAGGGGCCACCTTCATGCACAAACGACAAGATTCTTGATTCATCCTTGGACTCGTCGGCACTGCAGGGTTGACTGTAGAAACCATGCCCGTATTGCGTACAACCCCGCTTCAACCCCTCAATGGTATGCTGGCAGGGACCTGATCATGAGAGATAGCGGAGCTATTCTGTCCCGCCGAAAGACGAAGCATATAAACATGTCAACACCTGTCTCATGCCGAAAACTGCTTCTGCTTATCGTTTTTCAACATGAGGGTTGCTCAGATCTATACGGCTCTGACACCTCTTATTCTTGCTAGAGAGATCTTGGCCCAAAACTATACCAATGTAACGACTAGTGCTGTACCAAGCTCTACCACTGTCAATGGCACTGCTGTGGCCAACCCGAGTGCTTTTGTAACAAACTTGCAGTTGTCTGTTGAAGGTAGGCCAAGTGCTTCTTTGCCGGCACAACTTGCACAATATAAGTTTGTGAAGCTAACGCCTGTCTAGATCTTTGGGACTTCTTTGTTGGGCCAGTCGACACAGCGAATACGACTACGACTATCGAGGCGACTCCAGTGCCATCTAGCTCTTTGATACCCCCTCCGTTTATAGGAAGCTATGGATTCCCACCTGGACGTCAAGTACCTCTCGTCACAAAGAACGAGTCCTGGAGCTTTCCCAAAGACTTCTACCTTGGTGTTGCTGGTGCTTCTTTCCAGATTGAAGGTGCCGCCAGAGCCGATGGAAAAGGGCCGTCGACGTGGGATGTGAACATGCACCGTGTGCCTGGATTTGCCACCGATAACAGCACCGGAGACATCACGGACAACAACTACTACATGTACAAGCAGGGTAAGTCCTAATAGCTTGCCCATACCTAGAACTATAATGAGGTTGACACAATCATCAACTGTAGACATTGCACGCTTATCAGCTATGGGGATTAATGCCTACTCGTTCTCCATTGCATGGACACGTCTCTTCCCATTCGGTACCGGACCAGTCAACGAACTAGGCATCGCTCACTACAACGACATCATTGATACGTGCATCCAATACAACATCACCCCGATGGCTACTTTATATCATTGGGACATGCCGGCCTTACTACAAAACCAATATGGTGGTTGGTTGAGCGAGCAGATCATTGGAGACTTCACCGAGTACGCGCGTATAGCATACAGTCGTTTCGGCGACAGAGTCAAGCATTGGTTCACTATCAACGAGCGTAAGAGAATTAGAGACACTGTCAGTATGACGACGCTGACGCCTTGAACAGCAATCGTGATTTGTACATCACAGTATCCAATGCCAGCAGGCTATTGGCGCAATTTTTCCATTCCGAACGTCGAGCAGCCATTTGTTTGTGGTCGAAACATCTTGCTGGCACATGCAGAAGCGTATCGACTAGGAAAGTCCATCATTCCGGACAGCTCCATCACATTCAAGAACAACGGTGGTTACAAAGTCCCTCTGACCAACAGCTCTGCCGATGCCGAAGCTGTGCAGCGAGCATGGGACTTCAACGAAGGGTGGTTTGCGGACCCGGTCTACCTCACTGGAGATTGGCCATCGACTGTCAACGACCATGTGTCTTCCTTCCTGCCTCCCTTTACATCTCAACAGAAACAGTTGATTCTTGGTTCCGCCGACTTCTTCGCCCATGATGCCTACACAGCTCAATTCTACATGGCTCCTGACGCAGGCATTGAATCTTGCGTAGCAAATGCTAGCAATCCTCTGTACCCGTCATGTGCGAACAGCAGCTACACCTATGGACCAGCTCAAGGTAGTTGGATCATTGGTCCTGCTGCCGATTCTCACTCCCCTTGGCTACATCGAGCTACCGACTGGTTCCCAGCATTCATGTCCTACATCAACACCACTTGGCCATCTCCACACATTCAAATCACAGAATTTGGTTTTGCCGAGCCCTTCGAGTCTTCAAAGACGCTGTTACAAGATATACTCTGGGACCCCATCCGAACATCATACTACCATGACTACATGGAGGCGATTCTGATATCGTTGAGTGAAGGCATCAAGATTACTGCAGCTCTGGCGTGGAGTTTTGTGGACAATCTTGAGTGGAACTCTGGCTTTAGTGTGAGGTTTGGATTGCAATATGTCAACTTTACAGATCCGGCTCTCGAGAGACACTACAAGGCTAGCTTCTTCGAGTATACCAATATGTATCAGACGTATGTAGAAAAGTAGGAAAGGAGGTTCGGATGGGAAAGCTTGTGGTGCAGGACACAAGAAGATGCTCGTAAGCAGGATCATGAGCGAGTCGTAGCTATATAATGTCTTTCACTATACCTACGGTGACATTTCAGATGATAATGATTACGACTAAATCCATTTTGGCGGATTGCTCTTCCCTGGCCACCAAGTCTTCTTATGTCGTTCCTTCCTTGTTCAATCCGACTTTAAAAGAGCGTTACTTCCTTATCTATCAAGCTGTCTTGATTGCTCCTTCCCTGCTCGACGAACTTTCTCGATCATACCTTCCTGTTTTGTTCAATCCATTCCTTCCACTTTTGCCAACTAGAAGATCAATTAAGAAGGCGCGGATACTAAACAATGATGAAAGAGGAAGTAACAAGGGAAACTGGAAGGAAGGAGCGACCGAGAATTTGGCGAAAGAAGAAGGAACTTCAGGAACGATCTGGCGAAAGAGGAAGGAATGGTTCACCAAGATAGGAAGGAACCGTCCACCGCAAGAGGAAGGAACGATCTTATGCAAAAGGAAAGAGCGGTCGATTAAGTAATTAAATCCACAAAAAGAAAGAAAGAGCGACGCAGGAAGAGGATATAGGAAACGATTTAGAACAAAACTGGAGCGTAATCTGAATTAAAGACAAGGACAAGCATTGTAAGTGATGATTTGCCGGAAGATGGAAGCATCGAAAGCTATAGAAACATCACTGACACCGGATGAAAGGTGTACGTACAAGTCTTTGATTATGCAGCACTCTCCTCAAAACAAACATTGATAGACCTTTGTAGAATACAAGGTAGACAATGGAAGAGAAGACCCGGATCAAAAGGAGCGGCAGAGGGTGGTTAAATCCTTTTGGTTATCAGACTAGAGGCAGTGGAGCTATGGCACAGGTGAAAGACAGTAGGATTTATGACCGTCAAGCGCGAGATGTGATTACGAAAATGCTCAGAGCAGCAGCATAACTGGCGTAGCTCAATCCTCTGTACGAGTGTATTTGATGGTTCTCAAACAAGACCAAGAGCTTCGTGCTCATAATCCGACGCCGCTTCCTTGATTCCAAGATCCTGATATCCAAAGTTATGCCGATGATCATGCAGTCAAGGCCGAACTACAACCCAAGATGCCCATACCGACAAAGGCAAAGATCATGCAAAGGCCTTTGTTATGAGTGAGCTCGAGACTCTCTCCAAAGAGCTGCAATGCAACAGATGTCATGATGCCCGCCGTGACCGCAAACATGGCTCCATAGAAGTTCTCACTGATTGCTACATTCTTAGAGCCAGCAATCTTGAAGATGATAGCGGCAACACCGGCGCCGAGAGGTTGAGAAGCTCCACCAAGTAGAGAGGCCCAAAACATTGCTTTAGCGCGGTTGTTGATGGCGAGGTAGAGGGGCAAAGCGAGCACAAAGCCATCGGTGATGTTGTGGATGAACAGAGCCAGGAAGACGGAGAAACCGAGTTTTGGGTTGGCATGGTTAGTGGCAAAGGTGATGAAGCCTTCTGGTAGCTTGTGAAGGGCAATTGCTATGGACGTCTGGAGACCAATGCTGGCGAAAACGTTTGTAGGAACGTGATGATGGTGAGGCTGCTGCTCTCCATTCCGTTGCTGGTTGCTGGAAAGAGAGGCGTGTGACTTGGCATGGTGAAGCGAATGTGTGTCCTCCTCCTCCTCTTCAATCACAGTATCAGCGTTGGTTAGGCTGGGAGTGCTGTTAAGCTTCTTAGTCTGCAAAACCGTGTCAGATGCCATACGGCCCTGATGTCCAGGACGAGGGGAATTCTCATCCCTGATACTCTGAAGCAGCGGAGTCTGTTCCGAAGCGGTTGATTCGCCACGGAGGAGTTGCTGGCGAATGATAGAGCGAGTACTTGCTTGCCTCGTTTGCATGTTCTTGAAACAGTCCGCACCACATGGCTCGCTGAACCCGTAACATGGACCATCGCAATCGCAAGATGACTTTGATCTAGAAGCGATCGAGGAGAGCGTCTGACTCAAACGAGCCTGCAGCGAAGGCCGCCTTGACAAACTCTTGCCTGGTGGAAGTGTTGCAGAACCATTTTCATCAGCTGCAGCAGAAGTTGATTTGCGGGCCGAAATCTTCGGTCTTTGTACGTGAACGTGTTCACCATGCTGCTTGTAGGCAGCATTAGACCCTCCGTGTGAGCGATCGTGAGATGGAGGATGAGCTTGCTCATGGCGCACTTGTCCATCCTCTTCGGTGGGTTCTTTGACAGCAGATTCTTCGTCGTGGGAGTGTTCGCAATCTACCACATGAGACGGCATGAACAAGTGAGCAAGTCGGCTGATGACCTGAATACCCAAAGCACCTGCTAGGAAACAGCCTATCAACGTCCAAGCGGCAGCTTTCGGTGACATTCCACCCTTTTGGAGAGAACTCTTAGCCGAAGGCATCATGCTGAAAAGAGCAGAGAACAGCTGCTTGTATTAGCCTTGAGATCAGAGAAAAGCGGTAACAAGCCGAATTACCATGACACCAAAACTCAAGCTGAGCGACGACGACAAGAACGTATCGCTATCCTGTATCCTGAAGTTGCGTTTGCTTGGAAATTTTCTGACGATTATATCGACGCAGATTATGGAAGCCCCAATGATGCATGCTGTCGTCAATGTTAGCTGACGTATGAGTGGCGGCTGGATATCTCGAAAACCTCACCAGCACCACTGACACTTGCCATGACCCATCCGCGTTCATCGTTTGAGAGGACCATGATGCTTCCTTACTCCAAAGATGGCGATGCGGGGATAGCAAGCCGTAGATCGATTAATAACAGATAAAGGTGACTCGGCCGCTTCTAGATTTAGAAGGATGTCGCGTCTCAAAGAAGCTGCTTTGTCCCTGTTCAACTACCCAAAGCGAACGATGGCGATCTCAATGCAAGCTTCCAGAATCAACACCGACTGCTTGCGAACAATGAATTAAAAGTCTTAGGGAACGAAGGAGCAGTCGTCGTCCAGAAGGCTCTGTTGAGATCGCGACTCGAAGACGCGGGCCGAGCGCAACCGTTTTCTCACTCGATGATGCCAAGACACCTTGATGGGTCCCGCTGACGCGCTTTCACTCCATTGGCCGCGAACTCTTTTTGCATATGTCGGTGAGCAGATATAGAGCTTTCATCACCCTGTGACTGGTCTGCACAGTCACATTCTCCGCAACCACGGCCGGAGCCCAGTCAGTCTCGTATGTTCCAAGGCATGGTCTCTGGATCTCGAAGAGAAGTTGGTAACGAGGAGATAAAAAAGCAAGTAAACATGGAAAAATTTGGAAATATTACTACAAAAGCTCTACATATATGTACAATTGGCTTACTGAAGCCTGTTTATTCTAAAGAAACAATGCATTTCTCCTCGACCCATTTAGCAAAATGCACAGTTGGCATGTCGACTACACGCATGAATATATCTGCCGCCCAGATGGTGCTTGCAATGTCGATGATTGCAGCAATGACAAAGCCAATCTCTTTTGTCATATATGTGTCCTCCCCAATCGTTCGCCAGAAGAAGTCCATCGAGGCATAACCGATGGTGTGTGTTACTGGACCGTGCATGAGATAAAGCGAGAAGGAAATCTTTCCAAGATATTGTACAGGGCTGTTAGTGAACAAGCGTTGGAGGAGAGGAGAATTGGATGTTGACCAGACAAGCAACAGAGCGGCCCAGCCAACCCAGTAGCGTTGCTTGTGCGAAGCGTAGGTTGGAATCCAGGAATGAAGTGTGGCCCAACCGGGTGCGTGTTCAACATGTTCTTGTGGTTGGCCTCCAAGATAGATGCCAACCAGGAAGACGAATATATACAAAGACGTCCACAAGCGTTGACGTTGTGCAGATGTGGAGATAGAGGAGGTTGTAGGGAGGATGGATTTTGCGGCGGCCAGCGCTTGTCTGCGGAAGTCAAGCTCTGCGAGAAGGAAGCCAGAGTAGAAGAGGATCATTTCCCAGCGATCTTTCTCGTGACACCATGCCACGAGTGCTGCCAAGGACAATATTCTGACAGTAGGCTTCAGACGAGCGAGGCCAAGTTGGGTCAGATACAGAACAAGCGAGGAACGGAATTCCATTCTAGGAAGTACAGTCAGCAATGTCCCGACCGGGCAAGACTAGAAGAACATACGGGATAGTCCATAGGTGCTTGTCAATATCAATATCCGTATCCTTTGTTCCGAAACTCCAAGGGTGCACGAAAATCCACATCATCTTGGCCCAATCTGTCAATTGGTGCCACAAGCTCTTGAATCGGACCAGGTGTGATTCGCGGACCTGGTTCAGCCTGTGCTGATCGTAGGCAATACCGCGCGTTGCATCGTAGGCACCCAAGCGCACCAGAAGCACAATGAGCAATGTTGAGACAAAACAAGGCAGGTAAAGGCGGATGGCTCTGCGGAAGGTGGCCGAAGAAAGTGTATGCAGCAGTTCTTTCCAACTCTTGTTCCTCATAAGCTTGACGGGCTTGTACGAAAGGGCGTAGCCAGAGACGACGTAGAAGATGGAGACCATGGCAGGTCCTGTGTAGACGAAGCGAACGAAGGGCAGCTTAAGGAACTCGCGGTGTTCGTCGGGCTTGCCAGTACCGCCGTAAGCAGTAAGCACATCGTGGCTCGAGTATGAAAGGTGGTAGAAGAAGACGAAGAGAGCGGCGAGACCACGCATGCCATCGAGGTATGCCGAAGGATGGAGTCGCTCAGGCTTGACTAGCTCTGGGTAGAGTCTGTGTTGGATGAAAGTCGGTACGAGGAAGAATAGAAAGCGCCTGGATAAAGGCAGAAGGCTGGCCCATTGTGGTCGTTGGAAACCTGAGAGGTTAATGTGGAAGGTCGGCGATGACTTGATGGATTCAGCTTCGACAGGTCGAGTCTTTGCTTCATCTTCAAAGTCTTCAAGGAGATGGGACGACTCTGGTACGTCCTTTTCGCGGAATGTAGACCCCTCCATCATGGTGGGAACTGCGTGAGCAAAGGGGGTCAAGAAGGGAAAGAAAGAAAGGGAGCTACAAGAGCTGCTGGGACGCTCCTCACTAGGCTTGGACTCATCCCTGTGGATACTGAACATGTCCCACAGACATACCTACGTGTACATTGATTCATACACCCTTGTTAGTCCATCGCATGTGCAAAGGTGCAGTACCTAGTTAGCTTCGGAACTACGCAACCCTCATTCTGCAGACATTGCAGGCGCAGCCTTCCGAAATGCAACCTGCCGTTTGGCGCCAGTCCCGCCGTGGCGTTCTGGGCGGCCGTCTGATCGACCACTCTTGCATACCGCAGACCTCGAAGGACACTCGAATCGATTCATGCCATGGAAAGATTGAGGAACGCGTGAACGAAGGAAACCATGCACGGGAGACTGGAGAGATGCACGTTAGGAGCTCTGCAGACGACACCAAGACGTTTCTGCCACTCCAGCTTCGTTCAAGTTTCAACGGGCGCAATAAGGTTTGATGGAAACGCTTGGCCTCGAGAAGAAAGAATAGCATGCCGCAATTTGTTCTCCGACCATGTCCGTACTTACCTAGTCGTCTCATCTGCGGTCTGAAGGTGAAACAGCTCGAGTATTGCCATGCGACTTAGGGGTTGGAAGACTGCGGAGTCGAAATTGCTATGAGGTTGGGTAGGCTTTTAGGGCAAGGCACGAGCTCGAGTGCTGACCACACCGGATAGATGTTATGTTATATTCGAAAGCACTTTCCCATCATCCAATCATAAGTCGCAGTGGTTTAGTGGTAAAATTCGTGCTTGCCATGCACGAGCCCCGTGTTCGATTCACGGCTGCGACAATGTTTTGTCTTTCGGATATATTTTGCTCGTGTCTGGATGCCTGATCCTGTCACGGATAGGTGAGGTTTGTTTTGTGCTTGAAGCAGTAGAGGGCCTCAAGCTCGGCTGTCGCCAGCTTGTTACTTTCTCGAAGGCCATCGCGGGAGCTCCAACGACGTAGTTTGCTGCGGGTCTCAACGAGACAGAAGTCGCTTGGTCGTGCACGTCCCTCATTACTGAGACGAACGTGAGCTCTGGAAACACTTCCTTTGTCTTCACATCAACAGCAACAACATTGCTGAGCCATGTGATGTTCTTGTATTGTTGGCAGATATCACTTTAGAAGGCAGCGTGGTATGGTGCACGCTGCCGGCCTTGTCATGTCATCCCTTGTGATGTTAACGTAGGTGATCACTGATGAAGAAAGAAACTACGCAGGTCGTTGTACTTTCGGTATCTTCACAAGAGGGGTCGTTTCCGGGTGTGATGGACGGACAAGAAAAGAATCAGAACTCGAGTTACAACCCCGGACACAGAAGCAAACACCAACAAAACAACAAACGCGCTTTGCAAATTTCATCCTACTGATCACACTGTTGATCTTGTCACCTGAACACAATTACCCACATCCAGTGACAAGATGGACATACAATCTGACAACATGCGCTCCCGGGAAGGTTTGGTCAAGGCTATCATTGTACACGATGGCAGTGTCTCTGGCGACGGCGTCAAGGGCAAAGTTGAGATCTCTGGATTTGAAGACATGGCCTCCTACAACTGGATCAAGACAAGTGTGCCTACAGCATCCTTGGGACACAAATTGAGCCCGTACGGCACACCGCTCTCCACGTCGGGCTCTACAAGCCTTGTCGCACTTCCCGAAAAGCAACCCGGTAAGCTCTATAGAGCCGTCTATACCATCACATCGGTAGATACTGATTCCGGCAGGAAAACCTCTTCAGTGGTCTCCCCTAATCTCAGGCCAGATCAAACTCAGCTTAGGACCCAAGACAAGCTATCGCGACTTTGAACACAGTCGTGGTCCCAAATACGCAATGGAAGACAGCGTGCGCTGCATTACGACCGCCGACAGAGGTTTCATATCCTCGGAGGTTGACATCTTTACGAGCGAGCATACCCTGAAGAGACTCATCAAGTTTGTACAGGGTGATACAACCACCTTTCGATTGCTGGTACAGAAAGTCAACGGCACTCTGTTTCTGGCCGAGAAAGACAAGGAGGCACAGACAGATCTGGACCTTGGCCGCTCGTTCCAAAGCGCCTACATGAAGTGGTCGAACGGTCTGACAGAATCCGTATCTCATCAGCGGTTCGTGCGGTACGACTTCGATGGCCTTCAATGCTTGATCCGCTTCGAGGCAGACGGTTGCCTGGCAGAGACTGATCGCCTCATGGCAGCCGCTCTCATCAGCGATCTGGTGCACGCCGATTCATCGTTGCAACTACCCCCGCCAGCCTTGCAGATGAACCTCCACGCGTCCACATTGGATCTGGCCAATGCCTTCTGCAGTGAGCTCTCAGAGCCACCAGCAGCTGTCTCGGGACGCGGGGTCGCCGGAGAAGCTCCTACCCCTGAATACCACTGGTCTCAAGCCGAAGCCTTGGCCGAAGAAGCTGGTAGAAAGCAAAGAATAGCCGACGAGGAAAGAGCCATGGAAGAGGAAAGAGCCATAAAGGCACGATCCGTTACCAATCTGCGCAACCCTCAGCGCCAGAACAGACGGCTCTATCAACAGCCACCACCCAAACCACCTATTCCTGCCAGCACAAAGCAGTCGGCAACCTCCCCGGTCGTTCAGCACAATCTCTACCTCAAACAGTATCCTCTGGCGCGCTTCCACAGCATTACCGAAGCGGAACTCAGCGTCATCCACGAACATCTCAACATGGCTGAAGGCGAGTTTCAGAGAGCTCTGTGGCTCTACTACAATCCTCAGGGTCCTGCTACCGAACCTAGGTCAGAGAATTCAGCCTCTCTACTCCATCGCCTCATGGCGGCTACGAAGACCAAACACAGACAAGCCAAGCGATACCTTGTCCTCTGCAGCAATGACTACGATAAGGCCCTCCGTCTACATGCCGCAAAGAAGGAATACTTCAGAGAGAAGCGCTTGCGCAGAGACCCCAAGAAAGTTCCTGGAGACGAAGCCAGATATCTTCGTCTCTTCAAGCAAAAAGAGAAGGAACGCGAGGCCGAGGTTCGTCGTTCGCAAGTAGCCAGGCAGAAGGAAAAGGACAAGATGGCTCCTCATTCCGCTCTGTGCATCCTCCACTGCGCTACTGAGAAGTCCTCCTCGACCGCTGTCAAGCTTTCCGACGACGAATTCATCCGCCTTTGGATCACTCGTATCCCCAGCGTCATCACCGCATACTATGACACTAAAGCCACAGTCTCCTCGATCACCTACACTGACACCCGCTCCCAAGTCCGCGATTGGGAAAGCAACAACCAGGATACACTCGCAAAGTTTTCCACTCTCCTGAAGGACATCAAGCAGACCCTCGAAGAGAGCGAAAAGAGCAAGGTCATTCTACACATCGTTGAGAAGCACAAGATGGAGGTTTGCGAGGCTGGCGAGGAAGAAAAGAACGTGCTGTCAGAGTACATGACGAACACTTGGCTGAACCACGCCAGAGATGAAGAGCCCGAAGAAGATGCCCGCAACATGCTCAATGCAACCACGTTCAACAGTATTGCCGACGAAGGAGAGGAAGAAGGCGAAGAAGAAGAGGAAGAGCAGGAACAGGAGTATGTTTCGGACGAAAGCTCTGATTGGTCACGCGAGTTCGAAGACAGTGACGACGACGAGGGTGATGGCCTTGACAAGAAGAAGTGACGCTAAACTCTACACTTCCGTCTACCAAACGTCCTGCCTCTCGTTTCGAGAGACCAAGTACGTCAGCTTGAACAGATTTTCTCGAGTTGGAGAGAAGGAGGCTGGTTGAATTACACTCTGATAGACCTATAACGGTACTTTTCACATAGAACTAATGCACGAGTATGAAACCCTTTTGATGAATCAGGTTTCCCTTGTGTGCTCGCAATCAGTGATACTTCTCTTGTGTTCGACACACTCTCTCCGTGGTCATCTCAAGAATTCTCTCAACCTGTACGCATGATGCTTTTGATTTCAACAGGTTGGCACAGGAGTGAGAGGTCGGGTGTTTGAATCAGGGGAAGAGGTCTTTCGAAACCTTTTGCACTTTCGGTTTCTTCATCATACTCATTGTAATTTGAGAGGGCTGCTCTCTATGAATCTCCTACACGCCGCAGACATTAATCCATCTCCTCTAGAAGACCTTCAGACCAACAAAATCGGCACCTAGAGGCTGCACACCCTTCTCACCACCAATATTACCAATCACAACTTCATTATCACCTTGTTTCCAACCATCAACCAAGACACCCAACACAGCACTGTCTCCCCAGCCCTTCATGGATGAATACAACTCGCTACTCCTTCCACTCAATGGAACCTCCAATCTAGTGGTCTGGTTGTTGACAGAGATAGTAATGTTTCGTGCATTACGGCCCTCTCCCCAGCTTGTGCCAATGGCAACATCGTTGTTGATGTAGGTGAGCTCGACGTATCTTGATCCAGTGGTGGTTGCTGAGGCAGGAATGTTGAGAGAGGCAGAGTTGTTCGGAGACAGGTCGCCAATCTTGGTTCCGAGCGGAGAGCAGAGACCGGGTACACAAGTTATATGGCTAGCGTTACCGCTACCAGAGATGGCAAAAGCGGTATTGGGATAGAACTTTCCGGTTGGTTCAGTCACAGTGATTGAGCTTATAGAATTGGTGTTTGAAATGGAGAGGGTGTTGCTGTTCCCTGCGATGAGGGAGACGGGTAGGGTGATGCTAGATTGACCTTGCTGTACCTGGTGAGAGGATCTCTGGTGTTGATTGTGTATGCCGAGATCACAGGACGACGGAACGGGGCTGCTAAAATGGATGGTCACAGTATATGCATCACTTGTGGTTAGAGCATACACATTCTCAAGATTGATATCTCCACTTTGTCTGTAGCATGTCAGCAAGTTATCCTTCGGAGCTTCGGACGAACATACCCATCAAGCTGATAGACACCGGCTGGTATAGTGTCGTCTAGTTCGAGCAACAAGGTACCATGAGCTTCCACACTTGCCTTGTAGCTGGTCATGACATTCTTCCTTGTCTCGTTGGTCCAAGCATCTCTGACCCACCCAGCACTCTGCAACCCTGCATCCGGCAAGTCAAACGTTGCGTCAATGGAGAAGTTGTTCCAATTGACCAATGCGGCGACGGTACGATTACCGCTCAAGGGTCCTGACCAAATGTCATACCCCTCATCACTGTATCTGCGGGTCAAGTTGGCAGACACCCCAAGCGCGTCCTGATTGAAGCCAATGATGTTCTCATTCTTCATGATGGCCAAAGACTCCGCAAACACCGATGTAATGGAATCATTCAAGGCACACCCGATGGTCAATGGACTCTTCAAAATGCTCCAGAGTGCAAAGTGAGTCTGCTCTTCCGCGTGGGTGAAAATATCGTTGCCAATTTCCATCATGTCCAAGTCTAGCCACCTGCCAGGTGCGGCATAGTCTGTTTGAGGCACAACTTGGTTGACAATGCGGAAGATAGTTCTCCAATTGGGAATGATGTCGTTGGTGACGCGCCAAGTATTCCCTAGATCCGGTGCCCATGCAGAAGGGAAATCAACACCCCAGTCACAGATCTGGAAGAGCAGATTCGTGCCCGTAGCATCGAGAGCATTCCGCATATTCACGTAATTCTGATGAGGAGAAGTCAGGGGCTCGTAATCCACGTTCGGGAAGCTTCTCTCCTGAGACGACCAGCAATTGTCGTACTTGAGTAGATCAGCACCCCAAGAAGCAAAGGTCTCTGCATCGGTAGTCTCATAGCCCAAGCTACCAGTCTGGTTCGTGCCCAACTCGGTATTCATGCACATCAAGATGCCACCATCACTGTAAACGCCGAAGCCGAGACCAAGATCGTGAATGTATTGACCTAGCGCGGGAAAGCCAGCAGGGAAGAGCGTTTCATTCCATGTCAACTTGTTGTCTGCTGTACGGTGAGGCAGTGTCCATCCGCAGTCGGTAGTTACATATGTGTAGCCCAGGTCTGCAAGACCAAGCGATACCAGTGCTTCGGCATTGGAGTGGATGATGCTTTGGTTCGGGGCACAATTGTAGTGGTTGTAACTGTTCCAGCCCATAGGAGGTGTCAATGCTAATCCATTGGCCAGTCTCTTGTGTAGAGTTGGAGAAGCGAGTGTCAAAGTAGGCAAAGCCGTGAGGCCTGCGAGGAGAGCCATTGATGAATACATCTTTCAATGTCTTGATTCAACTTTATTGAAGTCAACATGCTGGCCATTGCGCCAGATTTATATCTCAAGGTCGATCGAGGTTTGCTTCGCTCCGGTTAATGGTGAGATAGTTTCATGCATCCCCCGCAAGCAGACATGGAGTGCTGGAGATCCTCTTCGGGGATCAGCGGTGGGGTAGAGGCTGGAGAAGCCATCCTTGCATCTATATCATCCGCAAATGCTCATTATCAAGTTCTTGTGTAACCATGTTCGGCTGAAGTCGTGTTCATGAACTGAGCCGCTGCAAGATGGTATTGGCGTCGTCATGGTGAACTGCGGTCGTCGAAACGGGGTTCTCATGGCGCATGACCGGTATATTGGTCGGGGCCTTCACAACATGTCGCAGTCAATTGATCGAGTAGGCCGCGATGGTGGAGAGAAGAACATGATGATGTGTGACTGGCAACTCTGAAGCAGAGCTCGACGTCGGAGAGATTAGAAGCGGGCAGGAGCCAGGGTCACTCAGCTCAACCACCTGCCCGTATCTGTTCGTATCCGCAAACCGCCAAGAGTTCAGCACTTCCACGCCATGAAACCAAAGTGTCCTCAGGAAATAACACAAGTTTTTGCCCAGCTCACAGTATTCAAACGGAATTCTGACATTTACTCTTGAAAATATGGAAGTCGTCAACATTGGAACGCGGCGATCGCAACTCGCGATCGCCCAGGTCGACTCGATTGTGAAGCACCTGCAGACTTTCGCTCCTGGGCCCGAGTACAGATCGCAAGTGGTCAGCACAATGGCAGATGAGAATCAAGTCAAGTCATTCCAAGACTTCAATGCCAAAAGTATCTGGACCGAGGAACTGGAGAAACTCTTGATTGAAAAGAAGTTGGATGTTATCGTGCATTGCTTGAAAGGTTTGACCTTGATGACTCTTAGAAACATGAACATATCATTGATGTTGAATAACAGATGTACCAACAACACTACCAGAATCCTGCATCCTAGGCATCATCTGCGAACGCGAAGACCCTCGCGATGTCGTCGTCATGAAAACCAACTCCCCTCACAAAAAACTCCAATCTCTCCCCGCAGGCGCCATCGTCGGCACCTCTTCCGTACGCAGAAAGGCCCAAATCATGCGTCACTACCCTCATCTTATCTGCGAAGACGTCCGTGGCAACCTCAACACCAGATTGCGAAAACTGGATGCTGAGGATAGTTCATACGATTGTTTGATCCTCGCTGCTGCGGGGTTGAAGCGTATTGATCTGGGGTATCGGATTACGCAGTATCTTGGTCCTGAGGATGGCATGTTGTATGCGCCTGGGCAGGGTGCTTTGGCGTTGGAGGTTAGAGAGGGTGATGAGAAGACTTTAAAGCTGTTGAGTTCTTTGTCGCATCAGACAACGACATTGGCGTGTTCTGCTGAGAAGAGTTTGCTCAAGACTCTGGAAGGTGGATGCAGTGCACCTGTTGGTGTGCATACTGACTGGGAAGGCGATGTTTTGGTTTTGCACTCCACCGTTACCAGTCTGGATGGAAAGCAGATGGTCGAGATGAGCATGAAGCATGAAGTTACTACTATCTCGGAGGCAGAATCTCTCGGAAAAGATCTGGCAGATCGCATGATATCACAGGGTGCAAACACAATTCTGGAAGAGATCAGAGCAGGCCTCAGATGATTGAAATGGTTTAGAACTCTATTGATGTAGTTAATATTACAAGACCTATCTCAACTCTTCTCACGGCAGTTGTGTTCCTCGTCACCAGCTACCTTCCTTCAAACAAATTCGGTGTGACTGACAAATCAAAACTCCAGAGCGACCGAAATTTCGAGCACCGACTCAGTGCTAGCTGCCGGTAGGCAAGTACTGGTAGGTGTCGATGTATCGACCATCTCCTCGGGCGTATCGGTCTTCATGATGCAGTATTGCGGGAGATCAGGGGACAAGACAAGGCTCATGGGGAAAGTAAGCCCCGAGCCATTCGAAGAGCAGTACCTAACGAATTCGAAGTTAACAAACGAGTCGTTCCGGATAACGAGACTCGCAAGACCTTACTGGATACCCTTTGGACCTTGAGCCATGTGTTGACCTTTGCCGTTGTAGGTCGCACTCTGCGAAAGACTGACACGCTTTTCGGCTTCCAACTGCAAGTTGATAGCGAGGTTCTCCCATCCTCTCAAGCGACGAGCATAAGCTTGGAGAAGAGCAGGCAACAGCACCACATCGCGGGTACAGTAGTCCACGATAGCTTCGTCCAAAGGTCTGTGATTGAAGACGTCGTAGCTGCCGCCTTTAAGCGGATCGAAGAGCATGTATCCGGCTTCTTTACCTGCCTGCCATTCTCTGACTTCGTAATAGTTGATTCCACTATCCTCTTCAATGCTCTTGGCCAAGCTCTTGAGGAAGCGACCAGGCACCATGCGAGTTCCAAACTCTAACAATTGAATGTCGATGACGGATTGTAGACGAATGCCGAATTGACTGTACAGCGCATCCGAGTCGTTTCGCAGGTCGAAGAAGGCTTTAGGGTATCTGTCGGATTCGAGAATATCCTTGAAGGTGGTACCAGTGGTGCTTTTGGTTTCGAAGGCCAATCTCTGGAGGACGTGTACATCCAACAGGCGCACAACTGGGTTTGGGGGAACCAGAAGCTGAAGGATGGAGATGCTTCCTAGACGGCCTAGGTAAATGCCCTCAAGGTCCATGAACAGGAACGGAGGCTGGAGACTTGAGGATTCGATTTCTTCAATCAGGTGGCGCACTCCTTCTTCGGAGTCGATGAGTATCGTTGACATTGTTGTAGAGTTAGTTGCGAGAGGGAATGATTGGGACAAAAAGGTTGATGCTGGGGCTCAAGGTGTCGTCTGGAGGAGAGTTATGTTTCTATGATGCAGTTCGCACCTTCTCAACCTCAGGCGAGATGCATTACCAGTGCACCAAGAAGTCGCGACACAAGAGAATACATTGACCAGAAGAGCCAAAATCGGAAACAGCATTGCGTCACAACAGCCTCCTGCGAGAATGAATTCAGAGCGAGCGGAGACGCCTCTTTACGGTGTATATTATGATAGCTCTTTTCTCATGAAACAAGCATACCACCATAGTGTCTCTCCCTGCTTGCCAACGCTAGTATATCTCGGAGCCTCCTTGTATCTCTTGTAGCCCTTTTTCTCATACCAGAGCATATTGTTCTGGGGCACAGGCCTATCTGCTCCTTCTCTTTCCCATTGACCCAAGCCATCCGGTCCTTCTACGCCACCGACACAATATCTCGGGCTCAATGTATTGACCGTAACAGCGACGATGGATTCTGAGCCGAATGGCGGCACACGGGCAAGGCGTTCGCATTCATCCATGGCAAAAGCACCTAGGCCAGATCGATGGAAGACAGGTAGCACGAAAAGACTCGTTATGGTGAGAACGCCCTTCTCGGGGTCTGCGAGAGTTGTGTCTGGTACAGCATCCGGCTCATTGATATCGACCTTGTCAAGCGACACATGGCCTACGGGCATATACGTCGTGCCGTCGCGTTTGAAGGTGGGAATGTCTTTTTCAGCGTCGGGTGCGAGGCAGATCCAGAAGAAGCTCCTTGTACCGTCTTCAATGGCAGCCGCCCATTTGGGGATCTTGTCTTTGTTCCAACCGCAGACGATGCGTTGGTTGTAGAGGATTTGACGTTCTTCGGCTATCTTCAGGTCGATGGGGATGAGGCTTGCGGATGAAGGCAATTGGCGGTGGGGGATGGTCGCTGGACCAGAAGGCGCGTTGGTCGTCATGGTGGCCTCTGCTGCTGCTGAGCTTGAGAAGGCTCGAAAGTTGTCTCCTGCATCGTGTTGAAGATGGAAGAAGTCACTCTGCTTTGACTCGCGGAGGCTTCCTGTAGATTGCACCTGCTTGTTCGAGACGCCGCCGTTCGGTTCCGGCCTTGGCATTTCTATACCACCCGTCATTACCTTCATGAAGCCATCCTCCCATCTTGCTGACTTGCAAGAGAAAACGGATCGTTCGAGACACAGAGTCACCCCCATGAACACGACAATTGCCAGCCGTCACAATCGATTCCAGATTCTATATCTGCCTTGTTATAGTCTTTATGCGAAACTCTGCCATGCTGATACTCCCGCCATGCTACGTGGACCTCAACACAGACATGTCAAACCTCGATATATTAGGGCTGAAAGGGTTCCACTGGAGTGCAAATTTGACAAGAGGGCTCATACGAGACGTCTGTCGGGCCACATGGCTATGTATAATGGTGCTAAGAGAAAAGTTTACACAAGAAGAGAATAATCCGACTTCATAGCCTTCGTTACAAATGAGAAATACAGCCACCACCCTTTACACCGGCGATGATGGCTGTGAATGCGACACTGAAAGTTCTTGCTCGATCTTGATGTCTCTGCTCATGACGACGCGTCCGTTCTTGATGTACGCCTTCTTGGTAGCACTCGGTGGTCGAGGGAATTGATAGCGTTCGTGTCGCATCAGTGACCTCAGACTTGACTGTCTTTCCAGCTTGGTTCCGCTGTCCACCCGACATACATCAGACATGCCCGAAGGTGTTCTGGAATGCACAGACATCTCCTGAATGCTCGACAAAGTCTTCTTGGCTTTGCGGTCTATCGTTTGTAGCTCTGCGCCGTCGTCCTTGGAATTGCCCACGATCGTCGTCACAGATCCCATCTGTAGGTCTCCATATGGGTTGATCTTGTCTTCGAAGCTCATACGTGAGACGTATGTGCCGGGTGTGTACGTGATTGGCTTGCCTCTGTGTGTGGTAGGCAGCACTGTGTGTTGCTTGCTGGGGAAGCAGTGTCGGAAGAGTGGTCGAAGGGTCGCAAGTGATGCTGCCACAATTCCAAGTCCTGGCTCTACGATCGACCAACTTGCTATGTTGACGGCATGCTCCAAGAATGTTGGCGATGCTTCGATACCAGGGATATACGCCAGTCGAATGAGTGATGCAATACTCGCGAGAGAGCCGAGACCTAGGAGGCAGCCGGCCGAGATCTTTGTCGACCGGGGGATTGCCGCACTCCAGATAACCGTGACTGGTAAAAGGGAAAAGAGCCAATCAGTCAGAGCATTCATGCCGCCAGCCGTGTAGTAAAGCGGTTGAAGTATCGTGTCGGACACACAAGCTTTCCGCGCCTCCTGGAGGAAGAAGCTGGTAGGGTTGCCACACTGGAAGATGACGATGAATGTGAACATCAGGCCGTAAGTCGTATAGATCCCTGTAGAGATGTAGATGGTCTTCCTCTGCCACGAGAAGTTCTCGGGAATGATGCGAAGGAAAAAGATGGCCAACGCGAGCTTCAAAACAACTGTGGTGACGATGTATAGGGCCATGAATGCCATCACAAGCTGAAGATAACGTCAGCACATATTTGTCAATCGGGATGATTATGTGGCTTACTCCAAAGATCTTGTCGATCAAATCATACTGAGCCAAAAATCCTTTCGTCAACGCCTTACTTGCAGCACTGCTCCTCTCAATGTCTTCGATGGCGATCAGACACGCGCAGCACGCTGTGAAGACGCACAGTGTGAGGAGGATCAACCAGTCGTCCCAGTGAAACGACCTCAAGATTGAAGCTCTGACGTACACGCGTAAGCTTACAGCGAACCAGGCCAGTACGAGGAAAGCGACCGAGACCTGGAACATAGGCAACAGAGTGTGCTTGAGCTCCAGCATTCTCGAGATCTCTGCGACGTCCATGTCCGTTACACCAAGCGAGGCTGCCATTTTGGCTGCGATAGCCTCACTCGACATCGACATTGTGTTTTGGTCGTAGAGGACAGGCGGGGACCTCAAGGTTAAAGAGCAACACCGGTCCGGAAGTTTTTAGCGGTTCATGCGAGAACGTTGCACGGTGGGATGGAGGTGGATTTAGTGTAAAGGAACGAGTCGATAACCCTGCGTCTAGGCAAAGAAAAAGGGGTGAAAAGAAGGGTACAGCACAATGTTGCAGTGCGGAAGCGACGTCAAAAAGAAAATGGAAGGAATGTAGAGGGACGCTCAGCGTGCAGTGAGGACGAGGAAGTCAGGGACTCGAGCGACAGCGAAGGAGAAAATACCACGACCAACCTGCCCGAATCTTGATGAAGAGACCTGGCGAACCCATTTTGATAGATTAAACACGACTATTTTATGTCAGAGCACTTTTCGAGCACCTTGATCTGCCTCAAGGATATAGAAGCTGGCTGGATGCTTGAATCGCGTTTCCCCCTTGACCCCGTGCATCGGTGAGCACTCGGACAATCCCGCGCCATGACGCCTTGTCACATGGCTAGAGCGACTGCGTGCTTGCGCTATCGTCGACCTTTTCTCTTGACGTGCATGCCTGCATCAACTGGCGGCGATGGGGTGCATAAGACGACAGACGGCGGCCACGCGATCATTGTAACGGCCGGTAATGCCATTGATATCGTCCTCAATCAGGAGTACCATCATGCAGCAAGAGAAGAACGCTCTTTAACTCAGCTCGCTTACACGCCAGGCCTCACGACCCATCTGCGAATATGTCCCAAACAGCCAAGTCTGATATTGATCGTACCCGGTTGACTCGAGAGGGCTTGTACATACAGGGCAACGTCAAATAGGCTGGTGCTGATGAAAGGCAAGAAGAAGAGCAGAAGAAAAATCGAGCCCTGAAATTTCCAACGCACCGTCGATGAAACGCGCCATTTCCTGGGGTAGATGTCCATCTCGTCTAACAGCTATTCGGTACCAATCAATCCACCACAAGTTGAGTTGAGTTTCTCTTATACTGGCATCTGATCGATTGTAGAAGATGCAGGGGAGTATTCCACTTTTAAACTTTGTGTAGTGGTGGAGGAAGCCTGAGGCTCTAGGAAGATCTAAGCATCTATACGGAGTAGGTAAACGATGGAAAGAGTCGACCGACAGTCCACCAGCCAGTACCGACGGCCTGTCAACGTCTCGTGATACCGACATCAATAATCTCGACTGCAGCGACTCATAAATTTGATCACTGCAGGCGTCGGCTTCTGCATGCTGCGCCTGTTACGCTCTTGTCCCCTTGGTGACTACGGCAGTCTCACAGCCTCGCATCACTGACAGCATTTTGTCCAACATCGAAGCAGCACAAGAGATAGACCGCGTGGTTGATGCATCAAAGTAGATTGCCGACCCACTAATACTTCTCCAGATCAGCACGCGTAACCCAGCGACACCGACTCTTTCTACTCGCTTACACGCCAACGTCTTGCGACCACACTTCTTTCCCTTATCAATCTCAAATTCTTCAAACCGTATCACCAAATTGTCTCAAGCCGTACAACGTTTCTTCGACGGGTAATCACCCTTTGATATCTCAACATTTGCCGCCAATCTCTATCTTCGACACTGCTTGCCTGACTCGGCACTTTCAACCGGGTCATCAATGTGCAACCCGCTAGAATGCCGGGAGGCTGGTGAAGATGACCAGGTCAATGGGCCAGAATATTCCAGATTATTGGACACACGTTGCTTCGACATCACAGAGATGTACGAGTCACGATTTCCGCCCACCTGAAAGCAGATGGAATTCCTTCACTTCCAGCCACTAGTGATGTCGGAACCTGCACTTCTATCGTGACTGCGGCGCACCTTTGCCACAAACAGCTTCCAATCTCGTAAGTTATGTGCAGGAATACATCTTGCTGAACCTGGTGCCGGACTGGTTGCATGAGAGATCTATTTTTGTGATGGTGTCATGCAAGATTCCCATCACTCGACCGCAATGACTGCTGGCACAATCCTCCTGGTCGCTGTCTTGGAAGTCGGTACTTTGGACGTAATCATCTTCTAGGGAATTGAACAAGACGTGGTTATAGACTCCCATTGACACTCATACGGTCGTCACACGCCCTTCGTATGCGCACTACTACATCAAGGCTTCACGGTGCTCAAGGCCTGTGCCTTCCGAGGAAGCGAACCAGGCCAAGGGATATCACTGGCCTCCTTCTAATCTCGACATCACATCTTCGAATCGCCGGGTGTTGCACGTCACCCGCCATAGCTTTGTGCATGCATTGTCACAACTACAAGCCTGTCAGTGCCGAGTCCTGAATTTCGCGCAATAGCATTGTACTGGCGCCTGAAGGCTCCCAACCTTGTGCCATACACAATGATGGGTGTGAATTACATGGATCATATGCTCTGCAGAACATGTGGGCGGCTCGGTCAAGTACGGGTGGGTTTCGAGAAGATCATCAGGGTGTTTGCTTCGAGCTATCTGCCTCATATCACCATGCAACTATGCTATTGATGCTTCAGCCAAAGCATCTTGCAATCTACGGCCGACCGTCGACTCTCATCTGCGTCAGCGCTGACACTATCTTCTCTGTGTCCCAGTTGGACGTGATCGCCTCGCGTATCACATCCTGCTCGTTGGCGGGTGCCATGCCATTAGGAGCAGGAGGTCTGTTATCAAGATTTGTCGGGAAAGGATAGCCTTCACCAATCGCCGCAATGACAGTTTCGACACGATCGGAAAGTCCTTCGGCCTTGTACAGCTGTTGAATCTCTGGCCAGCACACCTTGACAAGTGGGATTGCGTCAATCTGTTCCATTGGTTTTCCAAAAGCGCTGCTAATTTGGAGCAGGTTTGCACTTCGATCGACCTGAGATGTGTTGTTGCCGGCGGCATGATGGAGCGCTGGGTTGAAGAAGACACCATCACCTTTTCTCAATGGTAGGGACACCCAGTTCTCATTGAAATATTGATCAAATTCAGGCAGTCGGTAGGCCATGAATCCTGAATCAAGCTTCTGGCTGAATGGAAGGAAGCGAGTCGGACCACTCTCTAGTGGCATGTCGCTTTGCGCTACAGCGCCCTGTAGTGTTAAGAATTGACTGGCGTGTTGCATGCCTCTGGGGAATCTAGAGCAGCCTTCTGCAGTCTGGAAGCCTAGATGATAATCGCGATGGCTCACTTGCGCTGCTCCTCCTGGCTTGACAATGTTGGTCTGAGCTGTGACACGATACTGCTGTCCCAGCCATGCCTCGCAGACTCGGGCTAGCCAAGGGTTCGAATAGTATTTGACGAAAGAAGAAGGGTCTTGTAAGCCGTGTTTGCTGAATGAGTTCCAGATCCGGTCGTTCTTTCCACCAGCGGCGAAGTGATCACCTTTGGTATGCGACTTCTCTCTTTCGATAATCTGGTGGAAGGCTTCGTTGGTCTCGTCGAGTAAGGGTTGGTCGCTGTACATGTTCTGTACTACAAAAACACCGGGTCCATTGGCTAAAACTTCGTACCATTCGTCTTGAAGGTTGTTCGCGGCTGTCTTGTCGGAATTATACTTGGCTAGGTTGTAAATCGGAATGTTCTTCTGCACTTCAGACGCCAGAGGGTAATTCTTGGTCGTAACAGATCGGTCGCAGATGTTTGCCAGGCTGGACACTTTAGGTGTGTCTGCAATGGCATATAGTCTTGATGGTATCGCAGCCTTGACTGGAGGAGGGCTGTAGCTATCGATAGCTTCCGAGTTGGCGTGAGGGCTCATGATTGTGGCAGTTCTGCGGGTCGTACGGCACCAAGCTCTAAGTGCTTGCTCGGGACGCTGTCTCTTGAAAATTTCGACTGGTTTAAGGACCATTTTGACTTGCTGATGGAAGTCGTTGGTGATGCGGCGATGCCCTAGAAAGCGGGGCACTTATGGCGGGGTCGATTTCGGAGACCATTCTCCGGCAACACGTCAATCTTTCTTTTCGCTCTCTTCCCTTTCTTGCAGGAACTTGACATCCGGACTTGAAGACTGCTCGAAGCGTTAGTCCAGTCGACAAGTAGATTATTGCTACTGTAATATCAACAGATTGAATCATTGTCAACAGCGTTGAGGTCGCAATAGCAACACTCCCCATCGACGACCACCTCGCCAAGCTTCACCAAAAGCCGACGAGATCATTGGGGAAAGAACGATCCTCGTTGCTTATCCTTCTCATTTCCGAACCATCCGAATCTCATTCGAAACATGCTGTTGTGAACACGGCGACAGGAATCCGAGCAGACAGCATCATCCTCATCATCATGGGTGACCTTAACAAGAGCAGCAGCAAGGCAGTTCGGAAGAACGCCTCCAACGCATGCAAGGGCTGTCGAGAGAGCAAAATTAAGGTGTGATCTGAGCGTTACGTGTTTACTATGTCCGATTCTGGATATGTGACTGACAACTGGTAGTGTGATAATCAACAGCCTTGCAGTGGTTGCACCAAGAAAGAGAGAGAATGTGTTTATGACTCTCGAGATGACAAAAGACGGTAAGACAGAAACAATTACATGATAGAATGCAGGCTTCTCTCATGTCTTGATATGGTTGAGGCTTAGCATAGCTGATCCCAAGGCTGACATCTGCTAGTGTCCAACTCCGCACTGCGGTACACATCCTCGTCCGGAGGGTACAGCAACTCAGCCAAGTCATTGTCGAGGCAGAAAAGGAAGTGCCTCAATTAAGCAGCGAAGATGCAGAGTTTCTGGACCGTGTATTGGGCACTCTCGGTCTCTCTGATGCTCCACCGTACGAGTCTTCCACTGCCAAAAAGAGCAGAACACCAACTCGACCACCCACTGAGCAGAACACTCCTACTTCTGCGACGTCACAACTACCACCAGCAGGTCCTTCGATGTCAGTGGAAAGAGACTCGGCACTTCAGCAGGTGATACCAAGCAACGCCATCGCCCAACCCTATTCTCAGTCAGACTTCGATAATGCTGCAGGAGTGTGGGCCAGTATGAATCCACAAGCAACGACTCAATCTCCAGGAAGTAGTATGATGCTAGGCGAAGATCATATCTCGCCAGACTGGCCCTTTCCGTCATTGGACAATATGCTCAACTTCGACCTCTTCGACCCTAGTGACCTATCCTTGCAGTTCTTGACAGTACCGCCAGCAGATGCTCCACTCTCATCGATTCCGCAACGGGCATTTTCTCCAGTCCGCCAGATCGAACAGACAGCACATCAACCAGAAGACAATACATCAAACTCAGGAGATGAAGAAAACACAGAATTGGTCAACCAATTGTCTGCTCGTTTAGGCTCTCTACGTTTGGCACCAGATGGGAAGTTGAGATACTTCGGCACGGCGTCGAATCTGCATCTTATAGACAACCAAAACAAATCTGGCGAGAACTTCATGTTGCATACACCGTCACGGGTTAATATACAACGTCTGCTCGAGGTCGCTGATCTGAGTCAAGCTGTTGACATGCAGCTTGAAGACCATTTACTGCGACTGTTTTTCACATGGCACAACCCCAGCAGTTATATCGTGGATGAAGAGGTCTTCTACATGGCCAGACAGAGTTGGTTCAACACCGGTGTCCAGAATAGCTATTACAACGATGTATTGAAAGATGCAATGTAAGCGCAATACCCCTAGAACCTGGCCAGAGGTAGACACTGATTTGATTTGTCAGGTGTGCGATAGGTGCTTCCTTCGGCAGCCACTCACAGTTCAGTCTCATCACATATCCAAGGTCGATGCCTCAGTTCTTTTCAGACCGAGCAAAAATCTTGCTTGACTCTCACCTTGACAGTCCTTGTGTAGCAACTGTACAGGCTCTTGTGATATTGGCGAGCTACGAAGAGACGTGTCAGAACATCGCACGAGGCTGGTTGTTCGGAGGTGAGTTTTAATACCACAGCATGCCTTCCTCGGACTAACGTCATGCAACAGGGATGGCAATGAGAATAGCTTTTGATCTTGGTCTCCACGTTGACAGTACTGGATACGTCACTCAAGGTATCTTAACACCGGCCGAGGCACGGGCAAGGCAGGTTGCCTTCTGGGGCTGCTACGTTTCGAACCTGTAAGAATATCTCCAACATCCCGTATATTACGCACTCCTAACAAACAACCAGTGGCTGGAGCTTCCACCTCGGACGACCATTCTCGCTCGACGATAGCGAAGTGACTGTGGCCAAACCTGACCCCCAAAATCTACCATCGACCACTTGGCAACCATACACGATGCCTTCCCTCGAATTTGTGTCTGGCGCCACGCCACAGAATACCTCTCAGCTCCCTGACATCACGCCCGAGATTTTCAGGATGTCTCTTTACCTGTGCCAGAATATCGCGGCCGTCGGTCACGCTCTTTACTCGTATACTTCGATCTCAAAACCCGCTCTTCAAGAGTTATGCGAGGAAACCACCACCGAACTCTTTCACTGGAAGGAAACGCTACCCCCTCATCTTCAAATCAACACTGCGGATACGGAGACGGTAAAGCTGCCACAATTGCTGATGTTGCACATGGAATATCACCATCTTCAAATATTCTTGCATCGACCATGGACGAGTTCGCAACTACAACCGCAACCCTCGCAAGGTCCAGGTGTCCACCACGCCCGCCATATCTGTGCCACCTCGGCAACTGAGATTGCTCGTCTCCTCCGCATCTACGAGATCCAGTACTCGTTCAAGTTCATCAATGTCGAGATTATACGAATTCTGTCTTCGGCGGCTCTGATCTTGATCTTTGCGACTGTGCCTTTACCGCATAGAGAGGTCAATAGCGAGATGACCCGTCATCTGAATACTTGTTTCAGAGCTTTGGAAGAGTTGGGCGGTAGATACGATTCAGCGAAGGAGACAAGGTGTACTTTGTTAGCTATCCAGAGGAGGTGGAACGACATGTATGGAAAACGGACAGGACAAAAGAGAGGTGCGAGCACGAGGAATACGGCAGGTCAAGGCAAAAGAGTAAGAGCGGCACCATCCTAGTACGGTTGTATATCCAAAAACGAAGTATCTTTCGCTTCTATCTCAATGCTTAGATACAGGTCATAAGGCACGGTCTATCTACCGTCCAGTTCCAATGTCCAATGAGAGTCCCATTTTTACCGTCATTTACTAATGACAGTGCCTCCATCCTCATGACATTATGCTTTTTTCCTAGCATACTTCGCGACTCGATCGCGAAGGGAAGGATCATGAAATTCTGCTGCTGTTTCCTATCAGACGTTGGAATCCTCTCAATGTCGTCCATAGCGAAACCTGTGCCAGCACTGTGCGCTTCCAATGATTCAAGATCTCAATCTAATCATAACGCCTCATCATGCAATCCCAAAAGACCATCGTGTATCGTAATCATGAGTCATTTTTTCGTAAAGTTTCAGTCCCTCCAAATCCAATAGCAATAAACTCCTGCAAAATAGCACAAACTTAGGTTCTTCAGAACTGAATCAACCTCTGGCCACCTCCGGTCAAGAAACCACCGACGTTCTTCTGAACGGTTTCAAACTTGGTGTAGCCACAGCTCTCGCTCTCGAAATGGTTGAAGAGGGCAGCCAGAGTTGGGAAGCGGCGAGTGCACTTTCCATTCTTGTTGGGGCAGTGATACAGAGGAGCTTGATGAACGGGGCTGCGAAGATGCTGCTCCAAAGCTCTGGTGCTGCAGAATTCGCGGTGGCAGATGTAGCACTCATAGCCAGAACCATTGTAAGCGCGATTGGGATTCCAGGTTGCGTTGATGGAGTTGCCGTCGTGCCATTCGAGGAGGCGCTCTGTGAAGTTGCCATCGTGGTCGAGTTGGCGTAGACCACGATGAATGACATTGCGGTCCAGGTTTCTAGCTTTAGGGCAAGCTGAAGTCTCCACATGGTGAATAACGCCGGAAGCCGTGGTGAGGGTGGTTTGACAGAAGGGGCAGGCGATGGTGCTGCCTCGATGGACGCGAGAGTTCATGTGCTGAGCGAGGTTGTTGGCGTGGCGGAAGTAGCGGTCGCAGTCAGAGCAGTGGAGATCCTTGTAGTGGCCTTCATCATTCTGGTGTCTGTCGCGAGCGTCTTCGGTGCGGAATGCCAAGTCGCAAGTCTCACAATCGTAAGGGCAGGACCAGTGATCCTTCTTGTTCATGTGGTCTACCGATCCTCTTAGGGTACTGAAGCGGCTGTAACAGGTGTCGCATTCGTGAGGCCATCTCCAGTGACCCAAAGCATTCATGTGCTGTTGACAAGCCTTCCAAGACTCGAAGCAGCGGGTGCATGAGTCGCACTCGTAGATGCCCATGTCGTCCCGAATCCTTGAAATGCGAGATAGACGTTACAACAGATGAGAGGAAGCTCAGAAGCTGATGGGGAAATGAGGATGTCGACAGTCAGATGTCGAGAAGGAAAGCAGCGTGGAGTGAGGGGAAGAAAGCTAGAGTTGTCGCAAGGATGCAAAGAGCTTATCAACGAACGAGGAAGGATCGAACCGTCGTTTCGGCTATATGATACCATCATACCGAACGCATGGTCAGTCCTCTGGCACTGGCGAGGCCGTCTCAAGCGATTCATATGGTCAATCGAGCAGTTGTCTTGACGCACCATCGGTTTCTAGCTTGACGGGAGTCTGTTTTAGACTGGTAGTCTCTCGTTGAATGATACCTGAAAATTCCACGATCGCAGTGCGTTACGACAGCTGCTGTAAGATCTGCATATCATGTCTCGGAGCAATGTGAATGTGTCGGATAAGAAATTATTCACGTTCGATACTCACTCCCGGCCTTTGACCCACAGTACTTCGCGAAGGCTTGGCAGGTGCAGCAGACTTCTTTCGGAGCATTCTTATCTGAGCTACAGAAGACACAACAACATTGAGACCACGGATTCTTCGCACTGATATAGTAGGTACAGTTCTGGTGTCTTGTATGGGGAGCTTGTATCTCATCCTGGCTGTGCTGTATTGTATTGTGTCATGACTTGATTCATAGACCTTCACACCCGTTCACATTCCTCCACCTCACAATCCGTCCACCATATCATCTCCTCCATCAAGAAATTATGTCTGACCAATCGCCGATGTCTTTCTTCAGGTCGGCGACGCTAATGAATCCGCAACTTCCACCCTCTAGATGGGCCAGCAGTGCAGTGAGAGATGGGACAAGTTTCCCTCCACAGCTTCCGGTTGTGTAAGGGCAACGGTACAGAGGAGCGTCTGGTCCAGTGGCTTGCACTGTGACCATGCCATCCGGGTCTTGTTTACGCAGACCTTGGTAGATGTTGCTAAGGTTCAGGTTTGGCCGCACGTGACAGAACGAAGTTTCGAGGTGCTGAGCCACTTCAAACACTGCCCCAAAGCCAGCTCTGCAAAATGGACAAGTAGTGCGCTGAGGCGTCTCTTTTTGTATTTCTCGTGTAGGCTCTGTCTGCTGAGACATAATTCTGGACATTGAGAGTGGATTGTCGCCCTTGGTCTGCTCTGATTGGGTGTTGACTGCGAGGGGGGGCTTGGCGATGGATGTAGTCGGCGTGCGGCTGACGACAGGTGGGGGTCGAGGGACGGGAGTAGAAGCCACAACAGGGAGAGGTCGCGGAGCAGGAACTGGACTGGCAACAGACGGACGGAGAACTCGACTGGCAACAGACGGAGTGGGTACAGGTCTGGCGATTGGTGGACTGAAGGGAGCAGCAGGTCGTTGAATGGGGTCGGCGCGCGTATGGATGGGTGAGTCCATATGTTGACCTAGGTCGCCGTCATGCTTGAAATAGCGCTTGCAGGGGCGACAGTAGAGACGCTCCCAGTGGCCAAGACTGTTCATGTGCTGAGTTGCTCCTTCGTCGGTTCTGAAGCGCTTCTCGCATGTATCACAATCGTGAGGGAAACGACTGTGGCCCAGTGCGTTCATGTGTTGCCTGCAAGCGTCCCATGCAGAGAAGGGTTTCTTGCATCTGTCACACTTGTATTCGGAGCTGTTGATTTCCGAGCTGGGTTTCTCGACGTATCTTTTGGGGTCCCGGTGATTCAAGGCTCTCTCGTGCTCCTCGACTGCGTGCTCGCTTCCAAACATCTTGCCGCAAGTATCACATTTCCAGTGACTCAGGGCATCCATATGTTGTACGCAACCGTCCCATGAGCCAAACTCGCGATCGCAGGAATCGCAGGGCCAATCGCTCATATTTCCTTTGGTGTGATGTCAACGTCTCTGTGTGCCCCTGGCTTGGAGAATGTCAGAAAAGCTCAGCGTTTATCTAAGTAACGAGCAGCTCGACGTGTGATCTGAGCCAAACGTGAAACAAGCGTGAAGATGCGACTGAAGTGACGGGTTGATAAAGGAAAGAAGAACATACCAGAAATTAATGCGCAGATAACTGCAATGGAGAGAAGCAACTGTTTCGAATGAGGCGGAAGGTGCGCGTACACGAGAAGGCGCTCTTCTGTCGAAATGGATATTTTGAACGTGCCGGAAGATACTCCTGCAGACCTGCGCGGCCTTGACAGTTGTATTGATGTTCACGAGCGTAAGTGAGTAAATGATTGAGGGTGTGCGATGGATCGAGTTTGGTAGCGATGAACGATCATCGACGGAGCCTTGTCGAAAGAAAGCAAAATCCGCAAAGTTCAACAAACAGCTTAATCGACGGACACGACAAGAGGAATTGAGACCTCCAGGAACACAAGCCAAAGATTACGTTGTATGATACGTACATAAGATAGCCTCTCGCCTTCGCAGTTGTTGCCAACTATCGCGCCTCTACATAGCCATTATGGGTCGACAGCCGAATGTGATCCTTCATTCGTAGCGAGCAGTTTACCACTTCCATGTGCGAGGGCCGTAGTACTCGTCTCCGCTGACAGTCTTTCTAACAGCAGAACCAGCTCCGTCAAGAGTGGTGCTAACAATAGTGGTGCCCCAATAATCGGGCATAGCCTTGCCAGGAAGTTGAACACAGAAGAAGAGGATGATGGCACAGAGAGCAAGGCCAACGTCCAGAGCAGCGGAAGTGATGTAGTTGTACTCCATCCACCAACCACGGTACTTGTTACGGATGAACTTGTTGAAGACCCAACCAACTGCGCACCAAGAGAGCTGTAATGCGTTAGCATGATTCGAGTTGACGTATCCGAAGAACTAGCAGGCTTGCTCTGTAGCCATGGCAATGCACAATTTAATGCTAGATGAGAGCTTGTCCACTGAAAGCTTGGTCTACTGGGGACTTCCATTGGACAGAGTCTCATCTAAGAAAATATTGTGCCTCCCGACAAGCGACCTAGAGTGTGTCTGTTTGTCGGCATCGGGGCAGGGTGTATTCAACTTACAATATTCATGGCCGAGTAGGGAGGGACGTAACTGAAACAGGCGAAGATCAGGGGCATGCTGATCTTGCGAATCAGAGAGATTCTAGGGAACATGCGAGCCAGACCGTAGACCAGGAATGGCGCGATGAAGCCAGCCAACCAGAAGTACTGCAGGCCCTCGTACACGGCGCCAGACGAGAACAGGTGCTTACTAAAATAGAGTTAGCGAAGTTCTGTAGGAGAATTGGACATGGCGCGAATCCAACGAGCCAACTCGGGGATTGAGCTTGACATCAACTAGAGAACATCCTGGATGTCTCTTGTTGTTGCTAGCACGTGGTGGTGAGCTGAGATGGCTGGTTGGTGCTCGAAAGTCCCAAATTTTCACCAGATTGCCCACCACACCCAAGTATGACTCCCTGGACCTCTTCCCATGAGCTACTTACGGCCCAATAGCCCCCCAGATTATGGACGCGTTGAAGAACGTTTTTCTAAGGCTCTGGGTCAGCAGGAGAACAAGGTGGATAGGTAAGATGGAAGAAAAAATGAAAAAAGATGAAAAAAGATGGAAAAAGATGGAAAAAAGACGGCGACGACCAGGAAAGGTTTGCTTACATGGAGGCACAAGTGAAGCTCCCGCTCGCAGCCTTAGTGCAGACGTTCTTGATTGCTCCCATAGCCCATTCTACAGTGGCGAGCTGGCAAAGGCAAGACCAAATGGTGGCAACCAATTGGGCAGTAAACAACGAGCGTTGAGGTACGTGCATGTAGTGTCCGAGCTTGAGATCCTGACAAAAGTAGAGAGCCTGTGTCATGACAATGTAACCAAAGGTCTTGAACATCATCATGGCAATAGGGTGGCCGGGTTGGACGTAACCTGAAATTCGGTCAGTTTTGGGGGGAACTTTGACCACCACCTTCTATCAAGCCAAGGCTTACCAATGATAAACTCAGTGAAAACATTCAGTCCCAATTGACTACACATGAGTTAGCATGTCTCTTCTGTGGGCCTTGGTGTGAAACCAGAATCTGCACTCTCGGGTACATACATGTTGGTGAAGGCCTGGATGATACCAATTGGAATGGTGAAGACGGTCGCGATAACCAGAGAGAGGACGACTGAGTACCATGCCATGCCGGTAGGATAGGCTAATGCTGACACGAAGGCGAAGGCAATGGTAATGGCCAGAAGAGCGAGGTACCACCAGGTGGGGACCAACTTGTACTTGCGCATGATCTTCATGTGCACATCGTCGAGCTCGCCCTTGGAGGACTTTAGTCTGCGATAGATCTCCGGACCGTGGAACAGATAAGTATGGCTGACCAGAGCAGCAATACTGGCAAAGCTCATGCCGTAGGTCAGGGCGAAAGCAGTTGAAAGGAACAGGGGCGAATATCCCTCATAGGCGACAGGATCAACAACATGCTCAGGTGTAAGGATGCGAGAAATATTATAGACGTTTCCCACATTATCCAGAATGCCGTTCTGCGAGATTGGGACATATTCGCCGTACCAGACACCACCATAGTGTAGAGCAGGGACAACTATCCAGCCGAAGAAGATGATACCAACGCCAGTGTTGGCAAGAGCGTGCCAAGGACTGATCAGGGGGCTGTTGTAGAAAGAATTAATCTGGCAAAGGGTTAGAAACTGTTCAAGACTAAGTCTTGGCCTGGAGTGGCCTCGCTTTCTGTTGGTGAAGCTTACCTGGGCCCAGTCCATAGTGAAGCCAGTAAAGGGGAAGCCTAGACTGATGCCTGTCTGTTGTCCAAAGAGCCTTTGAAACAGAGGGAGTCAGCATGTGTTGATCAATCTGGGTTGAAAAATGAAAAAAAAATCATAAATCAAGAAATTGACGCGGACGCGAGGACATGTTGATATGACTCATGGTAAGCAGCGTACCCAGGTACAATATTATCGCACTTGAGAGGCATGGAAGGTAAGGGAAAATACGATACGTACTGGTTAACAACAACGTTGTTGGGTTTGGCCCAAGTGACCCAAGCAAAGTAACTGAAGGCGGGAATGATAAAGTCAGGGAACCATGACCAAACGAACATAGCGGTCATGATGATCATGAACCACTTGTAGCGGGACATAGACCAGCCGTTTGTTGCAGCAGGGTCAGCTCTGCTGTGATCGTGCAAAGCATACATGAAAGCGACATTGACCAGGGCACCAGGCCAGATCATAGCGGCAGGCTCGACAAGGAATTTTCTGACGGAGCCAGCAAGACCAAATCCAAGACACTGTGTAGAAAGGGCGAACAGAGTGTTGAAGCCCCAGCCGAACTGACTGGTGTCGAAGTGGTAAAACTTCTTCAACGAGACGACAGTCTCAACGAAGTAGCCAGCACCACCACCGAAAGCAGCGTTAGCCATGGCGACAATGATAACGTGCTCCTTGACATTGAACGGCCCAGGGTTCAAGTTGGCTGTGGTGCCAAACAGCTTGAATTCCTTGTTCGGCAGAACTTTGGCAAATGCGAGACCGATAGGGTAAGCGATCAATTGCACGACGTAAGGACCAATAGAGATGGGGGGATAACGCAGCAAGAACAGTGCGTTGACTGACGAGCACACGGTAGTCAGGATGAGACCAATGGTCCATGCTCTGATAGTGCTTGCAGGTACGTCTTCATCGTAGTTGCGCACAACGGCGCGGACTTCCGGGTAGGGTGAGTTTTCGATAATTTCACCAACAAGCTGTGCTTCTCCCTTTGCATCGTGAGTACCAGTGACAGCGTCAACCATCTCGATGGCTTCGTCAGGCATGTTGGGATCCCATCTACGAGAGTCAGTATGCGACAATCAGCATCAGAATGGTTAGAGAACATACTTGTGGTCCTGACGGAAGACATTGAGCCTGTGATTGGCTTCCACCTCTGGAATCTCGCGGACTACACCCTCAATGATCTCGTGTGCGTCCCCATAACCAGCAACCATCTTGCTGCTACTGGCAGCAGCGCCTCCATCCTCCTGGCCAATTTCGGTGACAGTGATTGGGTCCTGGTTGGTGTTTGATCTCTTGAAGCCTAGCCTCTTGCCAAACCCTTTGGACGACATCGTTACGGTACTGAGTAGTAACGATGGGAAGATCGATCGGCTTGAGGAAGTCGAATCGCCGTCGGAAAGTAGAGGAGGGCCCCTGTTATAACTTTACCTCCAGCTACTCACGAGATAAGGTCGGCCAATTGAGTGTGGTAACCGTAACCTACTCCTTCTACATCCGTCACAGCACCTGAGGTTATCATAGTGGGAGGACATGGCCGAGGTCAATCATCTAGCCAGGAACCTTGTTTCAAGCGGGCCGCCGACCAGAGATGAGCATTCAATTGCGTGGCTACAAGATAGGTTCACTTCCGTTGTATGGGCATGTTCGCACGCGACCCGTGAAAGACATGGTTGAAGATTGAGCTAACGGAGGAAACAGTGCCACTAGCTTCAGCGAAAGGAGTGAAGAGAGGTTGTAACGTCTAGACGTTACTGATACACCTTGACACCTTCCTAATGCAGCGCAGCCTTTGTCTTATCATGGTCACAAGCACTACGCCGTGGGCACTTGGCAGATCAAGCTCCAGGGTTTGAGACCTTGTCCGTGAGCTTAAGTTGCTTGTCGCTGGTTGGCAAGGATCTTGGTGAGGCTTGTCGCGGTGCTTGAGTCGTGACGACGAGTAAATGCTATACCATCTCACAGCTCGATTTTTCCTCACCGCAGAACGAAAGTGCTCTTCTGTGAGTGCAAGCATGCTGTCATCTCTTTCGCATGTGGCGAACGTCAAGATAAGCTTGAGGATCAATTGAGATCCTTTGCAGTGGTAATTACGTACCGGTTTTCTGGAAGAATGATGAGGGGTGGGAATACGCGAGGTGGCGCCTGTGAGTTATCGCCATTCGTATTGCCATCCCACGTCGCTATGATGGCGCGCACAATCCCCTCTCATTTGAGTGTGTGTATCTCCCAGCCATGACTTTATGATAACAATCGGTGAGTCCGGAAGAGTATGATACAATGCTCAATCGTTGGAAGAAGCTTTACTCGAGGAGCCCAACTCTTGCGAGAAGTCCGATATTATTGTTGTGACGCGTGCGCCCACTATCCTGGCCCGAGTATCTGGCGAGCGCTACTAACCGAGCGAACGGTCAAGGGGGTTTTGGGGAGATCGACGCGGAGAAAGGACAATCTGCGGGGTGCGGGTATAAGCAAAATCCTCCCCGTGTGCGGAACTTTGTCACGCGTATAGCTGTAGAAATGCACAATGTTTTTAAGATCAGTACAGCCATCCACTAAGAGTGTGATAGTTAGCGCCTCTCTGTGGACGACTAAAGCGATTTTGAGAACATTGTGCATTTCTACAGACTAAACAACCCTAGGCATGGCTGTGGAAAATGGCTGGAAGTGACGGAATTTAGCACACGGGGAGAATCAATCTCGAAGACTCGCAGATATTCCTACACGTACCTACTCTCCCATCTCCCGGATCAACTATACAGCTGATGAGATGCGCAAATAATGTACGGCGAGATGGCGCCTCCAGGGGTGGAGGGTCACAAACCCCTAAAACACGTCAACTGCCAACCGTCGAAACACAAAAACCACAATGTTTTTTTTGTCTCGACACAATCTTAAACAGAGAGCACGTCGCTCTCTGTGGGCGTGCGTCCAAAGGAACAAAACACCTTGCATTTCGATAGCTGGCCAGCCTGTCCATGGGAGGCTGAGATGAGCTCTCGGCTTTGGTGCGACTTCTTTCTTACACTCACGATACCTATCGATACATATCACTACAGTCATAATTTCGTCGACTCTAGTTAGAAGGGATATTAATCGCAACTCCTTCTCTCATGGCTCTCTTCACTGCATCAACAACAATCAGAGCCCTCACGGCATCCTCTCCCGAGCAAGTTGGCTCCTCCTGACCTTTGACGACCTTCACAAACTGTTCAACCTGCAGTTCGAATGGTATCTTGGTCGACTCCACGACTAGATCTTCCTCTTTCAACTTTCCTATCCAGGTCTTCTCTCTACCATCATAACTCCACCTCTTCATATCTGGCACACTCAGTGAGGCATCTGTGCCAAATATTCTGTAGAAGTCCATGCCTGTAGCTGGAATAGTTGGATTTTCTCCAGTGCCAGATTCAAAATTGTGAGGTGATGGCACAGCGTCTGAGACTATAAATGTCCCCACGCATCCACTCTGGAATCTCAGCAAGACGGCGGCACCTTCCTCGGCATCAAATCCTCTCTGCTTGATCGTCTCTTCCGCCGACACCCTGACAATCGGTCCCAATAAGTATTGCAGGATGTCGATATCATGTACCAAATTGATGAGGATAGGTCCACCGTTGGTACCGTCTTTCCTCCACTGTCCCACTCCTTCGAAGTACTCCGGCGGCTTGCAGATCGTCCAGAGCCCAGAAATGGCAATGATGCGTCCCAACGAAGGTAGAGCTGCTTTGGTAGCTCTCACATAGCGGTTGAACCTTCTATGATGACCAACTGCGAATGCTGCCTTGCTCTGTTTCACGTGGTCCAGGACGTCCATCGCACTGTCCATGTCCGTAGCAATAGGCTTCTCGCAGAGTACCGATACACCAGCAGTCAACAACTGCTTCGATATGGGGACGTGAGTATGGTTCGGTGTACAGATGATCGCTGCTTGCGGCTTGTGAGCTGATGCCAGCATGTCTGTAAGCGAAGTGTAGATTGGAACTCCAAATTGGTTCGCGACTGCTACGGCTGCAGGATTTGGGTCGACGAGACAAAGGAGTTCTGCTGATGAGGTATTGACAATTGCCGATGCATGGCGAGGACCTATGAGTCCTGTACCTATGATGGCAAAGGTGACTGGAGATGAGCTTGCCATGTTGGTGAACGTAATTGATGGATGTAATACTACAGAAACACGATCGAGCTCCTCTACTGATTTTGTCGTGCAACTACGATACCTACTCCACTTCATGCTTGGAAGGTCCGGAAGTCGTCAAGGCAAATGCAGTGGTTTCAAAAGCCGACGTCAATTGCCGATGTTAAACGTGGAACCCTGGCTTAAACATGAATTACTTCTTCATCATCGACATCAATTGCTAGGCTCGAAACCTCTAGCCAAACTAGTCATATAAAAGGAGCTTACAGCGTTATGTGTATTTCTCAAGGTGTTCTCTTATCTTTACGAGGCTGTTAGTGCCATTATTTGTTGTTGGCAATTGTGAAGCTTTGTTTCGATGGAACAGTACGAATATCCTTTCACATAAGGGGAACCTCGATTTTTGACTCGATATCGCCACCACGAAGTAACTGGTTGCGGGTTGTTCCTGACTATCAGAAAGCACGAAGGTTTTCGGATTGTCGAGCTCTCAAGGGACAGAGCGTACGAGGAGACGAGCTTCCAGTCACAAGCTTAGAACTTCGGAGGAACCTTGTGCATTTGTATAGCTAGTGTTGTTAATATTGTTAAGGCAAAGAAAAAAGAGTACGCGCTTCATATCAACATCTTAACTGTACAGAAGATTCATCGGGTGAATAAAGCGAATGCATTTCCAACATGAGTCTAATACCAAGATATGTTACGAACGGTGTTTATGTACAACAGCCTCCCAAGATGTATGTTCCACACCCGCCTACTCGTTAATTCTGTGCTGCCAAACCTCCTGCTCAGCTCTAGCAGAGTAAGTGCTAGCACCCAAGATCGCCTGCATCTGCTTGACACCAGTGAACAGAATTTGTCTAGCCACGAACCAACGGATACCCTCACGGCAAGGAGGGCTAGTCAGGCTGCCCTGGTAGGTCCAGAATTCGTTGAAGTGCAAAACAGAAGCCAAAGCGAGATCAACATCCATGCTGATTTCTTGCTCGTACTCGGTGTCAGTCTCGTTGAAGCCGATCATGGAAGGTAGCTGGCTGAAGAAAGCTGCATCGCTGTTACCGGGATCGAGACGGAAGGCCAGGACGGCTTTTTCGTGGCCGGAGGCATCGGCATGGACAAAGTGCATCTCTGCCTTGCTACGGTCACCACCAACGGAGTGGTCGGCAGGCGCGTGGATGTGCCAGCCGAGAAGGTAGAGAGTTTCGTTGTCGTACGTGAACGAAGGGTTCGATGTCAAGTCATCATGACTAAGGGAAAAGGCAGGTCCGTAGCCCCAGTTGCGGAATCTGCCAGTGACATTGCCGGTATAGTTGTGGAAGGTAGGGATGTGGTTGAGAGACAGGCCATTGCCGAGTGAAAGAGCAATAGGTGATTGTTGTGTGCCGGTCTGACAAAGAGCGTACATCGGATCAAGGCGTCCCCAGTTGTAACTGGCCTCATACGCCCACTCCGGATTCTCGATAGTCTCATTTGCGGCTTGTCTCTTGCGCATATGTGACTCGTGGGGACAACCGAAGGCGGATGGCAGGATGGCTGCGAGAGCAGCTAGTGATTTGAACAGCATAATGATAATGACTGGTGCTTGAATGTTGTATGACTGACTTGAGGATGATGCTGTATGAAATGCTGGAGTCTCATCAGACTTTATAGGATACTTGCAACATGGTCACCAACTGTGTCCCGACTTCACCCTACGCGTCTGGTCTTGGACAAACCAAGCCTCAAAGTCACAATGTCACTGTTGACCAACAATTCAAACAGTGCTCAAGTCAGCCAAGGCATGCAACATGGCTCTCGAACTGCTTGGAAGTGTTATACCAAGCCATACGTGCAGTGCGAAGTGTCGGAGATGCATGGCGGGGTATGGCACGTTTTGCTGCGGTCGGCTTGGCGGCTGTCCGATGGGCTTGGTATGCGGCTCTCCACACCTTGGCAGGGCGGAGCGAGAGATTGGGGTCAGGCATTCTAGAACTCAAAAGTCCTTTGTTGGCAAGACCAGTCTGTGCTTCATGCTTTCATGCTTTCTTGCTTTCGTCCAGCCACCAATATGATACTGATGGCTTGCTTGGCTGTTTGGTTCTCCGCCTGATTTTGCACATCCGATCTCGGTGAAGTCGGGTTTTCTAGGAAAGCGACGGAGCATTCTGTCGCGTGGATAAGGGCATCGGCTTTCCTGCCCACTCCGATTACTCAGGGTCATCAGGCGTGCCGAGCTCATTTGTTATACTCTCCATGTACCGTGTCGTTCTTCAAAACACTGCCACTGCCAGGCCTTGGGTCTGAGGTGGCTCTGGAGAGCGACCAGATCATCTGACGTAGCACAAGAGCCTGTTCAATCTTCAACTGCTCTCCGAAGTATCCGTACACGTCTGCCACGTAATCCCTGATCTCAGAAGTGGTCGTGGAGCATGTGCCAGCGACAAACAACGGCCACAGTACACCATAACCGGATAATGCCCGCATGATAGGGAGACTGCTGGACACAGCCTCAGGAACAAAGTAACGAACAGGGCGTTTGAAGCCAGACCATGGAAGTTGCTCGCCACTCTGCGATGTGTACTGGGGCATACTGGCCAAGATCTCAGTCTGGCATTGCCGCACTATGGTGTGTGAGTGCCCCCAAGCAGATCGATGTACGTGTGTGTCCCTTTCAATCGATTGAAGCACAATCTCGTTGACCATTATCCGGCTAGAACGATACGACGCCCAGATATAGTTGGTCGCTTGATCTGCATACCTCAGCTCAAAGCCGGGTAGTCCAGCCTGTACATGGTGTCTCTTCACGCTGTGCGCAATGATCTCGGGGTCCCAGCCTTGCGGCACACCAGCAAATGCGGTCGTGAGCCTCAAGTCCAGCTCAGCGGCACGAGCAATGATCGCTTCTGGAGATGTGATGAGACCACACGTGACGGCGTGTCTGAAGTCTGCACAATCGAGATTCAGCCGCTGGAATCGTATGACAGGATTATCTGGCTCGTAAAGAAACTCAAAGATCTTTGCCTGCAACAGATGGACAACTGGTGGAGTAGGCAAGCAGCGAAGCAAGCATACGACATTGATGCCGGTGATGACATGTAAGGTGAGTACTCGACCAGCCTTGCCTCGAACACCTTCGAGGCCGCGAAGACCGAGTAGGGAGGCTGAACCATTGATGTGCTGCTCCCAGGCACTCAAACTTCGCTCGACTCCGCCTGTCAGGGTCTCGTAGTTTGTGAGCACAAGAATAGCAAGCAATGTCTCATCACGCAGAACCTGGGCAGGATTCCGAAGAGCAGTGTTGGTGAGATTCAATGCGGTGGTGTACTGATACTGTGCTGAGGTAAGTAGACGCCTGTCCGAGGAATTTTTGGACAAGCTAGCAATGCTGAAAGCCTTTATGCTCGCGATCAGGTGTTTGTTACCAGGCTCGTGGACGAAATTATGATACATGCCGTTGTTGATCACCCAGTTGTTGAAGAAGAATGCAAAGGACTGGTCATCGCTATCCACGGATGGAGGAGACACATAGGATGTCATCGTCAAAGGCGAATGACCGGCCGATGAGCAGCTGTCTGAAGAGTACGGAGAGGATGATCGAGTCGAAATATCGAAAGCGTCAATCATGTCTGTCGCACGTTCTCGAAAATGTGCGACGCGTGCTTTGGAAATGACTTCGGCACTCTGGTCGCATATTCTCAATTCATCTGGCTTGGGATATCCAGGACATTGACGACGTGCATTTGTGCATCGCCCACATCCACCGGGTCGAAGGTCGCACTTCTTGCGTCGTTTACGACACTCATCGCAACCTTGTGACGGCTTTCCACGATAAGGCATCACGGTCAGGTAAATTGGCGAGCGCGATGCATTCCAGAAGAGGAACAAGGGCAAACGACATTGCTTGAGAGTGGAGTTATCCAGAGTGCAAAGGCGACCTGAATCCTTCGGCGATCTTACTCGCCGCACGCTATACCCGATTCAGTATGCAGCGCGCTCACGGCGCTTGCCCCACCAGTCACCGCTGCAGCAACTCCTTGCTTCCATATCCACATGCACCGAATTTGCGATTACAGAATCCTCCCGCCTGTTGATGAATCGTCAGAGCTTCCGTAAGTCTTGACATGTGCTTGTCTCTAAGCCGCGATATTGCTTGTGTTGGTGATGGACTAACCCCAACTCGGAAGCCTGCGCGCGCTGTGAAGCACTGCCACCAGGCAGGAAGGATTTTGTTATAATGTTGTAATAACATATAAGACCTCTCCGTTCACGGTCTGCATGTTCTTGTCATCGTCCAATTCTCTCAGGACTCCTCTCCATACACAACTCATCACAATTCCAAGAATCTTCGAACCACTCTCATCTGCCTCAGAGTCAATACGAACAACCACTCATACACAATGTTGACTGAACGTAACGCCGTCTTCATCGCCGTCTTGATATTCTACACTGGCACAGCAATATTCTCGACGATACGACTGATTCAACATGGACTCAGAAAGACTGCCAGCGAGCGTATCTTACTCGTCTTCAGCATCGGACGAATCCTCTGCGCCGCTTTCCAATTAGCAACGATTAGCTATCCTACCAATACAAGCGTTTGGGCTGGCTATGTTACGACCTTTTCCATCTGTGTTTCCCTCCTATTGTCGGCTTCTCTCGTACTTCTGAGGAGACTGGCTCAACGCGCAGGCACCGATTTCCCTCAGGTTGCTGGCCGCGACTCGATGAAATTCTGCCAAATCCTGGTCACTGTCGGTCTCATTCTCGGTATTGCCGGCGGTATTAGAGCAACCTCTAACTGGGGCTCTACTGGCTCATACAAGCCCGACAGCATTCAGAAAGCCAGTATCATAATTTTTATCATCTCCTGGGCATTGATTGTCTTCATGGCCATCCACACCCTCGGCAAAGCAAGAGCTGCGGGGTCTCAGACACAAAAGATTGCTGTCGGCGTATTTGCTATCAGCTTGCCCTTGTTGGCTGTGCGCATTGCATACTCTGCCGTGTCCATCTTTGCCAACTTGAGGTCATTCAGCTCTATTTATGGCAACGTTACCATCATGCTATGTATGGCTTTGATTGAGGAGGCTATCGTTGTCCTTATGTACCAGGCACTCGGATTTGTCACACTTGAGGAAGGAGCCAGAGGGCGTTCAATCGATAGCGATCTTGATCAGCTCTCCATGGCAGAAACTGGAGTTGTTGCTAGCAAGTAAACTGGCTGGCCTTGTATCAAGGACACGGGTTATTTACACTATAGATGGCGATGTATTCCAATTTACTATCACACTAGTCAATCTCTCTTGCTTCCAAGTTGTCGCGCACTTCATCGTAGAAATGCACAATCTCTACTAAATTTACGATAGCCTCCACTGAGAGTGCAAAATTCCAAACATCTCTCCACGGATAAGGGTGAGGGTCTCAAGAAAATTGTGCATTCTTACAGGCCGAAAGACTCTAAGCGCGGTCAAGGGTGATATATTTTGGCACTGAAGGACGTACCAACCAGGCCCTACGTAACTTTACAAGCACAATGCGATGGATCAGATCTCAAGCTCACGAAACAATGCTATGACGACCATCGAGAACCCTTGCTTCGAAGTACATACTTGAAGAGGCTCGGGGAGTGGTCGACTAGATGCGCCTTGAGCTGGAACGCATTCGTTGGCATGGCAATCGATGAGTCATATCTGCAATTTGTGTTGTTTCTTCCATCAAATCCGATATGGTCTAGTGGCTAGGATTTCTCGCTCTCAAACCGTTCGTAAGAACAACCAGGTCCGAGGAGGCCGGGGTTCAATTCCCCGTGTCGGAACTCATCTCTTTTGCTTTTGGCAGATCATCTGGTGTCAGCGGAGAAATTTCTTTTTTGGCTTGAGCTTCGGCGGTTTGCCGGTGGTGGGGCTATGTAATTTTTTGCGGGGTTGGGGCCGCCGACTATTTGCGAGGAATTGGGTACAACATGAATGTGGCGATAAGTTTTTACGGGGTATATGAGAGCATTGTTGGCTCTGGGGGCCTGAAGGCGCTGATGCATGATTCGAAATTCGGCAGGAGCGATCAGTCCAAAGTGACAAGGTCTTCACCATGAGTCTGGCGACTTTGACGGACACGAACACAAAGATGGTTTGATCAATTTGTAATTATCGAAGCATGGTACTGTGTGAGAAGAACTGAAGTTGAAGCTACTCCCAAAGCATCTTCATCACAACACCTTTCCAGCCTTTTCTCATCGGCTCAGGTGTCTCTGGGTTATCCCTGATCTCGTCCAGAGCAGCTCTGATGGGGATGTCCTCCAGAGCTACGAACTTTGTACCCTTGGCGTACTTCCAGCCGAGGTAGGCGATCAAAATCAGAGGGATATCTCTGTGAAATTGGTCAGTAAACAGCATTAAAATATGAGAGGATGTGCAACGTACAGGTAAGACGAAACGAAGGAGCTCGCAGACCAACCACCATGAGTAAAGACCGAGAAGCCGTTGGTGAGAAGAATCAACAGACACGCTGCCAATCCAATGGCAGAGGAGTAAGCTGGCTCTTGGTCAGTATCGTTTCCATCATCATGACTCGATTGTTTCAACTTACGAGTCCACTTATTATGCCACGGCAACTCTGTTCTCGCGATACCCTGCTTCTTCATCGCAGCCAGCAATCTGAGATGATTGACCAAGACGCAAGACCAAGAGATCAAAACTCCACAGCCGACCAAATCAACCATCCAGTAGAACACGGTCAATGCTCCCGAGCTCAAGCTCATAAAGGCCAAGAACATGAATGCTGTCTGAAGCAACACGCACATATAAGGCACACCCCAAGAAGTCGTGCGGAGGAAAATTGCAGGTGCCTGTTTCTTCAACGCCAGCGAGTAAAGTACTCTAGTTCCAGCAAGCAGAGCCTGATTAGAAGAACTCCAAGCAGATGTAATGACCACAGCATTCACGATCGACGGAATGGCCTTGATCCCCGCCGCTGAAGCTGCAATGACAAAAGGAGATTGTGCAGCAGTACCGCTTTCGTCTTGGAGGCGCTCGTCGTCGGAGGAGACCAACATGCCAACTATCAAGACCGTGAGGATGTAGAAAAGAGAAACACGGGCAAAGACTCTTTTACACGCTTTGGGGATGTTCTGGCGAGGGTTTCTGGTTTCGGCTGCGGCCATGGCGATAGATTCGACACCAGCAAAGGAGAAGACTGCATTGATCATGACGCTCCAGAAGCCGAGGAAGTTGCCCCAAGATCCAGTCGCGATGTGCTCAACCCAGGGGCCGGGCTTTGACCAATACCTGAACCCAATTCTGGGAGTTCCAGGTACACCTCCGAGATCAATGCAAAGACCTAGAATGATGAGTCCAACAACCAGTAGGATCTTGAGCAGGGCAAAGAAGAATTCGACCTCTCCATAGATTCCCACAAAAGCAATTCCAACCACAAAGGTCAAGATGATGAAAATGACGATGAAAAGCGACGAATTGATATCAGTCCAGTATTGGAACAACACACAGATGGCTGATATCTCCGCTGGAATCGAAAGCCAATTTCCGTAAACTATGTTCCAACCCACAGCAAATCCCAGAGCAGGATCGACCAGGAACTCGGCATGGCGGACAAACGATCCAGTGACGGGTAGAAGGGCAGTGACTTCTCCAAGGGCGAATTGGACGGCACAAACAATTAGACCGACGAAAGCATAGCCAAGTAAAGCACCCAGAGGTCCTCCAGTCTGCAGAGAAGATCCGAGTCCAATGAAGAGTCCAGTTCCAATGGCACCTGTGGAGGGGTTTAGTCAGAAATCGATATGGATACAAACATAGCGATATCCATACCAGCAAGCGCAATCATCTGGATATGCCTCTGCGCAAGACCACGTCTCAAATCACGCTCTTCGTTCTCCGTAACAAAGTCGCCATGTTGAACGTTATCCTGCACGCCATAAGCGCCCACATCTACAGTCTTGCTCGGCTGCGCATCATAAGCAGCAGTAATAGACATGGCCGCGAGAACTGTCCCACGAGTCAAGCAACTGAAGGCGATGATGTTAAAGGGAGACAAAAGGAGAACATTATTGTTGAGGTTCGAGACAACTTTTGATTTCGTTAAACTCTCTTCCTTCGTTCGTGGAGGATTGATCGCGTGCTTCGAAAGCTTAATCGCGCCACGCTATCTGAGATGAGCTTAGTTTTGGGACATGTTAGCCGAGCTTGACATTCCAGAAACACAAACTCGCTGTGACTGCGCGTATCAACTACCACGAGATATTCGAACAGACTCAGAGTGCTTTTCATATGGGTATTGCATGAATAAGAGGATACAATCACTAGATCAACAGCTCAAGTTGAGATATTGTTGACAAGATGAAGTAATGGGCAATGTGCGACTTGATACAAAACAAGAACTGATCCTTTTGCAATCCAGATCTATAAGGCAGTGAAAGGAACAAAGGAGAATGAAGATGAAGAGTAAGCTATGTGGTAAGCTGGAACAAAACAGTTAAAAAAAAAGTCCCAGACAATGATCAAGCCAGTGACATGCCGCAAAACAGGCCGGAATCAGAAATACGAAAATGGTGCAAGGCGAGAGATCAGTAAGATCAGACTGGCTTATTCTCGTCGCGCACGGTTTGAAGTAGATAACGGTTCTGCAGTCAAATGTTGGTTGCTCAACATAGCTGTACCGTTGGTGTGGGTGTGTCGCATAGAACCCATGACATGTCGTCCTGCACTTCTAGACAAAGAGCCAACATCATGTTTGCCTATGGTAGGTTAGTACATGACTGATTTAAGCGATACTCAGGGAAAACTCACCATCACAGCACGCCCTCACGTTCTCCAATCCATCGTGGTTGTGCATATGTCCAGTGAGCACAGCACCCAGATCTTCAGTACTATCCTCGACCACACTTGCATCATAGATCGTCGGCTCAAGCGGCCGGCGTGTGCTCATAGCACTTTTACTCCGCCTGCTGGAGAAGCTGCCACGCATACTTCCACCTGGACTCTTGAATAAGTTGCCCATGATGCCCATGCGTCCTTGAGACCCATCAGCCGAACCAGGAGTCTGCGCGCCTCGTCTTTGAGAGGCAGCCGCAGACTGTCTGTTCGCCAATGACGGCACTTCAGAAGCGTGAGGTCTTTGCGGTGAAGAGTTGCGAGTGGTCCTGCTGTTGTAACTGCTGAGACTCATACGGGTGCGAACAGTGTTACGGCTTTGACTTCGCATAGTCGGGTTGAACTCGTCGACCATATCTTGAGTCATCTCTTCGTTTTCGCGCTCAGATCCTGTGCGAAGCAGGAGGTAAGAAAGTGCATTGAACCAAGTCTCGTGTCTCTGAGCGGTGGGTGCTGTGAACACAATCTCACGACCTGGAGTTACTATCACCAAGCTCTTCCTATGTAAGCCAGGTGGGTATGCATTGTCATCTGTAATGACGCGAACCGCTTCGATAGCGACACTCTTGGCCTTTGACTGCTGTTTGCCAAGTGTTGAGGGGTCATGCTCGCTCCAGTACAGCGTTCTGGTGTATGGATGGACCCAGAAGAATCTTCTGTGTCTTGAAGCACTAATTTCAGAACGACCAGCCTTTCGTGTGTACTTCCAAAGATATTCTCCAATCATGGTCTGAGTGATAGCTTGGATCATGCGAGGATCAGTGGCAGGTAACATATCTTCAGGGTACAAGACTCCTCTACCAGGTTGGATGCGCTCATCAACCTCAGAGACAAAGCTTGAGATTGAGCTGGCGCGTGTAGTAGGCGACATTGGATCTGGACGGCCAGCAGGAATCGGTGCAAGGGCGCGGGTGACAGTGCCACGTCCGGACTGAATGGATCTGCTGATGCTTGGTGTGCGCGAACGAAGTGATGGAGGTGGCTTGTTGAGCGAGCCTGTCGGGATTGGTGGAGGTGCCATTCCGGCAGACAAGTTCTTCTGTCCTGCAGCTGCAGCAATGCGTTGATTGTGGTCTGGAGGAAGAGGTGGCTGCGATACGGTGTTCTTGTACATGCTGCCAGAGCTGGCGGGGCGACGAGGCGCCTTCATATTAGCACCATCGGCCGCGTACGGTGTTTCTGAAGCCCTTCTCGGACTCTCAGGTCTAAGCGGTGTTCCTTCATCAATGTTGACAGCTGGAATAGTCAACGGAGTCTTGCGTCTCATCATCTTGTCAATCTCGTCAGACGAGACAGCGGTTTGAGTTCCCATCTCAGAAGTGGAAGTACGCTTCATGATAGGTCTCTCACCATTGTTCGACATGCTGCGCTGACTGGTACCGACATTATTGGACACCTCTGCGAACGGTTGTCTGAACTGGCTCTCCTGCTCGATTTGAGGAGTTGTGTTGTTCTCGTCCGCAAAGACGAGTGTTGGTTCATGATGATTAATTCCCTTGGCACCACCATACAAACGAGGTTCTTGCGTTAGAGATTTGTTCTGGGGACCATCCCTACTGCTAGTTCGAGGTGGGAATTGGATTTCGGATGCAAGGAACGCAGCGCCAGGTCGAGCGGCATCTGTGCCCGGAATGTTCTTGTTCATGTCCTCGGGCAGCGCCTTTTCATCTTCCATCAGGAACAAACCCGTAGGCTTTGAGCTGCGTCTGGTAGGAGAGAAGGCCTCTTCTTCAACGATTGGCTCCCAATGCTGAGAGCGGACGGTCGAGAATGTGTAGGCATCTCTCTTTGATTCGACCTCCTTGTCCAGTTGTGACATGCTGGGAGTGCGAGGCTCAGTATGAGAGGTGGTGAAAGATGAGAATTCCAAGGAGGGAGTCTGCATAGGTTCCGGCGTAGGAGGTGAGATAGGCTCCGATGACATTGACCTGAAAGGAGACATGGCAAAGGATGGAAGCTCCTTAGCCATGGAAACAGGTGCGAGAGGCTCTGTGTGCGAGACAGGGCCGGTGGAGAGAGACAACACTTCGGGAGTCTTGGTCTCTACAATGGGTGCAACAGGCTCTGTGTGTGTAGCAGAATATTGCGAGATGGAGAACTTCTGGGGCTCCTTGATCTCCAACACAGGCGCCACAGGCTCTGTGTGGGTAGCAGAGTACTGCGAGATGGAGAACTTCTCGGGCTCCTTGACCACAGGAGCCGCCATGACGGGCTCGGTGTGGGAAGTAGAGAAGGTCGACATCGACAGCTTTTCGACCTCCTTGACAGGCAGCACCGCGGTGACTGGTTCGGTATGCGAGGATGAGAATGTCGACATGGCGAATTGTGGAACCTCTTTGGGCACTGGCACTGCAGCGACAGGTTCCGTGTGGGTGCTTGAGAAGTTTGCCATGCTCAAAGGTTGTGGCGCAGGTTGGGCTGGAACGACTGGTGCAAAGTCTTGTGAGACAATACCAGCGAAATTCTTCTTGACCTCAGGCGTAGGAACAAGTCTAGGGACGATTTCGCGCTCGGTCTCTACCGACGACGGTTTCGGTGTCGCAACCGTGGAGGCTGGCTCGCTATCAACAAACTGACCCGGCAAGGTTGAGGTTGCAGCAGAAGGGGCTTGAACGGCGTCTTCCGCAACATCCTTGGGGGTCTCGTTGAGTGCTGTCTTGTCGTCGTCATGAGAAGATGAGTGGCCAAGTGCGTAACCAGCAACTCCAGCAATGGCAGTGCCGACAACGCCGGCGGCAACACCCACGACAGATTTTGACTCGGGCTCCCAAGGCTCGGTCATCATAGCAGAATCAACCATCTTGGGCCTCGAAACCTCAGTGATGATGGGAGCATCGGCAAGAGTAGGTCTTATGACAGCTTCAGGACTCATAGGAGCAGACTCGATACCTGCATCGGTTGATGTCTCCTCACCACTATCGCTGTCGTTGCTCAAGCCGTCAAGCTCGGCACTGAGACTCTGGCCGAATTGAACAGGAGTTCTCTGGCTGGCCTGGCTGGCGGGACTGTCGGCAGAATCGCTGGCAAAGATGGCACTGTTGCGAGCAGACCCATTGTTTGAGCGACGACCCTTACTAAGGCGTAGCTTGTACTTTGGCTGCTGACCTTGGACAGGGGTCTTGACATTCTCGAACTCGTCTGCGGACGTTGAGGCAGTGGACATGAATGAGAGGCGGTTCTCAGCCTTGTTAGTGGCGTACGGGCCGGGTCTGGATACTGGTCGGGAAGAGGAACCTTGGTCTTTGGTAGGGCTGAATTCAGTCTCGGTCAAATCGTCGCTGCTATCGCCGTTGATGGTCTCAGCACCGGTCTGGAAGGCGCCCTCAGTCTCTGTGTTGGTGTTGTCGTCATCCTCGTTGGCTGTCTCGAAGGCATCGGTGGTTCCACGCTCGTCAGCAGTCTCGAATGCATCAGTAGTATCGGCGCTCTCGGGCTTGCCAAAAGCACCAGCAGTTCTGCCAAAGTTGAAGTTTCCGAAAGGCACAACGCCCGAGCTGATGTTGCGAGTAGCAGGACGGCTAGGGCTCTCAATCAGGGATTGATCTTCCCACTCGTCATCGTCCATGATGATTTCGTGCTTAGCGGATCTGGCAGCTCCGAGCTTGTCGGCACGGGCACCCTTGTTGAACTTGATGCCGCTGTCGTCAGAGCGACGCTTCTTGTTCACAGAAAGACCAACACCACCGTCGGTGCGCTTGTTATCAAGCTCGTCTCTTGCATCCTGCAGCAAACGCTTGAGCTCAAACTTTTCCGTCTTTTCACGATGGATGTTGTTCTTCAAGTTCTGGATCATGCGGTGGGCGTGGGTAAGAGAAGACTTGAGAGTCTCGGTTTCGAGCATGCCATGTCTGGGGGTGGGCTTGATGGGCGAGTTCTGAGGAGAGACATCTGGAGTCGCGACTTCCGAGTCACCATTGTCGCGGCCTAGGGAGCGATTGCTGTCCTGAGGCTGACTGTCGGCATTCCACCGAGCAGCTACGGCTTTTGCCAACTGAGTGTTTTGCGCTGTCAACTCCTCGACCTTCTTAAGCAGACCATCACGCGCTGTCTGATGGTTGTTGACGTCGCGACGCAAGGTAAAAAGCTCGGCTTCGTGGTGTTTCTTGACTGACTCGTGGTCATCACTGAGCTTCCCATGAGCAGCTTTGAGTTCTTCCAGCTCGCGCTCGGCTGTGTCCTTCTCGGCCTGTGCAAACTTGAGCTGTTGCGACAAGCGCTGCTCTTTGTCGGTTGCCTCTCTCAGCTGCGCTGTCAGGTCTTGCATCTGTGTCTCGAGATTCCAGTTCTCGTCCTTGCACTTCTGCTCGCTCTCGTCCAGCATGCGCAATCGCTGCATCAAGCTTGTGATATCTGTCTCGAGCTGCTCCTTCTGCGCTGTGGCATCCTTGAGTGCATTCTCTTTCTCAGCCAGAACTGCTTGCAGCTGTCTGACTTGAGCCAGAAGGGATGTGCTGATCTCTGTAGCAAACTCGATATCGTGGACACGATTGGTAGGCTGGTTGCGCTGTCGTCTGGAGCCCTCGGTTGGATTGCGCTTGACAGGAGAAGGACGGGCCTCGGAAACAAAGAGGGCAGGGCTTGGTGGAGCGGCGCTGAAGTCTGTTGACACAATGCGTGACTTTGGCAAAAAGGCACGAGCTGAGTCTTTGCCAATCTCGGTGTAATCCTTCTCCAGCTGATCCAACTTCTTCTGCAATTCGGGTGTGATGTCCTCGGATGCGCCCTCCTCGACTTCTTTCAGGCGGGCAGCCAAATCCTTGCGCTGTTGCAGTAGAGTAGTGCCGAGCTTTGAGGCATCTTGAATGCGTCGCTCTGTGTCCTTGAGATGTGCCTCAAGCGCGCGCTTCGCTTGAGCTGGAGAACCAGAGTTGTAGAGGGAAAAGACCTGGTTGTCGAACGAGGCATAGCGGTGCGGACTCGGTTGGGAGGAATTGGGATTGACGAAGGGGTCGTCGCCGTTTGACGACATGTTGGCGGTCGTGGCCATTGTGTACAGCCGCAGGTGCGCGACTTTGTCGCGACACGCAAGAATCGAACAGGATTAGTATCGTCGAAAGAAGAGGATTAGCGAATGGGTTGCATCAGAGGCGTAGGCGATATGATAAGTTATGCGGGATGTTGTTGTTGTGGGTTGCCGGCGACAAACAGTGGGCGGCCGTTGAAAGGTTGTTTTGGGCGAGTAAAATGACAAAGCAAAGGATGGAAGCAGAAGCAGAAGAAGAAAAGGAAATGGATATTCGACAATTGCAAGAAGGAGAAGAAAGTTCGCTGGGGGCTGTTCTCTCCTTGACAGCAGTCTGGGAAGAGAGACAACGACTCGTTGGACGAAACAAACACACCCAAGACAGTCGCAGCGGAAAGGGAGGGGGAATTGCAACGGAAGGTGCAAGCATCAATCTCAAAATGCTCCGGACTTGGCATGATTGTCTCTTTTGATTGGCTCATCTCAGCAGCTGGGGGTACCCAAGCCCATGGTATCTCCAGCCCACAACAAGCATCTTCCCAGCTCACAACAATACATGAACTCCGTACCATGTAAGCGGATCCTACAGAATCCGGACATCCTGAATTCGACTTGGATATCATGTCTGTTCCAACGCGGCGTACATGTTGCAAGAATCTCTTGTCCATCAGCATGTTTTAGATGTATATCAATCCGTCCAAAGACTGAGGGTTTTGATACCAACAGCCGGCCATAGCGTCACGACTCGTGCACAACATGCAGCTAAAGTCGTCTCTCCACGCTGCTACTCCGACAACCACATGAACCACACAAGTTTTGGCTTTGACTCAAGTCCGAAACATCTGCATCCCATCTGTCAGCTGTTGTTGTCAATCATCGTTTGCGGCTCGGCCCAGTCCTGCACCTGTCATCCACTGTCTGACTTGACATCTACCCTCGAAAGCTGAAACGCTCACTGGTTCGTTGATAGCAAACGGTCTGTGTGCTATTCTTTCCAGCGCTGCGTAGAAGCGTCCGACGATTCGACGTCTCAGAAGACAAGACGAGTCAACTCCTGCGTCTCTGCATTTCTGCATTTCTGCATGTCTGATCTGTCTCGACTCTTCACCAACGTCTGAGAAATAACAGATTCTTGCACTGAACTCGACAACCTAAATCACGTTGATCTAAAAATGGCTCTGTCAATCGCAGACTTACATCCCAGCAGCCTATTGTCTTCACCAACATCGATTCTTTACTCTGGCACATTGCTGAATCAAGCCTATGCTATCCTGATCAACTTCCCTCGACCCAGCAATGGTTTCGCATACCCGCTCCATTTTGCCGCCCTTGCTACCTTTAGCGGTGCCGGTACTCTGCTGTCGTCACCTTTGCTATTACCAGCCCCAGGCTCGAGTCCCCTACAGTTGATCGGCAATGCACTCACGGCTATGAGTGTCTCACTCTTCAGCTGGACTGCGTACACGACTCAAAGAGGACGACTGCCCGCAATTTTTGGTGGAAACACACCCGACTTCATCATTGACTTCGGTCCATTCGCTTATGTCCGTCACCCTGCCTACACTGCCTATCTTCTTGGTTGGACTGGAGCCTTGACTGCACTTGCGGGTAGAGACGATGCTGGTTGGAGAGTTCCAGCTCTCGCTGTATGCCTCCTTGGCATCGTGGGTGTTTATCGCACTGGTGTCCAGATGGAGGAGAAGCAAATGCTTTCTGGCGCTGAGAATGAAGGAAAGGTAGATCTTGGCAAGAAGTATAAGGAGTATATGGACAAAGTCAGATCAAGATGGCTTCCAGGCTTGATATAGGCTAGAAATATGATCGTATAGATAGCTGTAGAGACGCACAGTCTTTGCCCTGATAGAGGTAGCCTTCACCAAGAGCGTAGCACTTAGCGCTTCTTCACGGACGACTGTAGCGCTCTTACAAAACCTTGTGCATTCTACAGTCCGAACCATCGCAGGAGTGGTTGCGGGTGATGGCTAGTAGCGACAGAGTTTACTCGAACTTTGTCTTGTTCAAGTGCTTCTAGACAAAGGTTGTGAACAAAAGGTAAGTGTAAGTAACTGCTCAACATGACTTTGCTCGTTCCGCGCCGGGGTGTATGAACAAGAAGGAGTGATGCTCAAACAAACGCAAACGTACCTGCCAAGTTTGACAGCTCGGGAACGTGGCAGTCGCATGATGATAGCTCCTTCCCTGAGGCCCTAAACAACAAGTGATAACAACTCTCGAGAAGATTCAGAATGACTTGAACATCAACGCCACGCATTCACTCCAATCAAAGACAGCAAGCTGGTACTTCTCAACCCTGATCGGAACGCCACAAGGCTGAAATCCTGCTGGTTGGTATACTGTACCACGTCAAGACCCCGCGCAAGCTGACCCAGAAAAGGGCAGAGAAAAGCATCCGCAACCAACCTCGATCGCATTCCTCCACCTGACAAACCGCCATTGCACCCAATCCATCCATCGACCAATGTCCTAAGCTTTCGTCTTCATCGCCAAACCAGGAGAGTTAAGCTGATCGAGCCAAAGAGGCATTGCGACGATGATATCGTCGGGGCTCGTCATCTTCCTTGTCATCCTCGGCTGTGCCGCCGTATGCCTCTGCTGTTATGCCCTCTTCACCCTGTCCTTTGGCAAGCGATCCGAACCCGTCGACCGGAGCCGACCTGCCGCCATCCAAGAAGAATACATGGCCGAGGTGCGTAGACTGAACAGAGACGTTATGTGGTCCATGAGCGGTCAAAGAGTCCGCTATGATCCGAGCTACGTCTGATGAATCATCCACATCCAAACGCACTCCATCGACAACATCCATTCGCAGCATGTCGATAATACCACCCTCGGCATTTATCATACGACCATCATATCTTTGAGTCACCCTGGCATGATTCATTTTTCCCTCTCCTTTGAACTCGCGACTTCCAGTTCATGTCACCACCAAGAGTGGCATTTTTGTTATGGCGAATGAGTCAAGCAGTGCATGCATGGTTGACACGGTTATCCAGTCGGGTCCGGCGGCTGCGCAGTATTCCATGGTGGTCGGGTGCCGGTCGCATGTTTGATCCGGATGGCTGGTGGCATGTTTTTGGCTCTCAGGCCCTCTGTAATATGCCGCACCAACGGTCTTGTACAGCAAGCAATTTTACGCAAGAAACCATCATGTCACCACATCGCATCAGATGTACCTTGTACCTGAACTTTGCGTCCCTCTGACCGAAGGAGTGCTGTAGGCTTTTGAGTTATATCCAGGTGGGATCGTGGCAACCATAAAAGAAACATCTGAGGGGCAGCTGGGCTGAAACAAGAAGACGCGTCGATTTGACGTTCACATGTCAAAGCCACACCTCTCCACACCCAACAAGTCGCAGCCGGTTTCCGAGCTTTCCGCTCGCGCCATCACTTGATCAGACCAGTCCACATCATCACCACCCTCTTGCCGTGTCATCGACGTTGACGACGCGTCGTCTCCCAAGAGCATCGGAATTATGGCAGACATACCAAGCAATCATGTCGACCTTTCCGAGGCTTGGTTCGAAGCGTTCAAGGGTTTGCGCTGCGGAAAGCGGTAGCCGTTGCGAACCTGCAGCTGGCAAGGTTTGAGGAAAAAGCCCCGGTGAGATCCACAGTCTTGGATTCTTATGGTAGATACGAGGCCATACGCATACGACCACGAGAATCTTCTCTGAACCATGAACGGCTTGATCGCCTCAGCCTCAATCGTTGCCCATTCTGGTATGATGCGCCGGCAATTTTTCTTATTGTGGTATGATGCGTCCGGTATTTTTCTTGTTGCAGCCTCAGACCAAGTGATCCGTTCGCTGCACCGTTCGTGTCACAAGCTTACGCAACGCGACATGCTCTGCGACTAGATATAGTAATGGTAGACCTCCTCTTTTCAGCTCTTTTTTCCTCCTTTCTGCATATACGTCTACACCACTCCAATCCTTGTCACGCCATTCTTTCATCCATCAGTCCCTCGCTTCACGTTCGACAAGACTTCATACACTCCATCATCGACATCTTCAAACACTCACACACCATATCGCATCACCATGGCTCTAAGTAACGGAGCCATCATCGTCATCGTCATAGTCTGCTGCGGCGCCTTCGTCTGCTGTCTAGGAGCAGTAGGCTGGGTATACCGCCGACAAGACTATGACCAGCGCGGCGTAAACTATGGCTGGCGACCAACCAACAACCAAAACGACTACATGCGAGAGATCAGGAGCAAGAATCAAGAGGGCATGTTCCATGCTGCCAGATATCACGAGAGAGCTTTGAGCTCGCAGCCTTCGCGATCGGACTTCACGAGTGATTATAGAAGTCCGAGCAGGAGTGAGGCTATTAGCCCTGCTTGATTTTGCTTGCTTGTGTTCTCCTTTTCTGTGAGTTTAAGTCCCAGTCTGATGTTTTCGCGCGATGACTAATCTTCTTCTAGACATCTCTACCTCATCTTCTCACCTACGATCACATCTCTACTCCTCTGGCTCAAACCTTGACCCTACCACTTCCGTCCACTGGCCATGATCATGGTCTCACGCTGTGAGCGACCCACGCGGATCAAAATACTCCGCCTACTCGAAATAACTCGAGAGACAACCGTCTTGATCTGCCTTCGACTTCTTACTGGGGCGCGACTACCTACCCCATCCCCTGCCAATGAGCATCCAGTCTCTTGGCATCACTCCACCTATATACCCCTGCCTACAGACCATGCTTTGTCCAAACATTTGGACACTGCTGGCTAGCAGCTTCACGATTTGTTTTTGTTTTACACCTTTGGCAGCTGCAAAGCTATCATCTTACGAATCTCCTATGTTTTGTCTCTTGTACTCTGTTGTAGATATTGAATAAATACTCTGTTCCACTTCTCCATCATTTGAATATACTGCTTGGAAACCATGATCATGATGTTGGAACTATCTTGAGCTTGATCTGCTTTCTCACATGGGAAATTGCTTTGATGGTACGGATTGTGATGATTGATAAATTGTAAGGTGATCAGAAAGTTGATTGTTGGTGAGTGAAACGATTGGCCTAGTTCCGTTGCTAGCGGAGTGACCCTGTTTAAGTTAGGATCATTGATCTCCTGAGCATTAATCGAGGTGAACGACTCTCCTCGAAAATGAGTCAAAATTCTCGAAAACGTCTCATCTTTGAACAGTGTGACAGCTCTCGAGAAGACAGCAGAGAAACAGAAGACTTTGCTGACGGAGTTACCTCCTACATAGCACCTTGTTAGTCCTGCTCACCTCTGCTCCCGCTCAACAGATTCTCGTCATCACCGTTCTTGCTGAAGGGCCTCTGTTCGTCTTCTACAGATCTCCACTCAAAAGCAAAAGACCCCATTGCTGACAATGCAGCCATGACAGTAGCAACGACAAATACCCACCCCAACGCATCATTGTAAACCACAAGGACATCCTGCAAGCTTTCTTTGGGCACAAGCTTTCTCAAGTTTGTAGCTCCTGAACCGATAATCTTCTCTGGGTCGAGATCTTTGATTACTCGAGTCAAGCCATGGACGAGTCTTGCACTAAAGACATTCTGCCCGACAGAAATGAAGATGGCACCGCCGAGTTGTTGGCAGAAGAAGACCAGAGAAACGCCAATGGGTACGTCTTCAGGTTGTAAAGCCGTCATTACAGCGATGGAAGCTTGTTGCATACCAAGACCAATGCCGAAGCCGAGGATGATCTGATAAGTAATCCATATATGTGGACCGCTGTTGGTACCGAAGGTTGATATTAGTCCGGCGCTAATGGGCATAACACAAGACGAGGCCATGGCGAATGGCGTGTAGTAGCCGAGTCGACCGACCATTTGACCAGAGAAGGTGCTTCCTGCTACTAGCGAGAGAACTAGAGGAAGAGTATTTCTGCCGGATTGAATTGCAGAGACTCCTTGTACTGCCTGGAACCACAAAGGAATGTAGTAGATCATGGTAAGCATTGTGGCAGAGAGACAGAACATGTACCACATAGCTGCAAGCATGGTCCTGTTCGTGATGACACGAAACTGTATTGTCGCTGTCTTCTGCGTTTTCGCTTCTGTAACAGCAAAAGCAGCGAGGAATACTGTAAACAGGGCGAAGAGCAAAGTAATGCGCCAGTCAGACCAATGGTAACCGCTGCCACCCCAGTGTAAGGCAAGTAGTAAGCATAATAACCAAGAGAAAAGAAAGAATTCACCCAGCAAGTCCAGCTTAGCCAATTGTTGTCGGATCTTCAATCCAGGCATAGCCGCCGGTGTAGGCTTTAGCGCTAACCAGATGACCAGTATTGCAACCCCACCGATAGGCAGATTGATCCAGAAGCACCACCTCCAGCTAAGGCTGGTCGTAAAAACGCCTCCGAGCAGCGGCCCAAGAATTGAAGATAGTCCCAACACGATACTGAAGTATCCGTTATACAGGGGTCTTTTCGCCAACGGAACAGCTGATACCATGAGCACAATGGCCCCGGATAGGATACCAGCACTTCCCATTCCGGCGAATGCTCTTCCGAAGATGAACATTCTCGAGCTTGTTGCGGCACCACATATAGCACTTCCAATCTCAAATAGGCCAACCAAAGCCAGGAAAACATACTTCGGCGAATAGAATGTGTAGAATTTACCCCAAAGCAATTGGAAACAGGAGGTTGTGAGCATAAAGGCACTTCCGTACCAGCCAACATCGCCAATGCTGTCGAATTCGTCTGTGATTTTGGGGATGGCGGTGGCGATGATGGTACGATCCTAGGACATGGTTAGCAAGACGAATACAAATTCTTGTGTAGGAGGGGGCTAGAAGAAGCATACCAATGACATCAGAAAGATTGCACTCAGAATGCAGACCATAATGACGGCAACTTGGAGAGGCGGTGGATATTCTGACTTGGACACCTCAGAACTGGAAGCTTCTTCTGCGAGTGCTTGCGACATTGTGGCATCGTTCTTTGCTGCGGAGGGAATGTTGTTCGGAGTGCCATCGTTTGAGGTCATACCCGCAAGCGTCCCATACGAATCAGAAGTCGTTGCTAGCAACTGCTGAGATTCTTCGCCTTCAGAGACGATAACAGAGACTAAAGGTGAAACCATCGTTACCAAGTCGAGAAACAATAAATTCAGTCAGGATGGCTGTGTAGCTCCTGCCATCTCTTGATATACAAGTCTGCAGACCCCTGCGTTTTTACTCCTTACGCGCGTAAGTCAATACAAACAAACACTCCGGATTTTGATTGTCGTTCATAACATGCCGGGAGGTGAATGTGTTAAGCCAAGTATGAAAAACGCTTGCAGCAGACAAGGCATTCGCTTGAACGCAATAGGAAAAAGGCTTAAGGTTTCAAGCGAAGAGAGACAAATGCATTAGATAAGCCGGAACAAAATGATTGGTCGGAGGTTGGTATAGTGTGGAAAGTGCAGCTGAAACCTCTTGCCAATTCTGGATGCTCGTTCGAGATGGAATGAGAGTCGGTCTTTCAAGCGCATGCCTCTCAGACTGAGCGGAGTCGTTTTGACTAACCATCAGAATGCACGAATTATCGAGTTTGCAGGAGGCTGCCAGTGAGAGCTCGACCTTCTACTCTCTCATTGAACACAGCTACAGTTCTCACTAACTTCATGCATTCTGATAGCTGAATAGCCATCTGCAATTGTCCGGGGAGAGTGACAAAATGTGTTGGATTAGCATACTTCGTGCGCTCGAAGTCCACCTCCAGTGAAGCAAGTAAAGAAAAAACCGAGGATGGGCATTTGTTCTCCCGAGGACCCTGAGATTTTGTTTCGTCATGACAGCAAATTTTAGCAATTACTTGCAAGGTCCGTATACTCTATTATGTCTTCCAAATGGATACAACACAGCTATCGCATATCAAGCTCCCGTATTCCACTCACGAGGCCGGACTTGATAATTCAATAGACTCGTCAGTCTTATGACGCTTTCTCAGGCCAACCGCTTTGGCGCAGTCGTCCCAGAATCCCTTCGAGCCATCGTCAATGAGTGTCGCTTCATAAGCTTCGATGAGTGGGCGCTCCCAAATGAGGTCGGCTTCTTCTGGCTTCACGACCTTCGTCTTCTTGATGACCTTCCACCCAATGTATAAGATTGGTGAAACGAAACACATCGTGTCTTGTGGTGAAGGTAAAGTTAGCCAAGTGATGAGAGAGAATGGAAAGCGGTACTTATTTTGCGATGACTTACAATAAGAAAAGAAGGTTCCCGTGTTCCACCACCCAGTCAAGAATGTTGTATAACCGTAGAACAGCACAGTCAAAATCATTGTTGCGAGTCCAAACCATGCGCAGTAAGGTTGCCACCAGCCCTTGTAGGGCAGAGTATCCCTTGAGATGCCTTGAACTTTGAGAGCACGGTAAAAGAAGAGGTAGACAGTACACATGCCAATGTAGTTGATCAGCTGCGAGGCTTCTGTCAGGTTGGCCAACCAGGTGATGACTTTGGCGCTTCCAGATGAGATTGACAAGAAGGAAATCAGAGAGAAGAGCATCGGTACTATGAAAGCATAGATGGGTACACCGTTCTTGGTGCATTTTTGGAAGAACTTCGGAGCGTGACCATCGATCGACATCGCATAAAGCGAACGGGTACTGCAATAGACGTAGCTGTTTCCAGCAGAAAAGATGGAGGTGACCAGCAGAGCGTTGGTGATGTGCGGAAGGACTTCGACACCCAAGTTGCTCATAGCGACAACATATGGCGAAGCAGCGCCGGTGCCAGATCCATCTCCATTGAGTTTCTCGATCAGACCGGCATCGTTATACGGCACTACGATGCCAACACAGAGTGCACCTCCGATGAAGAAGATACCATATCGCCAGTAGGTTGTTTTGAAAGCGCTCTTCATAGTCTTGCGAGGGTTCACTGCCTCGCCAGCGACCATAGACAGATATTCAGGACCGACGATGGTGAAGGCGGCTTGGAATAGGGCACCGAGAAATCCTTGAAAGCGACCCAAACTGCCCTCAGTGACATAGGCTGCAAAACTCCCTGGTTCACGCCAGTATCTGAAGCCGTAGGCGTCGTGTTGAGGATTACCGCCGACCACTGTTTCGGGTTAGACTTGAGGTAATGTTTCAAAACTTTGCTGTACTCACTGGTGATGAATGTGAACATAAAGACGATCCCAATTAGCAACACCTTGCCGGAAGCGAGCCAAAACTCGCTCTCGCCATACCAACGCACAGCAGTGATATTGAGAATACCATAGAGCACTGTGCACGCCAACGAAGTGGCCCATATCGGTATATCACTTCTCCAGAAAGTCAAGACCAAATTAAGCGCCGAAATTTCGAAGGGGATCAGACATAATTCGTAAAGGAGGAAATTATAGCCCAGCATGAAGCCAAATGCTTCGTCGACCCACTTCGAGCCGTGGCGAACCTCCAGACAAGGTCAGCGTGCTTGTTCCGTTGAGGTGTCAGACTTTTATACGTACCCAGCCACCAGTAACCGGCATATAGATGGACATTTCAGCCATACAGTTGTTCACTAGACCCAACCAGCAGGAATAGATCGTGAAGGCGATAAGAAGACTACCAGGGCCACCTTCGATGAGTCCATACCCAATGCTGACAAAGAGACCAGTACCTTGAGCCATGTCAGTAATCTACACATTAGAAGTATCGCACGTTGCTCTCGATAACAAGGCAAGCCTAGATATTTCTCCGTATGCTGCAATCTGTCACGCATGTCGCGGCCAAAATACAGGATGGTCTCCGAATCAGAGCCGTCTTCAGTGGGAGCGCGTCAAGCAGCTCATCGCCGTGGTCGACTCTAGTTGAGCGAAAATCATCGCGCCTCCCCACAGCTCGGGTCTTTTCTGAACCGCTCGCGAGCGCACAACGAAGATGCCAGAGTTTTGTGAGGGTTTTTGTTTTTCTCTTTTTTCTTTCTTTTTCCTTCGTCTGGGGCAAATTGTGTGTTTTGACATTTTGGCGTGATCGCCCCACGCGGAGAAGAAAGAAATGAGATCTCAGCACGATTCGACTCACCAATACTTCCGCCAATGGCTATGAGCTGGATCTGACGGTTGTCGAGCGTACGATGAAGATGGCTGAGAGACACAACATCGCCCACATCGTCCTCACTTCGCGATTCGTGAACAGGTACCGACTTGTCGTCTGCGACCGCTTGAGACGGCGCCATTGTGGGTGTTTTGTCTGGAGAATGAAGAGAATGGAGAAAACGAGAAACTGCGTGGTCGAGACTGCTCCCTCGGCACGTTTGGAGGGACTTCGGAAGTCTATTAAGCTGTGCCGCCTCTCACATCTGTATAGTGATACAGTACCGCCTATCTGTGTATCCAAGTGGAGCGTTCATGGATACAGATTACCATCAACCAATGATTGATGTACATATTGCTATCATGCCTTTTCTTTTGAGCTGAAAAGTTGTGCAGTTGGATTTTGTGAGCTTCTCTCTCTCAAGCCTTATCGGAAAAGTCTTGGCTGGGACGGCTGGCTGATATCGTCTCGAGGCTCCCAATTGGGACTAGCTTGAGGGCCGATTCTCATACCAAAAGATGGAAACACTCGCCGGCATCGCAGTATGGCCCTGGAAAGTGTTACTTGATAGAGAGAGAGATACTTCGTCGTCTCGAGGTTCGTCAAGGAGGGGTACACTGAGATAATTGTCTGATAACTCATTCTTAACGCTGCTCATTTACTTCTTCTTCATATAGCCTGCCAAACTTTCAAACATCTGGCGAGATACCAAACTGAATCGCAATGCCGTCGTTCGAAGTACCTTGTGTCCACCAGGAAGATGTGTTTGATCCGAAAGTATGCTTCGTCTGTCAGAGTCAGAGTCACCACCACTTACCTATCTTAGATACATCTTGACTATAGCCCAGCTGAGAGGACTTTCACTCTCGCAGAGTGGGGCATCCAGGAACATGAATACACCACGCCAATTGCGGGTTGCACACCATTCAGACTGCTCTCCTTAGAAGGCGTGATGGCATATCGACGTGCCATCCTGAGAAAGGATGTCTTCGACCAATGTGCCGGGCATCCATTCCCTGGCACAGTAACGCTGAGAAATCTTGCGAAAGTCAGCAAGTTCGTGAACGACTTCTGGACACACCCTGATACTCTTTCAATCATCTCAGACGCCTTGGGCATCAAGGTCGTTGCAGTCATGCCTACTGAGATCGGACATACCAATATTCAAGTCTCTGGATCTGGAGATGTCCTGAGCCAGCTCAAGATACAGCCATCGCAAGAAGCTCGTCCATTGACCAAGGAGGAAGAGTCGTATGACCCTTTGTCCGGCTCCTCGGTCATACCTTGGCAGTATGTTGATGACAAGGACATGAAAACTGTACCACGTGTTCTAACTCCTCTATAGCAGGGACTCGTATCCTTTCGTGTGCGTGTTGATGTTGTCTGATACCACTCATATGAAGGGTGGAGAGACCTATGTCAGTGCACGAGACATCCAGGCGGCAAGTATCATTGTATGGGGACGAGTCCACCACAGCTAATTATCTGTACAGATCAGAGGACCCGGTCTGGGAACGGCGGTCGTATTGCAGGGTGGTCAAGTGAAGCATCTTGCAGCGCGCGCGTTTGGTTCGGCGGAAAGAATCACCACCATAACATCCTTCCGAGCTGCTGAATTAGGCCGCTTTGACGACAGCCGACTTGCCAATCTCAGAGCATACGACAACCTGCCCGAACTGTACAGTCAATGGTCACTTTACCGTCTGAAGAAAATGCGTGACGAAATTGACGCTGCTGTGAGAAAGATCGAGTCACTCGACAAATCTGGTATTACTTTTGTTCATCAGGAAACGGAAGCGCTGTGCGAAGAGCTCTCGAAGTACTCGCAGAGGACAGCAAGGCAAATGGTCGATCCAGAGATCCGTGACGGTCTTGCCCGAAAGTACGGTGCAAAAGGTATTGCGGAAGCGAGCAAATACTGGCAATTGATCAGAGCTATGCCTCAGGCAAGTCCCAAGATAGCGGAAGCCACTAGGTACGCGGAAGACAGTATGCCGAGAATGAAAGGCTACACATTTGACTGGTGTCAAACACGCGCTCGTATCCAGAGAGGTTCCATAGAGCGTGGCACTCAGGGGTTGATCGTGTGGGATGACAAGGCTGATTATTTGCTCGGTGACGAGCTGGAGGCTCAGGGACTGAACGAGATTCTTCTGTGGTGGTTGGAGGAGACTGGATTAATGGCGGCCATAGGAGCTTGATAGGTCCATTGTCGGTGACTGCTTCAACTCTGACATAGCTACAATATCGTATCGAGACGAATGTTCGTCTCCATTTGTCCGCGCATCATCGAGTAGCTGGGCTGTCAAAAGGCAGGGTGTTGTCTGTAGCTGATTTTACGCTTAGCGAGAAATGCATCTACACCTGCTCTCGTTGGACAAATCGCTTGTGCTAAAGAGTATTGTGCCTTTCCACTGGTGTATCTAGAAGGCGCCTTGGGCGAACGCGGGGCTGAACATGATGGTTGATTTCCGGTCTTGGCAACACGCGTTAGTTTCGTGATGCATAATTAGTCTTATCCGTCGCGCTAAAATTCTGTAGCATGACCAAGCCTCCGAGGCTGCCCGATTTATCGCGAGCCTTATCAGCTAACAGACAAATATGAAGATGTGCTCAGACACAACGCGAAATCTTGGTTGTAATCATGGCTTGTTCTGATCATTCTTCAACTCACATAGCTTCCGCCGAGTTCCGAGAGACGTGATAATAGTGATCGAGCGACAGTCTGTTCACGAGATGCGGAGGGGCGTACGCTCAGCCACAGGATGTCAAGAGTGTAGGGCTCGACATGTTAGCCATTTCTGGTCACAATATTGCGACATTTGGCTAACCAGATTCCAGGTCAAGTGCGATGAAACAAAGCCTGCATGTTCGAGATGTAGCAAGCGAAAGTCATCATGCGATTATGGCAAAAAGCTAGAGTGGCGTCACAGCACGGCTCCCAGTCAAAATACATCCACTGCTGGACAGCTAAAGACACGACGGCCAGATCGTCCGGCTGTTGAGGGGACGCATGTTACACAGACCGATACAGGCACCGGTGGTTCTAATTTCGAAAATTTGGAGATACCGGACTTCATGGATACGACAACAGTATTGGGCGAGCTGGCTCAATGGGATGATCAATATGCTCTCGAGTTTCCAGATATGCTTCCGATCGAAGAGTTCCCCGAGAATGCCACTTATCATTGGAACGCCCAAGAAGTCTCCACATGGACTGCAGACGTAATGCAGCCACAGTCCCCCTTCTCTACAGAACTCAACATTGGACCGTACCTAGCAGGTCTCGGCTCAAGCTTTGATAGAAGCGCTGCTTTGATGAATTTCTACTTCACGAGAGTTGCTCCCATGTTCAGTTGCTATGATGGCGGCAAAAATCCGTTCGACCATTTGATCAAACAGGTCTGGCATAGCCAGCGAAACTCCGCAGAATACAACTTCTTGATCAAAGCTATCCAGGGTCTTGCGGCGGTATTTCTGTCGAAGGACGATTCATCATACCGCGAGGAGGCTTTGGCCCTTCAGAGGCAGGCTCAAGACCAGCTCGAGCGTGTACCCGAGCCTCAAAGATATGACTCCAAGTACCTCTTTGCTCTCGTATTGCTTAGCATCAGCTGGATGTACAGTCAAGATGTGCCATCATCGTTCAAAGCTTTGAAAAGGCTGCGCGATATTCTGCAACTGGAGGCGACCAAGGACGTATCAAAAGTGTCAAAGTTGCGCGACCGTGAGCTTCGCTTTTTCTGGGGCCTACAAATTTATTGCGAGGTACGTATGGAACGAAGGTGCAAGAACTCGTTTGTCCGATCATCTGTGTCATGCCACAACACCTCTGCTCATTATCGGTGGATGTACTGATCAGAAATCTACATTATAGGTCTTCTTTGCTTGCACAGATGGGTTTTATTGTCTTCCCTCTATCCCAGCACAGATCCGATACGTTCAAGATGACCCCGCGTCAAGCATATATCCTCATCCTTTTACTGGTGTGGCTAATGCCATTAGCACTACCCTTCTTGAGGTGATACAATTGGTCAAAAAGCAGAGACTACTGGCGAGAAGTCATGCTTTTGCCTCACGTAAACACCTTGATGCTTTGCAGAATCTCATAGCAGAAGCTGCAGATCTGGAGCAGCACGCATTCACACAAGCCGTCCCTAACGTGCAGCAGATAGAGGATCCAGGAGATCCCGCCACACCTGTAGAACATCTCGTCAAGATGGCGGAATGTCATCACGAGACTGCCCTGCTACAACTATATCGTGTCTTCCCCGACCTCTTGACCCGACGTCTGGCTCTTGATGTAGCAGATGTCTGCGAGGACAGCGCCCAAGATGTGGATCAGCTCGTGGAAAAGCATTGTCACATCATGGCAATGCACATTCTTGATACCCTGTCCTCGATCCCCGACTCTTCCAGCACGACACCATTTCAAACAATATTGTTGCTCTCGACATCAAGCGAACTCAAACTCAATACAAGACAAGAAATTCATGATTTCGGTCTGGAAGTCGCTACTCCCGCGTCCGGATCCTTGGAAAACAGTAGAACTATGGACATGCGGCAGTTCGTAGTCAAGAGGTTGAGCTCTCAGCACCCCATACCTGGCGACAGGCTACCAAGATTACTCCGCGTGGTGAGGAAAATTTGGTCCTTGCTTGATTGCAGCGGAAAGTCCGAGGCGGCTTATTGGTTCGATGTGGTTATGCAGTAACATACATGGTGAAGCACAGAAATCTCACTAGCATGAATGGTTGAAGAGCGGCCATTGCAAGCCACAAACAAGTCCTGGTAGACTGAGACCGCTCAACGGAGGGACTTGCCGGCACTCTTTCACTGGCCACGGCTCTGTTTGCTAAACAGACTGTGCCTTTGCGCGAGTGGAAGTGTGTCCTGTTGTGCGAGGGAGTTCTCGTTGTTGCATCAACCACTCGATTTACAGGCAGTTGCAACCGATCGCAAGCGGGAGTGGCCGGCGCCCCACATTGAGACCCTCCAAAGTCGGCAGGCGCGTCCTCAATCTTGCCTCTTTGCAACCATGCACGTTACGTGCAACATTCCTTTTATCTTACCACAATCATGGCCGCTCAGGAGAACACATTTCCACCAGAGATCTGGGCCGAGATCGTCGAGTGCTCACCGCAGCAGACGCTTGTGGCCCTCTCGCGAGTCTGCTCTATGCTTTCTGTTGAGGTTCGCAAAGTATTGCTTCGAAGCGTAGCGTCAAAGGAAACTTCTGGAGACAACGAAAAATCCGCGAGTGTAATTTACAGACCATGGGCTTTTCATGATATGCTTGTCAAGGAAGACACAAATTGGAGGTCAACGATAAGATTTGCCAAGCTGAATTGGCTAGGTGAATATCTTGATAAGGATGGCAAAGATGCACTCATTGGAAGAGCAAAGCCTGTTGCAGACCATCTAATATTCAAGACAGCAATGATGCTGTCAGAGTGCGCCCATCTGCACGACTTCCAAGTCAATTCGAGGTCCCTCACTATTGCAACAGCTATGCTAAACACAAAGCCCCTACAAATCACATCCCTCAGTTTCTCCTTACCACATCGATATTCCTGGGAAGATTTGTATCGCATATTTGAGATCCCAACGCTTTCAACATTGGTGGTGAAGAACCTTCTGAGTCCGGACCGGCCTGCTTTCAGATTTCCACCACCAATACCAGACGAGCTACATCTCAAATCCGCCATTTCAAATATACAGGATCTGACTCTTGATGAGTGTGGCCCACTCACTTCAGCCATAGTTCCAATGTTCAAATGGCCCAGGAACTTGAGGAAGCTGGATTACTCACCTTCACGTTCGAAGTGTGAGCCTTATTGGCGTGGCATTTTACGGAGAATGGGCGACATCTCGGACGCTGTAGACCTGTCCGTCCATGTTCTTTCGCCTGTCAAGGATTCACTTGAAGAGCTCAAATTCGATCTTGGGCTGGACAGGCATTGGATCTTGCCTTTCAAGACAGGAGGGCTCTTTCAGTCGTTTGTCAACTTGTCAAAGCTTACCGTTCCCGTTGAGCTGATCATGCACTCGAGGGGACTCTCGCAATCTCGCCTTGATCGTCCATTCTACACCAGTCTTCCTCATGACTTACAAGAACTCACATTGAAGTTTACAATACTTACTTCCTGGCACCCACGACCGGCTCATTCTGAATTACAGACGAATCAGTGTCTACTATCTGATCCTGCTCACCGCTTCTTTGACGAGCTTTCGGATATAGCGATGCACAAGGAAGAGTTCCTTCCAAGCTTGAAGCAACTCATACTTACCGAAGATGGCGAGAGACCCTTTCTGGTGAAGTGTGTCCATACAAAACACAGTCTCGAAGACCTGAGGAGCAGCGGTATACAAGTCGTCCAGGGTGATTGGTATCGACAATCCAGGGAAACCTGGGTGTGATAATCATCTGCATGCGTTCACATGTGGTCCTATCGACCCAATCGTTGCCCTCCACCAGCTCAAAACCGTTATTGTTGTCGGTCTCCAGCTACAAAACTGATTTAGTACAAATGCTTGGTGGCATGAAGATCCATACAATCTTCCAACCGCCACGCTCTCAATGGAGACTACCACTGAGACAAACAAATGCTGCATTGTCACAGCGATACGGACGACGTCGAGTTACTCGAATGGACTGAGTTGCAGAAGAGCACCCCGAAGGAAAAACAAGAACTCGGCACCTCGAACGTTATTCAGCTCAATACCACCGACTGTGGCCTTATCTCTCGCCACATAAATGGCGTTCTCCAATGGACGAAAGGATCCAAGGCCTTACTATGCATGTGGCGTCTTCTCGAAATGAGGAATCTGCTAAGCTGAAAAATTACAATCTGGAACCGTTCCGATTGACGAAGCTGCAGTTGGTCATACCAGGAGCGAAAGAGTGGTTGAGTAAGCAAAAGGAGCGTGTGAGCACCAGATTTGCTGTGTTGGGTGGGGAAGTGGCATCAGTTTAGCTTTCCTGGGACTGTAATGCAACGCAAATGGAGTGATCTAAACGGTTGTGCCGCTTGAATTTGGGTTCATTATATCATTATTTGATCGTCTTATGTATCTACTTCTTCAGATCGGACTAAGAAAATATGTTACATCAAGGCGCTGGACCAGAAGAGCTTGTACTATAATCTTTCTTTCTAGTTGTAGGACTTGTAGCTGACAGTGTCGATCAACAGAGCAGTGAGAGTCTCAGTGGTGGCGGCAGAGACAACAGCAATGTCAACCTTCTCGAGGCCGAACCACGAGACAGGAAATTCGACCTTGTGCATCTTAGACGAGAGGGCGGTGTCGGGGTTGAACTGAGCATTGAAGGTGTCATAGGCAATGTCGCTGCCCTTCTTGTAGGCAGTGAAGGCAACGGAGCACTCTTCAGGAACACCGACGGTGGAGCTAACGGTGTCGACGGCGCAAAGGAAGTAGAGGCTCTGAAGGTCGAAGTACTTGATGGTGTCGGCGGCGATGGAGACACCGCCAGTGGCCAGGTAGTTGGTGATGGAGGCAGCGGCGACCTGGTTACCAGACTGGGCAGGAGTGCCGCTGATGCCCAGAACACCGGTCTGGAGGATGTCGAGGGAGTTGTACTTCAAGCCCTTGTAGCTGCCGACAGGGTTGATCTCAGAGACGGCAGGAATACCAGTGAGGTCGTCGAAGGTAGCGACCTGCTGGGTACCGCGGTTGATGAAGGTGGCGGACGCCAGCGAGAGGAGGGAGACAAAAGCGAAGCTAGAGAACATCTTGATGGTTTTTGTGTTGTTGTCGGCGTGGGAGTAGCGATGGTAGAGGGTTGCAAGGAGTAATGGAACCAATTATGATGTGGAAGATATGGATGAGCACAAGTCGTCAGTGATGAAGAGTAGCAAGGTATATATACGTCTGCCTGCTGGTCTTTCCCTTGTCAATCTCGCAGTGACGATGACTTCAAAATCCCATGCATGGTTCTTGCGATGATGTACGGGCTTGAAGTTGCGGGCCCCTTGTCAATCACAACCCTCATTCAGATGGTGTCACAGAAGATCTCCTTCCTGATGGCATTTAACGGCTGATGAATGGGGACTAGGACATTTGGTCCTGTATCCGCTTCAGGGACGGACAAGAAGATCTTCAGTCAAACCACAAGATCACCTAAAATTTGATGAGAACGTCAATTGCGGATTACCAGGTTGGCAAGTATTGTGATAGGTGATCCTAGTTGTGTGCCATCCCAATCTCCAGAGACGCTTTGCATTCTCAAACGTGTTTGGATGAAGATGCAGCCTATATTCGAAGTCATGGTCGCAAAGCAGAGGGGTGTCATGGTTTCGGAGCACAGTCCTAGATGATGTTGTTGCCGTTAAGCTTGGAGGAGGCTTGCTCAACACTGCCGGTAACCTAAATCAAACTGGACATTCGTGGTATCCGGGCCCAGTCTGAACCCTTAGCAAGCTAAGGGCCTGCCATGCCAATCAACATGATCATGCCAATCAACAGCCGCTTACCCCTTGGATACGGAGCTCGTATAGGGCTTGGTCTTACGTCAAGATCTCCCAAGAGCTTCTCCGCACAAGAATTTGTATGGGAAAAACCCTGCCAAGTTCATCGGCGACCTTCCGCACGTGCTTCGGAGTGTTCGGAAGCATTGGGTACGCGGTTGTTGATTGGGGTGATCATGTTGATTGGCATGGCAGACTCTTAGCTTGCTAAGAGAACCTGATAGGACTCGGATACAACCCTTTTGGGAAAGCATGGGGCTTGGCACGCGACTTTTCTCTCGGTAGTTCAGTAGAGTCTCGTTTTCTACAACTACAACACCTTGAGCAGGGTTGTCTCCGAAAGAGATCTCAAAAGCTCAAAGGTGGCTCGTGACTTCGACCGTGGATAAGTCGCATTCTAGACAATGCCACTGCTGAGCAGTCAAAAATCGACAATGCTTGGCATCCACGCCCGACCACGAGGATTTACCGCGTAGCCGGGGACTCGGGAATCTGCACCCCTCGGCCAAGTGCTACGCCCGGTATTGCGGGAGATGTTGGAGAATGAGTATTCATCCCTGCGGACCGCTACGGGTGAGGTAGACGGCTGTGTTGCTACATCCAATTTGAGATGAAGAGAAGAGGGGTCATCGCCATCTCAGAAGCAGACATGAGAACACAATTCTCCACGACATTATATCAGGCAAGAACGACTGCGTTCTTCCAACTCGATCTTCGAAAAGTTACGATTCGGGGCTTTTGGTACACATAGGCTATCGTCATGAAGTCTGAAAGACCTCAATTCTGGTTGTGCAGTTCGCAGTACTTTTCCCGATGAATCTCTTTGTAGAATGACCTCTTGAGAAGGTATCGAAATGGCGTAAATCGGCGACTTCTACTTGGGAACGTCATCACTAATTTAGTACCTGACGGCTGTAAAATGAACGATCTGCTGTCTTGGCATGCATCAACTGCACTTGACTGCAAGTAGACCAAGCACGAGCTGAAGACCCCAACGCACAAGTAGACCAAGCACGAGCTGAAGACCCCAACCACACGGTCATGACAGCATGTTGCTCAGATTCAACGTGGCACTCCATCATGTAACCGATCTTTGAGCTCGGGAATCAGAACCATTATTGCTCCGGCGCTCACTTCTCTGTGTGACATGGGAGTTCACATCCTAAGCTTTGTCACCATTGTCGTGATGACCATCAGACCTTGAAATTTTTCTTTGATGGGTTTTCTGAAGTGATTGATACCCTTTTGGAAATCAATTGCCTGAGCTACTGGTGAAAATGTGGGAAGGTGTGAGGGGAGAACAGCTAAAATTTTACTAGAAGTTATGCAAAGGTCAAGGAGGAGACTTGGTTCGAGTATAGTGAGAAACTCAGGCTCTCAGTGGAAGGTATGTCGGGTTTGAATATCATTGTGTATCTCGACAGATAGTAATGGCGCCTGATCATCACACTCTCCTCATATCTTGAGAACGATGTCGGGATTCTTTTGCGCCTCCCAGGAGAGAGCGGGTAATGCCAGTGCGAGTCCTCCACAGATCTACAATCAATGCCGTCCCCTTCCTTACTGGCCAGCTAACTTGTCATTTCTAAGGCAGATAGTACAGGTACCAGTGCGAAGTAGCATCTATTAGGTTTACCAGACAGGCTGGGTGAGAAGCCACTCTTCCATGAGCTTCACACGATTGGCGAGAGCCAGCGGGACAGGTCCAAATCCATCACCAAGACGCTGAGTAATCTCTTTGCTATTGCTCTTATCCCAACGAGTCAATCCCTGACCATTCGGATTTCCGGTCTTGATGAAGTTGACCCAGTAGGAGTTCATGGTGGCGGCAATCTCGTAGTCTTCATCGGTCCACGGGGAGTCGGTACCGTACAAATTGTTCAAGACGTAGTTGATCTCAGACTCGTGGTAAGCACCTTGACTCTGGCCAGGAGGAGCGTGGTCCCAGATATATGTGTAGATCGGGCTTTTGGCAGCCTGCTTCCACTTCTGGGCCCAGATCCAGGTGCCGATGATCGAGCGATCGGTGAATTGCTGGTTCTCACTCTCAGAGGCTTGAGAAGCGTTGTTGCCTGGGTATAGTTCCAAGAATTTGTCCACCCACTGACCGGAGTATGTCTCGTTCAAATCGGCGAAATACTCGGCAATCGTGATGTTAAGGCCGTACGTGGCACCACTTTCGTCGCGAGTATTACCAGTGATGATAGGGACATCATTTGCGGCACCTTTACGAAGGGTGTTTTCGTAGGTGTCGGGCAAAGCATAGTGGTCTAGTGTGGCTGTGAAAGTCCAGCTAGACGAGGTAGGAGGAAAGTCAGAATCAACAAAAGTTGTGTAATCCAGTTTGCGAGCGTTGGCAATGGAGGAAGTGTTCTTGTCGGCCAAGTAATCCAGGCCTTGGTTCAAGGCAAAGGTAAGGTTGCGATAGTTCTCGGCAAGAGTCTCGCACAAAGGGTCATGGGGATCGCGTACACCACTCTCAATGATGGCACCGACAATAAGACCCTTAGTCAAAGGGCTGTTGAGGATATGCTGCGTTGCAGCAGAGCCGGCACTCTGGCCCATGACTGTAATGCGGTTTGGGTCACCTCCGAATGCCTCGATGTTGTCGTGAATCCATTTGAGAGCGGCAAATTGATCAAGCATTCCGTAGTTTCCGGAGCTGTTGAATCCGACAGTGTTGAAACGCTCTTGAGAGAGCTCCGGATGAGCCAGCCAACCCAAGGCACCTGTACGGTAGTTGTAGTTGACATAGACGACACCAGCATCGGCCATACCAGCACCGTCGAAGAGAGCGTCCGCAGCTGTGGAATAGGCTGGATAGCTCCACATGACAACGGGACGCTTTTGCTTGGTCGAGGTAGCCGAGGTCCAGATGTTGAGGTTGAGGCAGTTTTCAGAGATCGTATACTCAGAGTTGGATGATGTGGATGGACAGATGTCACCATAGTTCTTGGCGTCAAGTGTGCCATTCCATCTTCCCGCTGGCTTGGGAGCCTTCCATCGATTTTCGCCTGCAGTTGAAGCAGCGAAAGGAATGCCTTTCCAGACAGTGATATCCTTCCAGTTGGTCAGATTACCGTTGGGAGTGGAGTTGAAGGCAGGATGGCCTTGAACTTGGCCATGGCTAGTCGATATGACACCCTCGTACAGAGCTGCATTGACAATGCCGCACATCATCAAGGCACTAGCAAGTTTTTCCATCATGATGTCTGCCAGATAATAATGTTCTTGGGGAACAAAAGGTATGAGAAGGGTTGTAGAAGTGACAGCGCAGAGTCTGGAAGTTGTGCGGTGACGATGTAGTGGCAGAACAGGCACAGAGAGGCCACTTTATAGATACGATGAATTCGCAGGGTCTCAATTGATGAGACCGATGGAATCGATATTCTCGCTGACGACTGCAGAATGCGTGTCATGGTGCGACAGGACTGTGGGCAGTACAGCCATGCTTTCTCGGAAGAGGTGGCAAGCAAGCCCTATCCGAAGCTTTATGAGTCGAGTCGTACACGACGAACATCAGGAAGGTGCCTCAAGAAGCATCTGTGCTGGTGTGAAAAGACCACCCTCTGAAGTGACGGTAGCTGCAAGATACTCCTTACGCTTGCAATCGAGACTCATAGTATCGGCTCTTATTGCTTATACAGTCCGTACAAAGCAATTCCTTCATATGCCGCGAGCTGTTTCCTCCGTCAACACGAAACATGTGTGCTATGGCCTGAAGAACATCTCGGTCGTCATGGGGCTGTGGTTGCAGTGTCTGTCTTCTGATTCGTCCGTTCGCTTATTCGGTAAGGGGCGGCAATTAGCGTCCGCGATCTCATCAGAAGCCTACTTTTTCCTAGACGTATGGCTCTGTTTGACGCGACATGGCAAAGAGTGCTAAAACATGACACTTTCGTATGCTAGCCTGTTAGCGTAAGCCCGTGGAGATGCACGATCACCTCCACAGCAAAGGCATGCCCAGTGAGAGCGGGCCAAGTAGCTGTCTTAGTGGACGACTGCCTTCTATGCGAAAGCACTGCGCATTTGAGCAATCAAATTGTTCCAAGCAACCGTGAGAGCGAAAGTGGCCAGTCTTTTTGTATATACATAGCATAGTATGAAAACTGATAGGTGAAGGTCTTGCTTCGAAGAGTGAAAGAGTCTCGAGCACTGACACGGATGTGACAACGCCAAGGCGAGATCGGCAAAACCTCGGTGATGCTGCTCCATAACCTCGTCCGCGCCTGCCTAAGGTCCTTCACGGTCTTGCTTAACACCATCCAGTCACAGAGAGACTTGTGTTAGAAGACCAGTCTTATTCTTGAACAACTTCTGGATGACTGGGACGCCTTTCCTGATGACTGTACCAGCTTCTCTCTGAAGACATAGCACGATGCCATTCAGTACAGCTTAGCGGACTGTTGCAATATCATTCTCCCACGAAGACAGGATCACTGTATAAGTACAGCTTAAAGAATGCACCCTTGACGAATGTTCGCCATGACGCTGCTTTTGACCATCTCCACTGCATCTTGTATGGTATAAGCTATGGGTTCCAGGACACAAATTGGGTCATGGGGGAAGACCCCATCGTCAAGACTTTGAGAGCACATCTAGAAGCAAAAGAATCATCGCAGCCTGTGAGAATCGAACCCACGTTTCTATATTTCTGAGGCGACTGAGGCCGTGAGACCAAAGTCCCTGGAGCCGTGAGACAACAGGGGTATCATACTATAGCGTCGTAACCACTAGACCAAAGCTACTTGTATTGTAAGTGGTGAGGATTCACAAATATTTGTAGTCGAAGCGCGTCTGCGGCTGTTGCGTCGTGCCTTCTTCACATGGTATTTCACGCTTGGCGTCTTGAGTGAATGCATGAGGAAGCCCTACGCACCTGACGATACCAAACAAACCTCTCAGACTCGGACAGAGAAATTGTGCAGTATCCAGGAGCGCAGTCAAAGATCCTCTACAACCAATGTCCCGACTCGACTCATACTGAACCCTCGCGGCGCGAAGATGTAGATTGAGATCACTTCCTCCACTCGCTACGGACCGAAAATATGGAGCATTCTAATTTGATATAGCGCAACGGACAGTTCCAAGCAGCTCGGAGAAGCTGTATGACTAGAAGTACGACGGAAGCTACACCACCAGATCAAATGTTGAGAATGCCGATTCCAGTCACGAGGTATAGGCACCAATCCACGATGACTGTCCAGAACAACGGAATGCTCTCAAACCGCCTCAGCTGGTATTGTGAGTCTTCTGTCAAGGCAGCAATAATGTATCTCTCGCCTCTTATCGCAATAACCTTTTCCTTCTTATTATCCATTCTCACCACATCGCCGCAAGTTCTGGTCTATTAAGTCTACTTATAGAATCACGATCACGACGCCAACTGCACGACCACTAAACCTTACAAGATGTCTACTCTCGCCTTCTTCGCCGATATGTCGGCTGGTGCAGAAAACCTTACCACCGGGGTGCCTGGCGACAGTCCTTCCGTCCCAAGCTTGACGAGAAGCACATATGGTACCTTCAAACCATCGAAGCCTCAGGCAACGACGACTAAAGACAAGAGAAATGTCACCTCCGCAGCCTCTCCAGCAATCAACAAGAAGTGCGACCATGCCACAGAAACCTGGTTCTCACGTCTCTTCGGCTGGGAGTCATATCACCTCACCATGATGAAAAGCATGGGCATGCCGGCATCCCGCCCGAATCCAAGAAACCAATCAAAAGCCGAATACACAGCAGCAAAATCACGACTCACAGCATCAAAAAAGAAGCCATCCCGACACGACCGCGAAAAGGCCAAAATCGAATGCGAGCAAATCACCCCCAACATCCACAAAACCACAGCAATATTCGAGGGCACCTGGGCAGATGAAACTCAATACAGCATAAGTGTTCTGAACTTGTCATCTTTGAATCAACTTGGCCATGGCCACCATATCGCAGCACCGTTCAGGATGTCTTTCACCTGTACGCCAAAACTCCGCAACGATACCAATATCCCACAACGCCAACAATACAATCTTATCGACAATGCTTGTATCGCCACGGCCAAGATTTTCGCAGAACACAAGTCAATCTTGGGAACTAAAGGCAAAGCCTGCGACTGCGACATCCACTGGTTGCGCACAGGAAAGACAGCCAAAGGAGGACAAGGGTGTGGAGAAATTGGAGAGAGGAAGAAGAAGGGAGGGTTGATGTGTAAGGCTTATGATGCTATGGCTGAGCACGATCGTCTCTGCTCTTGTGGGTGTTTTGACACGGAGAGAAAGGAGAGTGAGGTTGTTGGGGACTTGACTTCTGGGTATGATGAAGATTGTGTGGAGATTTGAGGAGAATTCAGCATCAAAAGAAGGGTGGGACAGATTACGATCATGGAGGGAAGTCGCATTGCAGCATTTGTGGGCATCTGAGTATACAGAAGGAGAGAGTTGTGGAAGGGCAACATAACGTCGCACAAAGTCATGATTTTTTGTCACATCAGAGCTCCCTAATTTCGTGTGTTGTTCTCGTTTGGCGTTGTATCAAGCAACTATTTGTTTCCGCTCATGGCCTTGAACCGCGCTTCCGCAGCTCTGGCTCTACGTTCTCGCTCGAGCTTCATGCGCATCTCTGGTGTCATGCCTCTAGCCTCTTCCTCCCTTTTCTCCTGTGCCGTCTTCTCGGGCAACACTTGCGCCAACGTCTTGCCCTTGCCAAACTTCTTTTCTTTGCTCTGCTCTTCCCTAACCTTGTCTTCATTCCGTAGTCGCTCGGTTTCAGTCTTTCGTCGTTGCTGCTCTGCTGCATCTTCGGCAGCCTTCTCGTCTTTCTCGCGTTGAACGCGAGCGTCATAGTCAGCCTTGGAGAGAGCGGCCGGTACACCTGCTGAGTCCCAGTCGAAAGCGTTTTCACCAAGCTCTGAGCGAGCTAGACGGAAAGAGTCACGGGTTGCGCGATCGCCTGCAATCTCGAAAGCAGTTTTTGCTTCTGCAGATTTGAAGGTAGGGTCGGCCTTTGCTTTCAGCAGTAGTGAGGATACGAGGGCAGGAGCATTGAGAGAGGCAGCTAGATGGAGCGGTGTGGGAGCATGGTGATTTTGCGGAATATCCGAGGGGAAGAAAGTAAAGTTCGGTGAGAGATTGTTGGATGTGATGTATGAGACAAGAGCCGGTGCTTTTGATCGACGGATGAGCGCCTGGAGTTGTGTAGTGTGTAACGATGCTTCTTCCTCCTCTTTAGTCGGCTTGACAGGTTTCGGCGTAGCAGGTTTGGCGGCAGCCTTTGCTTCGGCGGCCTGGCGAGCGGCTTCCTCCTCCTGTGCTTTCCTTGCGATGGCAGCCTCGTCGATCGTTGACACCTTGACTCGAGTAAGTTCGACGAAAGAACGCATCAGCTCAGCTTGTGTGGCACGGCGAGTAGCGAACGGGAAGCCTCTGATCCTCTGGTCTCTGGACGTCAGGACTTGGTTCTCGTAAGGGCCGAAAAGAGTGCGACGGTTGGTGGTTCCGGTGGCGCGGATGAAGAGAAGTTCACTGCTGTCAATCCAAACCTTCCAGTCCTGCAGCAGCTGACGGACTTCGGCGATCAAGGCGGCCTCGTTGTAGCGACGGATGCCAGCACCAGCAGAATGAGCGGCACCCTTGGCACTATCATTGGCGGACTGAGAACCACCCTGCTTGCGACGAGTTGTGTAGCGATGGAATGTCTTGTGTGCAAGTACCGTGGCAGCGCGGTCCTCGACACCAGCCTTCTTGGTCATCTTGGGTGTCAGAGAAACAACCATGGCGGCAAAGTGACCGCCTCCAATCATACACAAGAAGTAGTGGGGGCCTGTGGCAGACGTGTCTGGCTGGAGAGAGCGAGGGAGAGGGACACCGCCTGAGTCTTCGGTCGGAGCTGATGTGGGTTGCGTTGGTGGAGGCTTCGGAGAGAGTTGCTTGTCCTTGATGGTCTGAAGGATTGTCGCGCCATCTCCGACTTGGATGGCGGCGGGGAGGAGAGTTCGGTAAACACCAAGAGCGACGTTCGAGGGCAACTTGGACGAGGAGAACCACAGAAGCGGTGGTTTGCCAGCACCGACCTTGGTCTTTGTCGTCGTAAAGTCGTCAAAGTCAGGGTCTGCAATGTTCGCCTGCTTCTTGAGGAGCGCACTCAAAGTCGTATCTTTCTTGCCATCGTCGTCGCTGCTGGCCGAGTCGTCGCTGTCGCTGCCTGAAATGCTTTCGTCCAGGTCTCCTACCAGCTTCTCGAAATCGTTCTCTCCCACAGACTTCAATCCGCGCATCTTTTGCTTCATGTTGTATCCATGCAGATCACTGCGCACATGGCTCCTCTGCTCTTGCACGCTCGGAAACGAAAGGCCGCACAGCCCGCACGATGTTGCTGACGAAGGTGCGCCATCCTCGGTTTCGCTTCTTCTGCTACTATTGCTGGCTAACAGTTCGGGATCGTCGGGCACGGCGACTGCAGCATTGTTCTGTGCTTTGAGTTCGAGCGTCTGGAGGAGTTCTTGCGGGAGGTCGAAGACTGATTTGGCATTAGTGAACTACCTCTGACATCGATTCGTGTATACTATACCATAAAGAGGGCGCTGCAGTAGGGGTTCGGTAGTTTGTGCCATCTTGCGACAAAGATTGTATGCTTGGTGAGGCGGAAGAGTGCTGCTGTGCCAGAAGTCATTCCGGTTTTTGAAGACGTCATCGGCCAGTCTTGGGTTTCTGCCGACCGGGTAACCCTGTCTCTTATTCATCTTGATCTTGTACATGGATCTTTTGGGCTGCATAGTATGGTTTCATGATCAGTCCTCTCGGCATGTTATTTTCATAGTCAAACAATGGACTCGGGTTGTGCTTGATTGAACATCTAGAGTGCGGGATCTATCTAGTGATACATTCGGATGTCGACCCAAGTACTACCACGATCAATGCTCAACAAATGACTTCCCTCTCTTGCAACATTTTGGAATGCTTGTCAACACGGAAGATGTTTTCGGATAGTTGAGTTGACGGCATTGAAAGCGGCTGAACCCTTGCCCTCTTTACTGGATTCGGCCAGCATCGCTGTCATCCTGCCCGTTGATAATGAATACAAAGGTCTGTTGGCTGATGGGAGGCTGAGTCGAATTCAGCTCGAAACAACAATCATTGGACCCATGGCGACCTAGATACACTTTTAAGCACTGTTACCATAGCTTAATATCCAATTCCACCTTTGGCACACCTGAGAAGTTGGCAGGCATGCTGTACGTAAAGTTCCAAAACTCAAAGTCGTTGATGACTTCGTCTTGACCACCATAGGCACCCGCGAACGTGACAGAGTATGATACATTCGCGTTCGTCGAGATACTGACATTCGCTCCTTGCACATCAGCCCAGCTAGTAACGTCTCTTTTCCCGGCAAAGGTCGAAACGAGGAAGCTGAAGATCGAGGAGCTGTTACCGTATGGGTATGATAACTCGAGATGGCCAGGAGAAACTGCGGCTGTGGTTGCGTTTTCACTTGCATGGAGCTGTGATAGTGTTAGTCAAAGGCTCAGATAGTCCGAATATGAACATCTGTCAATCTTGCAGCTGTAAGAGTGAAGCTAGGTCCCAAGAGAGGATATCAAATGATACTCTCATGGAAGACGTGCCCTTGCTCAACATCATCATGCGTTTCAACGAGTGCGTCACTACGTTTTGCTTCGAGTGGGGAGCGAATGAAAGGAAACACAGGGAGAAGGTTTGCCAGGTCTGGAATACGTACCGTGATAAATCCGACTCCTTTGCCAGTGTTCCACTGAATGACGGCGGGATTGAATGTGCTGGGATTGATGGCCGGTCCGCCAATGACATTCTCGTCAAACGTCTCAGCACCAATCGAAATATTAGAAGCTAGCCAGGTGGTGATGTTGCGAGGATAGGTATCGAATGGAGGCGAGAAGGTAGAAGAGTTGAAAATGTGCTCGCCACGGAACTCCTGCAAGGCATTCAAAACATCTCCGGGAACCAACGAAGCCTGAAACTCTCCGAGAACAGCAAAAAGAGGACCATATGCAAAGTCGGCACTATGGGACATGATCTGTGGACGTGAGATCAAAGAAGACTTTTCTTTTCCCATTATTATCCAAAACCAGAGAGCCATGAGACTGAAGTATCTGTTCATGTCAAAGCCATAGGAGCGATCCCAAGGGCCAGCCATATTTCTGAGCTCAGGATGCCATAGTTGACCGACAGCCTCCCATGTGGCCTTTATCATACGCTCACCGTACTGAGTCATGATTGAGTCCGCAGGTAGATACTTGGCCCAGAGTGTAAGACCGAATAGGGAAACGCCGGTATATGTTCCGCTATTAAATTCTGACAAGGTGTCGGCTCGGGTGAACAGATCCACAATCTCTTGTGCATACTGCTCGCCGGCCATAGTGAAATTGGAGTCGTTAAGGCGTCGGCCAGTCCAGCCTGATACGAAAGCACGCATGATTGAAGGATTGCTGTAAGCAGGATACAGATTGTCATCATCGACACCTCCGACACGGTATGAGTCGCCAACAGTTGAGTTGTGCAGAGACCCAAGTATAAGGTCAGTGACGTTCTTGCTGAGCAGATGCGGGAACTCTTCGAGGCCGATGATAAAAGTGGTGCCAATGAATCCTCGCCAGTTGGGGTCCCATGAGTCGTATATGTCCGCTGGATATGCTTCTGTACCAACGTACGGCTCCTCAGGCTCCTTCTGGTAATCGCCGAACCTGAAGTCATCAGCAAATGCCAATGAACAAATGTGGCGAACGTAGGAGAGGGAATATCGCGCCGAAACATCATGACATCTCACGCTTCCCCGAATACAGGCTGACGAGGTACCTCGCTAGCTATCAAAATGCAAGATGATTGGTTGATTTGAATCCATGTCCACTGAGAGTCGTTACTATGTCATGCTCTCCTTGAATAGTTGTACCAACTATAGAACCATCTTTGCATTTTGATAGCTAATTAGCGGCCCTACCAGGGAGATGAGGTTCAATGTCGGCGCAGTTCCCCACAGCTACATCCATGTCAGTGCAACATACCATTGCTCCGCAGGGTCCTTGTATTGCCCGTCCACAATTGCTGTCAGAATCTTCTCCGCATTGGCGACATCATCTCCCTCGTTTCTTGCCAACAAGCCAATGGCATACCAAGCTGAGCTGCGCGTGTCGTGTCGAAGGGCGGCCGAGGCATCCAGACTGTAGAGGTACCCGGCGTCAGTGTCGTAGAAGCCGTCCATCCAGCTCATCGACTCATTGAGCACGCCTTGTGCATTGGACGAGAGCGACTGTACGTAGGAACATGAAGCTTGGCCGGCGCATACCGCCAGTGTTGCGAGAAGACGTCCGTGGTATCGCATCGTGATGTTGGGATGTCAATGTGAAGTTGTTGGAAGTTGGACATCGCCATGTCCTTTGTACTGTACACTTTGCCAGAGCCAATGTCTACCCCAAGGCGCAGCCATGATCGCCGTGGCTACTACGTAGCATTCTGCCGGCCAAGCTACGACACGACGCCATGATAGGCCATCTTGGTATGGTCGGGTTTAATGTAACCGAAAGAGCGAAGAGAGGAAAGAGTCTTGACTAACAGCCCTACCAGCTCCGGCAGCGGGGTCGGGAAGACGATATCGAACGGACAAAGCTCTCTTATGGCACATGTTGTCGCTTATCTCCGCACAGATGGAGCAATACACTGTGTTGTCAATGTTGGAGAATATTGTCCGATGGATGCGTAAAACACATGAGCTCTGAGTACCAGACATTCTATTAGTGTCTCACGAACAGCTGCAACGGCCTCGTCAATCGCCAAGGGAAGCACACGCTGTGTAAGCAAATTCCTGACATCGGCAACTCATCGGCAATCGGCATCGATAGCGACGGTCGTTTTTCGATCCCAACCTTCGTCTTTTCCTCTCAGGCATCCGTCACAGCACCCGAGTACAGATTTTGATGCTTCATGTTGGTACCGTGCTCCGACATGAATAGATGGCTACAACCAAAGATGATTAAAGAAGATAGCATGGTAGCAGATCTGCAAGAGGCGGTGACATCGCGCTATCGGTAGCCGACACGCCCCGCTATCAATCCTCCGCTGGCCGCTCTACCGCAATCTGGATCCTGCGATATACTATACCTTCCATTCTTATCACTGGCTCTGTATGAAGGATCGCACGATACAGTAAGCCTGTAAGTATGAAGAGACACAGATAAGCTACTTCGGCCTTTTGAGAATTTTCCACCTGGCCTTTTGCGTCTTGCGTTTCCGAAATATGGCAGAAAAGAGAAACGACAGCAGTGTTCTTGCGCTGGATACTTACGGCGATGTGAAAGGCGACGTACACGATGCCGATGACTTGAGGCTCCAACAGATGGGTTCGTCAACTTTGCTTCCCCCGTAGATGTAGAGGCACAGGAATGCATCAGGACCGAGCTCCCAGCCTGCGGAGGTGACTTTTGAAGCGGCCCATCGAGAGGCACGATGATCCTTAAGTTGGTTGTGTCGTCCAAAGGGAGTACGTGGGACTATTGCTCTCGTTGGACAATCACATGAACATCAAAAATCATCCTGCCTTTGGTCAGCCGTGCCAGAAGCCCTGTAACGGAATAGGAACTTAATTCTAGTGCGAATTTCCTGCAGCTGCGTCTATGGTACTAGATCCTAGCTGATGATGCCTTCAAGGTCATACCCAAGAGCTTTCTCGGCATTTCAGCATGCTGAGTCTCATTGGACTTGCGTCGACATGCACGATATCGTGGACAGGACTTGGCCTTGGATTGGCCACAGAGATCGGAGCCGGCGGACCTGGCGCTGTCATCTATGGCTTTATCCTGATCGCCTTACTGCAGTCTTTTCTTGGTGCTTCGCTGGCCGAGTTTGTCTCAAGCTACCCAACAAGTGGCGGGATGTATCACTGGATCGCCGCTGTCTCACCTGAAAGATCGAGAGGCTTCCTCAGTTTCATGACTGGATGGTTCACGGTCACTGGCTGGATTTTCACGACCGCCTCGACGAACCTGATCTACGCTCAAAACTTCATGGCCCTTGTTGCTCTGTACCGTCCGCATATGACCATACAAACGTGGCAGACCTTCCTCGTATACCAGGTCTTGAATTTGATCACAGCTGCGATTGTCATCTGGGGCAATAAGATCATTCCGGCTTTGAACAAGTTCTCGCTGTTCTACCTTCAGATCGGTTGGTTTGTCGTCATGGTCACCGTCGTTGCATGCGCTCCTACACACCAGGACTCCGAGTTTGTCTTCAGAACATGGATCAATGAGACTGGATGGGAAAATCAAGTCATCTGTTTCATTACTGGTCTCGTAAATCCCCTTTACAGTTTGGGTGGTCTTGACGGCGTCACCCATCTGACAGAGGAGATGCCCAACCCGTCCAGGAACGCGCCACTAGCGATCGCCATAACCCTTTGTATTGCCTTCGTTACTGGCATCACATATCTCGTCGCCCTGATGTTTTCGGTGCAAGACTATGCGGCCTTGTCGAGCACCAACACTGGTCTACCTCTCGCAGAGCTATTCAGACAAGTCACCAGAAATGCTGGAGGAGCATTTGGGTTGACGTTCATTCTGTTCATCGCATTGGGTCCATGTGTTATTTCGTCTCAGCTGTCGACAGGTCGCATGTTTTGGGCTTTCTCGCGAGATGGCGCTATACCATTCTCAAGCACTTGGTCGAAAGTCAACCATCGGTTGCAGATGCCTATGAACTCACAACTCGCAGTCACGGCCATTGTCGCTGCTCTAGGGTGTCTGTATCTTGGATCCAGCACGGCCTTCAACTCCTTGCTTGGGTCGGCGGTCACAATCAACAACTGTGCTTACATGGTCCCTATCCTGACAAATCTACTCACTGGAAGGAGAAATATGTACAAAGGCGTGTTCCACATGGCTGGGGTCAAAGGTTTCGTGGTCAATGCGGTGACGGTTTGCTGGTTGGCGTTTGCCATTGTCTTTTTCTCATTCCCATACTACAAGCCTGTCACTGGTAAGCCGTGAATCCCCAAGAAGCGAAACACACAGATGCTGACATTCATGATAGCTGCCAACATGAACTATACATGTCTTGTAGTCGGTGGTCTCACATTGTTTCAATTGGCCTGGTACCTCAAGGCCCGCGGCCGGTACAACGAGAGAATCCAACGAGCGAAGGAAGAATAGATCATGGGACGCAGAGTGATTGTGACAAGATGAGGAGTCATCTTCGAAGAAGTCGAACGTGACTCAACGTGGGTTGGGGGAACAGAAATTGTCCCCAGATCGACGTCCCCGGCCAAACACGGTGTGTCGAACTAGCTATCAAATTGCAAGATGTTTATAATTCTCAGGTAGCTGTCCGCTGAGAGCGTACGATTCTTCTTGCTCTCTCCGGAAATTGCATCTAGGTGGGAAATCATATTGCCTTCTGATGGTTTATACCAAAAGACCAGTTGGAGCCCGGAGCTCGGTTCTAGATTGATGCTTCTTCTTCCAGCAACGATAGTGTTTGAATCGGCGGAGTTGGAAGCCGCCGCCAAGGCCAACCCACCCCGCAATTCAACTGATGCGCTGTGGCAGTGAAGGGTTTCCGAACCTCTCAAGCCTCTCTTTGGAACATCAACATCAACAACGATACTCACACAATCAATCACCAACACAAACCAATACCAATCGAATCAAATATTCCGCAAGAATACTCGAAAGATGGCCACCTCCAATCCCTGCTTCGAATTTGCCGCCTACAACATCTGTCGCCTTGGAGCAAGATGCCCTGACGAGCATCACGAGAATCTAGACCCGGCGCTTGTTGGCAACAAGGACCCCAAGGGCTACATGGTGCCCAACGTCGCTGGCGAAGCTTGTCTGTCGTGCTTACAAAATGGACGAGAGGTGAATTTATGCTTAATTGATTGACGACCATGAACTAATTCAAGCCAGTGCGACAAGAGAACACGGCATGGCGATGACAACCCTTGCTCGGAGTGCCGCTGGTTCGGTGGAGAGAATCGTATCTGCAGTCTTTCAAGAGACACCAGCTACAACGACCAGCTGTGGGCGCAGATGATGGGGAACGGCAACAACGGCTATATCCTGCCTCAGCCCAAGCCCCGCGACCAAGCCAAGAAGATCAAGAACAAAGGCGGCCCTCCTACCTTGCTTCTTGTCGTACCGATGCCCAACTCTCGGGTCAGGCCCGACTGGATTGGTCCAAGTAGAGATGAACTCCTCGCAAAGCCTGACATGCTTCCCCCTGGTGTTCGCGAGTGCCCAAGGGCTTTCTTGGTCGCCCCGAGGCTGTCCAACACTCGCCAGAAAGGAAGCAAACGCGTTGCCGAGTTTGGAAGACATGAACCGGCTGGCCAGAACAAGAGCTTCGCCTACACCTCATCGTCCACACCATTGGTACGGCCCGCACATCTGCTGCCACCACGTCCACCACCGTCGTCTTCGCAGCTTCCACCAGATCCTATCATGGGCAGGGTGGTGCACACCTTCAGCGACTTTGAAGCTGGTCGCATGCCGTTTGAATACGAGAACACTGCTCGAATGACAGTCCCGCTCTCGACTGCTCACCACCTTGCAAGGCTTGCATCTGCATACAATTATACATACAGCCTGTCGCCTGTTGTTTCCGCATACAATCTGTCACATGTCTCGCGCCCTGTGTCAAGTGCCGCACAGCAGAGACCGGACGCTCTTCGTATGGCACCACCTACGCTTCCTGTTAGGATACAGCGTCAGCCTCTGCCGGTAAGTCTTATTCAACCTCTTACCGGAGTTTGTCTAACAAATGAATAGGATCAAGACTCTGCTTTCAGAGCGTATGCAGCCTTGTGTTTGCCAATGCACCATTCCGAGGCGTCCGCTCCGGCCGCATCAAATTCGGATCAAGACACCGCCTCCGGTCATGAGCAGTCGTACGGTACACAACCAGCCACGGACAACAATGAACTCTACGATCAAGTCACTCGCCTCATCAGACAACACAAAGATGATACAAAGACAGCAGACCACGATTCAGATGACGACAAATAGTCGCCTTCCCTTCACCAACAAACTCATTCGGCACCCATCTCTGTCATCTCGACGCTCCAGGTATCTCTACCGTCCCCTATTGTTTCAGCGCTCCGAGTTTTGCTACTATCCCCTATTGTCTCACGGCTCTAGGGTTTTCCTACTATCCCCTGTTGTCTCACGGCTCTAGGTTTCTCTACTATCCCCTGTTGTCTCACTGCTCTAGGTTTCTCTACTATCCCCTATTGTCTCACGGCTCTAGATTTCCCTACTATCCCCTATTGTCTTACGGCTCTAGGTCCTTGTTGTCTCACGGCTCCAGGTCATATAGAAATTCAATGATCTGCTTCTCATCGCTCCACAAACTCGCACATAAAAATCATGGATAGAGGAGTAATGCCATGCGCTTGAAGTTTGCTTACAGAACGCATACTCGCAGGATTCGACGGAGGGCTCCTGACCTCACAGTTACGCACTGGCGACCTACACTTCCAGGAGCCAGCCAGTGGTAGCGTCAGCTCAAGAGCTCCTGTCACCAATGTGCCTGCATAGACCGCAAGCATGAACACTTGCATCAACAATGCTCTTGGCCCTGTGACTCGTGAGGCCTTTTTCATCCAGAGCTCCGTATAACGACTGTGACGACCGAGCGGGAACATAACGAACAACATGCGGAGGAACAAATTTTATTACAAGAAATATTCAGACCTCAAACTATATAGGTCAAGGCCGGAGACCGGAAGGCGAGTCGAGTGCGGGGGGCCGAGCTGAACTCGAGGCTCTTCAGCCGCAAGGCTACCTCCAACCTTGCCACAGCTGAGCACAGTTCTTTCCTCAAGTACATGTGCTATAAATCCTCCCGCCGCTCAATACGAGTTGGATTGCATACTCGACCAAAGATTGCTTACATGTATAATGTTCTGGCCTTGGAGTTTGTCGCAATCAATCCCGGTCACTACTCAGCCTCGGAGATGTGGCTGCATTACCCGAAAGGTTATACGCGCCCATCATACATGCTTTATCGAAAGAAGAAAGCCGTACTGTCCTCCGTCGACATGTAGCGAGAATAAGACCAAAAGAGTATGTAGCTCGGAGTCTTGGTGAGTAGCTTGGAAGTCTTGGGACAAGGCGAGAGATGCATTAGTCGGAGACTTTCACACTTATGTCAGAGCCTCGACCGCCAGAGAAGCCACCATTGCTAAATACAGCATTAACTGTATAGGTCCACATTAGCTACCGTAGAAAATGTTCGGACTCGATAACACGATATCGTGTTAGCATCGTGCTAGGGCTCTGCATGAAGGGCAAGAGGCGTAAGGTATAAGAGTAGGTGTCTTCCGAGAAAGAACTTTCATCAGCCATCATTCAAACCTCTCTTTTCAAGCCTTCAATCTAGCTTCAGCCCATCATCATGTTTTCTCCTTGGGTGCTACTTCTACTCTCCATCCTCGCCGTCTACGTCAATGCCTCTCCTCTACTTGAAGCTCGCAAGAATGGCGGTGCCAACAAGGGCGGTCCGGCTTCAGCAAAAGTGACAATTTACAGCCAATATACTTGTGCTGCACCAAACACTGTATGAACAGCTTTTTCATCTCTCGTTTTCACACAAAGTACTGACACATCAAAGCTTCCACCCACGGATGGCAGCGCAGGCACAGCAAACAACTTCAACATTGCAGAAGCTCAATGCACGATCCCCAACACTGGTCTATCATTCGGAGGAGCTATCACGGCAAGCTTGACCGCTGAGCCAAAGACCGGAACTGCTGGCTGTAAGTCCCAATATCCCTCTCACCAGCTCAAGAGACATGGACTGATGAGCAACAAGGTTATGTGGTCGGACACAGCCAACAGGGCTGTGGCATCACCTTGTCGAATTACATTTATGGCTGGCCGTTTGCAGGAACTGCTGTTGGAAACACCCTTGGATGTGGGAATGCGCCTTCGGGAACTTCATGGAATGCCTTTGAGATTATTTGCGAATAGACATGTGTGAATTGCGTTGCTTCTGAGACAATATGGTCAACTAAAGCTAACAAAACATTTCATGCCAATATCTTGCATAAATACCACAATGTCATGGCTGGCTCAATATGTGCCCGGACCGGAGTTCAGTAAGCTTTTGCTCTCAATGTGTAAGTTATAGAATGCACAGTACTTTACATATCACTGTACATTCTATAACTTGTTGGGCCATAGGTGCTGTCTTGCCTCAACCCATTCTACGAAGCAGCATCCTGGATCTTCTTGTACGCAGCCTTGACCTCTTCAGTCTCGCCATACTTCTTCAACCACTTTGCGACGGTCGGATAGTCGTCAAGCGATAATTCGGCATAGGCGTGCTGACGGACCCAGGGCTCGTAATGAGCGTCCAAAGCCGTATATCCGCCGGGCAAGATACTCTCACCACCACTCTTCTTCAGCTGTCCTTCAAGTACCTGGTAGCAGCGGTATGTTTGTGCTGCATATCTGTTCAAAGCATCCTCATTCTTGGTCTCGTTGTAATGTCTTGGTTCAAGTCAGTCATCATGTTCAAATTGAAAAACCATGTATAACGCACCTATACCAATTGGTCTGTCCAGTCATCGGTCCCAAAGTCGTAAGCAAGAAATACCCCCACTTTTCAAAGTCCACAATATCTTGCTCAGACTTTCCTTGCGGTCCCAACTTGTTCTCGGTATCGTACTTTCTTCTGATGTAATTCATGACTGCACCAGACTCCCAAGACACAACACCATTGTTTGGGTCCTCGAGGGCAGGAACACGGCCATTTTCGTTGATGGAGAGGAAGTTGGAGCCCTTGAGTCCGTTCTTAGGGTCGTCGCCGAACTCCCAAAGCTTGAGGGTGTAGGGGATCTTGAGTGTTTCAAGGGCGATGGCAACCTTGATGGGGTTGGGGCCTGTGGTGTGAGCGTGGAGGATGAGGGGTTTGATGTTGGAAGACATTGTTGCTTGTTTTATCTCTAAAGATTGATGTTATTCTGAAGCTCTGAAGATGGAGGGAAGAAGTGTAGTTTTGATTTATTAGTATGGCATCGTCATTATGTGCCAAGGGCGACTGCTTGAGCCTGGATGTGGTAATGATCCGCTTCCATTGCTGTTTAACCTAAATCTTGACGACGTTCCGTTCTTGCCATTCATATCCTTCGTTATGATCCCTTCTCTGTCGAGAAAACCAATCTTGACCTTATACTGCATACGATTTTTTGCTGGCTATATTCTTGATTGTCATGCTGAACATCGCTGCTGGCAACAAATTATCTGTGTTTGTTGTCCATCTGCACTGCAGATCCTCTGACGCAACCATTACACCCCACCCGTTCATCCCGCATCTTCCCCATCCCTCTCACCATCACTGTGATGCCAATCACATCAAACCGCCATACGCATCATCCTGCCTCTCCCAAGAATTGACTCTTCTCACTTTCTTCGGCATCGCCTGCGGTCTCGTGATTCTGAATCCGAAAAAGCTCGAATCCTTCTTCTTGTTCATGGCCTTCTCCCTTGTTTCATGCATTTCTTCCACGGATTGTGTGCGTCCAAGCTCAGACAGGAAATCAACCTCCACAGCGACAGTCTCATGGTGAGATTGCTGAGATTTCAAAGTTTGCGTCGCCATCTGTTGGAAGTCGTCGATGCTGAATTTGTTGCAAAGGTGAGCTTGCTGTAATGCGAGAATGGCGGAGCGGAGCCATGAGTCTGAAGGTTGGTTTTTGTCGACCTTGGAAAGGACTTCTTGAACGCGATTATCGATTCCAGCGACATCGTTTTCGGCGATCAAGAGCTTGACAAGAAGCTCTTCTCCTTTGAAGCCATCGCTGTTTCTTCTTTCGCTGTTGTCTGTGTTGGTGGAGAGGAAGACCGAGGTTTGAGGGTGATCATGGAAAAACAATCGTTTCTGTTTCTTGGGCTGCACCGTGATCGCCCAATTCGGAGTGTCCGCTGATGCAGAATCTGACAATGCAACTGCGTAGATGTGGTTGACACTCATATCCATGTCCGGTGAGTTTGATGCTTTCCGACAATGATGAGAGAAAGGTTCTCGAGGACAGAAGACGGCAGTGCGTGTTAAAAGCATTTCGGGGGAGGAGGCGACGGGACAATAAGGCAAGAGCGGCTCGAAGATGGTTGCAAGGTAGTGACGAATCTCGCAGTTAATGTGCTAGTTGTTTCGTTATGTACTCATCGGTGGCGCCTTATCTAGTCGCTATATCCGAGGAAGACCGAATTTGCTCCGGTGTCACACAGCAGAGGTTCTGATGCCTTGCTCTAGCAATGCATCCATCACTTTATAGCGCCGCTTAGCGACCTTTTAATGCTTGTCTTGACGAATTAACTACCGAGCTTAAAAGATGACATGCAACGGTGGAAAGCAGATAGTTCCTTTTCGCTCGAAGTTCGGACCTGCTTTAGAGATTAAACGCATACCAATTGCATAGGCCCTGTTTACTTCGATGTTTAGTAGACATATACAAATTTTCGGAAGCTGCACGAAGTGAGCTTTTGTGAGCCGTACATTCGGAACTGCGCCCTTAGCAGCTGTTGTTATTTTTTTACCCATTAATTTATTACTGAAAATCACACATTATAGCATCTTCTTAGTAAGAATTAGCTAGTAGGTAGAGAGGTAACTACTTATAACATCTAGCTTTTTTTCTAATGCAAAAATACTATATAGGGGGAAATATTTGCTATATATAACAAGAAATACAGGTAAAATGTAGGGCCCCCCCTAGACATCAAAATAGTAATTACTTTATATATAAATAGTGCTTTATCCGAAATTTCATCGATATCTAGGTGATTTGCTACCGTAAAGTAAACACGACCTATATTTAAACATAACCCTGCTTATGTTTAGCTTTGTACACCCTAAACAAAGCTACACATTAGCTAAAGTAAATACGGCTATATACATATATATATATATATACTCTCTCTCTCTCTCTCTCTCTCTCTCTCTCTCTCTCTCTCTCTCTCTACCTAGTAGGGTTATAAGTACTAGCTATTAAAATGCATAATAGAATTAAGAAATTAATAGTTGTCTACTAAGAGCCTAATTCCCTCTCTCTTTAGAAGGACATTCTTAGTCCTTCTAAAACGTTTATATATTATATACGATGCCGATTCTCCTCTATATTCTAGCCGTTAAAATGTCTCTTAGCCTATTGACTCGAAGGCCTTAACCTTAATAACCTTAACGACTTTATAGGCGACGGCGGCTTAAAGCTACTCCTAACATACGTAAACCTATTACGATCTCTCCCTATTACACCATTATTAGTAATGTCTAATTAACCCTATTCTCTTATCTTATTAGACGCGCCCTTAAGTTCTACTCCTAAGATTTCTTTCTCTAGAGCTAGTAGAAACTAAGCTACTAAGAAGGATAGAGGGAAGCGTATTAGCTCTTTCTTAAGCCGCCTAGGTCTAGATAGGTTTTACGCAGCTAATAACCTTTAAAGTAATAATGTCCTACTACGTTACGAAATTATACTAGGCGCTTAGGCGCTTTATAGCACTAAAGCGCCCCCTAGCACTTAAGCGCCCCTACGGGACAGGATCTTATAAGCTGTACGAATAGATGCGCGCATTAATGCGCCGCTACGCAAATGGCGTAGGCTACGCTTTCGCTTTGCTACACGCCTTATATAGTCGTCGTCGCTTAATACATAATACTATGTAGCTCGGCCTTTAGTAGCTAAGATAACGATAGCTTAGGACACTAATCGAGTATCTTCGTCGGTCTACTAGATCCTCTAGTAGCGTTCTTTATGCACTTTGTACTTAGATAGATAGTGCGGGCATCGTAATAGACTCGGTCTTTACGGCCTAGCTAACTATTAGGTAGACCGTCTAGTAGACCCGACCTAGGTATAGTTTGCTTACTATAGCAGCGGCCACGATTCTAAGTTTAGTATAACAGTTAGATTTTATGTGTTATATGTATACTACTACTTAGGCTCTTTCCTAGGCTCGTTAAGCTACGCCTTTACCTACATGTCATTAGAATTAAAAGACTCCTTAAGCGTCCTCTACGAGTCTCTATTAAGCGGCTTATCTTCCCTCTATCTTCTATTCTATTCTATTATTTGCTTTGTAGTCTCCATATTATCACCTATAAATAGGTTATAGTACTATATATATAGGCCCTTTGCCTCTCTAATGACGCTATTTACCCTCGTCTTAACATCTACCTAGCGCTTCCTCGATGCCCTTACCTTAGCCTAAAAGACCCTACTTATATTAATAGGTTCCTTCTCTTTTAGTGCTTCTAGTATAGAAGCGCGACTTAGGGTATGCAATATGCTAGGCGATTCGACGCGTCAGCGTTTTAAACTTAGCTTAGAGATGTCGATTCCGCTATCGAGTCGGTTATCTATTAGTAGTAACGAGCGTACGCGTCTAAGTAGTAGAGCGATAACTATAGGTATAGTAGCGTCGATACTTAAAGGTATAGTTAGGGTCGACTCTATCCTTAAGCATCGGGTAGTAGTAAAGACGGGCGACTAGGGCGGCAATTAGTCTAGAAGGTCGTCATTAATTTCCTCGTAGGCCTCGTCGTGTACTTCTAACTTTGTTAGCAACGATTACATACTACATTAGTAGACCTACTATCCTCCTCGTCTAGGTCTAGCCTAGTTAAGTCGTTGCTGTAATTACCTATCGGTATAGGGACTATAAGCTCGTTAAAGTCGTCTAATCCGTAACTTAACCCTTTACGTACGGTTTAAGTTAGTATAGTAAGCAGTCTCTACTAGCGAATAGCGCTGTTCTCTATATCCTATACTTCCTTATATCGCTTATACTTTACCTAGCCTGCTCTCGCCTTAAATGGATACTACTAGGGTTCCTCGTCGATGCCCCTACTAATAGGACTATATTTCTATGTATTAACGATATGCTCCGTTATCGCAGCTAGGACAAATACTATATATAGTATTACTACTATCTAGTAATGCTAACTTAGCGTAAAGCTAGTAAGACTCTGTCGCTTATAGTATACCCTAGATATAACTTATATAAACATATAGCCTAGGAACCGCTTCGACTAACGTCTTATGTTAGTTAGACGGTAATGTAAAGGATCTT